GGGGGAGGGGCAATAACTTGGACTTGGGGGGGTTTTCATTCTATGTAAATCATAGCAGATCTTCTTAAACCTGCTAGGGTTTTCTTCTTCTTCTTCCTTCTTCTTCTTTCTTTCTCCTTTCTTCCTTCTCCTTCTCTTCTTCCTCCTCTACCTCCTCCTCCCGCTCCTCCTTCTTCCTCCTCCTCCTCCTTCCTCTTCTTCTTCTTTCTTCATAGGTTGACCATAAAATTTTTCCAAACGCCTTTCAGATGGAATCAAAAGCCATATTAAACATGACATACAAACACAAAACAAGCAAGCAAATGGGATTTCTTTTTCTGTTTAGTTTGGGACCCCAGAGGCTAAAGGTGGTGAAACAAATTGAAGGGGCTCTCTCAAACTGGAGAGTGATTACTTTTATACTATTATTTACATGACACTTTTTGCATAAATTCTTTTAGTCACATACACACAAAAAATTTATACATAGTGTCTGTCAGTTCATTATCTTCTCATTTACAGAATAGATCTAACTGTAGAACAGTACTGGATTAAGACGCATTTTGTGGATTTTTTTTTTGTTGTTGTTTAAACCTGTTTCCCATCTGAAAGAAAGTGAGACCATCACACATTACCCCCTGGACAAAACATGTTTCAAACTTTTGACCACAAGAGTGTGTTCCCTGCTCATGGCTTCCCTAGGTATCGCTGAATGAATCTCTGAGGCATCCCTTCTGCCCTGAGATTCCAGAGACCTGGCACAACTGCCCTTTCTAGGTTTCATTCCTGGTATCTCTGCTTTTTCAGAGCTTTGTACTTGTCTGATGTGAGGTACAAAAGAAATTCAAGTAAAGCCAAGCCAGCCAATTCTTCCTAGGATGGACAGAGGCCAATGGAAGGTATTCCCCTTAAACAGCAGTGAATGTTTGTGATAGCCTGGCAAGTTTCATTTAATTGATGGCAGAATAAGACAAATAGGAGACCTGTGAACTGCTTGGATGTTAACCAAGCAGCACAAGAAATGTCTGAGGATAGCAACTAAGCCATATTGGGTAGACACTTCTAAGGAAGAGGGTGAAGGGACAGGAATCCATCCAAGAGATTAGAAACCTGGATTCTGGTGCTGCTCAGGAAGATAGCATAACACAGACCAGAAATCTGAAGGTACATACAGTCAGAAAGGGAAGAATAGAGCACCCAGTCTTATGGTTTCCCAATGCTGCCACACAGCAAAGGCAGCAGCATTGGGAAATTGAGCTGCATGTATGGCAGAATTGAGCAGATAGGAGTGCATTAGAAGTAAAAAGGAACAGAAGTACAAGTAAAACAGCTTGCAGAAAACATTTAGGTGGCATTGCCGTGACACTGATAGAGAAGGGAGACATATTGCCCTTCAGTTGGACATCTAAGTCATAGCACCAAAAGATGTTACTAACGGTCATCCCCATGTCCCCTATGTCCAGCAAGAGACAAATTCCCACAAGACACGAAACATAGTAAAAACTATAGTTTATTAGGATAGAAAAGGCATGAATGTATGGATGTGGGCCATCTCAGAGAGGTCAAGAAAAAGGGTCAATTCCACATCAGCCCAAACTTTTATTGAAGTCTATGGGGCTGAGTGTCAAGTCCCTCCCCAGGACCAGCCTACAGGGAGTGATTGACATGAAGGTTGCAAAAGGATCACGTTTCAAGAATCACTGCATGCAATTACTCATGACCACCTAATTAAAACTCATGGTTGGGGGCGGGTTTAGAAAATTTAAAAATACAATGTGATTATATTGACAGTTAATGGGTAAAAGGCAATTCTCAAAGTAGCCCACCTTAACTGGATTAGTCCAGGGGGTGCTTTTCATCAGGAACCAGGTGCAGGGAGACTTAAGGTGTACACATTCCAGAGAAAAGTTAATCTTGAGGAGGGTCTCGCTGTATCAGGCCCCCTCCTTTTTAGTCTGCACCCTATCGCTATTGGTCTCTTTCATGTTTTGTAGGCGTTTTGCAAGAATATGGAGTCAAAAGCCTAGATCAAGAAAAGTTTAATCTGTAGCATGCAAGCAAATAGATCATGGGGGAGAGTTAGAACAGGGTTCTCAGCACTTATGCACTGAACTAAGGATCCTCCATTTTAGGTTCTGTATGCTCATGTCTACTGGCTACTTAAATTTATCAATTTTCAAACCCCTTCCTCATTTTCTGATACTTGTTATAGCAACTCTCCACTTCTCTGGTCCCATTTCCTGTCTTAATCTACTTTGCGTTTCTGTAACAGAACACTGTGACTGGGTGATTAATAATTAACAATTTGTCTGAGTTCTGGAGAATGGAAAATCCAAGATGAAAGAGCTGATAACCGGGAAAGACTTTCTTGCAGTACCATCTCATGGCAGAAGGGCAAAAAGAGAGCAAAAGGGTGAGAGGGAAACAGGGAAGGAGGGAGACACTCACATGGGAGCCAAACAACTCCTTTTGTAATGGACTCATTCCCTTGCTAATGGTCTTTATTTATTTATTTATTTATTAGTCATATGTGCATACAATGCCTGGGTCATTTCTCCCCCCTGCCCCCACCCCCTCCCTTACCACCCACTCCACCCCCTCCCGCTCCCCCCACCCCCTTGCTACCCGGCAGAAACTATTTTGCCCTTATCTCTAATTTTGTTGTAGAGAGAGTATAAGCAATAATAGGAAGGAACAAGGGTTTTTGCTGGTTGAGATAAGGATAGCTATACAGGGCATTGACTCACATTGATTTCCTGTGCATGGGTGTTACCTTCTAGGTTAATTCTTCTTGATCTAACCTTTTCTCTCTTGCTAATGGTCTTAATCCATTCACTCCACCCTCACAGCCTGATCACCTCATTAGGCCTCACCTTCCAACACTATTGCACTGTGACTAAGCTTCCAACATTTTTTTTTTTTTTGAAACACATTCAAACTAAAGTATCCAGCAAGGAAAATGAGTAAAATGTCATCATGAGTTGAGTTATGGTCTATGTAATAATGAATTCTAGGAGTCAGCAATGAATCAACAGTTCTAAAAGCTGTGTGTGTGTGTGTGTGTGTTGCTGTGATCAAACCCAGGGCCTCATGTATGCTAGGCAAGTGTTCCACCAGACCCACAATCCTCAGCCCAGTTTCCCTCCCCCCTCATTTTTAAGTTTTTGGTGGGTTTAATTTCTTTCCCCCTCCTCCCACCTGCTGATCCCCTCCAAAGTCCCCCTTTTACAATCATGTCATATTTTTAATTAAAAATTAAGTTTTTAATTAACTTTTTTTTATTAGGCCTGCATTTCACTCCAGTCCAGTTCCAAATGCTTATACAAAGATAAAGAGTTTAAGAGACAGCTGATAAGCTGACCCAGGTGGTTGGGATTCCTGGAGGCTTGAGGTTCTAGTTGTGGTTTAAACCCAGCTACCTCACCCTCTAACTGCAAAAGGCAGAAATCTATGTGTATTATTTTGCACTTTCACCTATCAGGCTTTGCGCTCACTCTCCACTATGTACGGTCTGCTCCGAGATGCAAGCACGTATTTACTCCTACAGACTAGGCAAGCTAAATATTCTAGCAATTGTCACATGCAAGTCACTATGCTAGGTGCATCAAACTATACCTTGTTGAACCCACTGAAGTGCTGCCCTACAAAGATGAGTAAACAGGTTAAGAAATACTAGGTAACTTCCTAAGGTGAATTCTTGATATGGACTTAGCCTAATGTCTAAGTCCTTTTTTCTGGTACTAACTTGCCTGTGTCTACCTGCATTTTACATTCATCCTTTGATTCTTTCATGCAATAAACTCACCAAAGTCAAATGGGCCAGGCAGTATCTTAGGTTTTAGCAATATATTCCCAGGCAACAGTCACAGTCCCTGCACTTTTAAAGGTTAGGTTTGTGATAACAGGTAATGAGGTGTGAAGTGTTTACAGAGGGAAAGTACAGGGGATGCTAATCTGAGCAAGCAGTTCAGGGTTACCTCTCTGAAGAAATGATAAACTCATTAGGAGTTAGCAAGGGAACGTTGGTGCCACAAGGGGGGAAAAGTGAGCCAGGTGGACAGAACATGACACAGTAAAAGAAAGGGAGAGGGAGAAGGTACATTCCCAGACCTTAGACAGTGGCTGAAGAAGTTAGTAGGGCCAGATCACAAAGATCCTTGCTTGCATACATTTGGGACTTAATCCTAAAGCAAGAAGTAGCAACTTTTAATTCACAAAATTCCTGTTACTTTTCTCATCCCTGTGACAAAATAATGTACCTGACAAAGTAAGTTTTTATTTTGGCTCATGATTTCAGGTCAGTCCACAGTTGCTTGGCCTCATGCATTTAGGAAGAACATCAAGGAGTTGGAAGCACATGGTGCAGGCTGTTCACTTCTTGGTGGACATGAAGCACTGAGGGAGAGGAAGGGCCCACCCACTAGTGACCTCCTTCCTACAGCTAGGTCCCAACTCCTAATTCCCAGAGTCTCTGAAAATAAATAGCATCATGGGCAGTGATGGGTGGGGGGAACCAAGCCCCAACACAAGAACCTGTGTGGAACATTTCCCCATAGGAAAGGGCAGAAATCGCTTCATCTTAACACTTACCAAAAGCCTGTAGAATAATTAACTCAAATTAGTTAAAGCTCCCTGATCTAAAGCAGCTAATGTGGGGTATAGGAGGGTAGACCCCAGAGGAATCTGAGTAAAGGGATTCCCCCAAGCCCCCAAGAACTATTCCCAGATGGCCCAACAGCACTGTTGAAATTGTCCCCAGAAGGGAATGTTCCCTAGGAAGAACCGATAATACCTGAATTAGTGTTAGTTATGTCGTATCACTGTTAATTACTATTTATAAAAACTGTTCTTCCTCTACTTCAGGACAACTGCCTCCTCCCTTTCTGAGTGTAAAATCACTTTAGCTCCCAAGGAAGAATACAAGGGGCATAATGCTGTTTTCCCTTTTCCCCCTCTACAATGCGTTTTTAAAAAAATTTTTTTATATCAGGTTGGCAATATTCTGGAACACATGAGCCTCTACAGTTAGGTTCAACCAGCAAGTCAGCTGGGTCCCTAATTCAAATGGGCAAGACAGCCTTGGAAGCAGGTTAAGGTGACAGGGAAAACAGTGAACACATACAGGAAAAACAAAACACATACACACAATCACTAATAGTAAAATAATTTTATTTAGTTTCTTATTTTAAAAAAGGTAGCATTTCACATATAAATTTAGACTTCAAGATTACAGTGTATATTTACCAAAAGGAACATTCCTGAAGAATGGCTAGACTTAGCTCACTGAGTGGACACTGAGAAGCTCACTCCATGGGGAGTTTAAGTGGAAGTGCTTTAAAACTTCCTAATGGCACTCCCCTGTTCCTCAACCCTGCAACCATGGCTTGTGGCTGGTAAGAAAATCCACATCCATCACTTTGGAGCAATAGCATTTCACTTACGGGAAAAGGAAACATCTCTAGTCATGAAAGCACAAAGCTCAATGATCCAGATTTCCCACAGCAATCATTATTTATCTGCAGCAACAGTATGCCAAGAGTTTATTTTTTATAATTCAAAAGTTCTTTGAAGGAGGGCTAAAGAATACAAAATTCATTCATAAAGAGAATTTATATAACAAAATGAGCAAAAATGATTTTCTCCATATTACAATGCCTCTATAGCATAAGGCCCAAGGAAAAGACCCATTCAAATCTGGGCTTTCCTTTCCCAAATAAAATGTTTGGCACAACCCATCAACAGTCATGAGATTGACAGGTGAGAAGTTTCTAGAAATGGTCCCATGACTTTCTGTCTGGCTTCAATATAGTGTATTTTGACAAAAGGTGTCAATAAGCTGCACAAACTCAGGCCTAACTATGCAGCACAATGTTCCAGGGAAGTTAATCTGAAGGAAAATAAAGATCCAGATGAAGTCGCTCTCCTATAGCCACAGGTTAACTCTGTCATCTTCTCATGAAAAATAAATTCACTGGCTGCCCAGGAAGTCAGTGGAATGCTGATCTCCTAGGGAAGGTGAATGCTGGAGAAGCAACTTTTGATTTCAGCATTCCATGGTCAGGAGGGAAGGAGACAGAGATGACCAAGGATGCTTTCTAGGTCATTGTTCCACAATCTGTGAACAACATTAATCAGTGTGCTAATAACCATGGCAGTCCTAGGAGTTGGCCTGTCAGACAGAAGTACTGGGAGTAAATGAATGTACCCCAATTCCAGTTTTAAACATAAGAGCTTCCTGAAATTATGATACACTACTATGCAGTGAATTGGAAACTGTACACTGCTCCTATCTGTGGTTAAAGCCCTGTCCCACTCTTGGCCAGCCAGAACTGAGAGGTGACATATAAGGAGTTGTCTGTGGCTAAATACCAGGCACCTTAGTCACATAGGGGCTGGGGCAGTGACGCTGGCAGTCATCCCAATGCAGGGAATGCAGAGCCCTAGAGCTTTGGTTCAGAGGAAAGGTTTCACATCCTCAAAACTTTAAACCAAGCTCTCTCTATCTGAGTCTACCAATGCAATAAACTAGTGATTAGTAATCTCTGCAAGGAATTTCTGGTTTGGTGGTAAAGCGCATGTCCCTGTAGGTCACAAACCTGACTGTAGGAAAACAAAGGTGCAAATTGTATCAAGTAAATGGTTGCTTAAGTGGAAGATCATTTCATGGGGTAGCAGTCTGGATGTTAATCACATTGATGGACACTGGGACTGGACATCACAGAGAGTCTGGGTCCCAGGAATAATCAGTCTTCTTTAACTTACATGTCCTGGTGGTGTTCTCTATGGTCTCCTGTCTCTTGAATAGCTGAGTACATATGTCCACGGGCACCAATGTAAACATTATTCAATAGATCTCAGCTTACAAAAACCACGGCTTGTTATATATTTAGTGTTTAACATTCCAGTGCAGGCAGTATCTTAGCATCAGACTTTCCCTCATTCATGAGTACCAGTTTAGAAAGGATCATGTACAGGATACTTGATAAAACTGTGGTTGAAAAGACCATTTGAGTGCCAGACAGCTGGCCCTATCTATCCTGCAATCAGCTGACAAACCAGGACTATCACAAGAGAGCCAGAACATCAGAGCACAAATTCTCCATAAATCTGAAGAGTCCATGTAACCACTCTTCCCAGTTAGCCCCTTGAGCCACATTTTGATACGGAGGAACATTTCCACCTCTTGCATCAACCTGTGCTCTCCTTGTTTTGGATTGGGTTCTCCCTAGAGGGTTCAAGAGCCTCCTCAGCGGGGAGGGAACTTTCTTTTCCAGTCCTAACATCTGAGTATTTCAAAGCACAAGATGAGTCCACAAACATGCTAGGGATGTTGCTACCAAAGAAGATCTTACTGTTAGAAGCAATGGCCTGGTATTTTTTGAGCTCCAGATACTCCGGGGTCAATTTGTGCTGTGTGGAAGCAAGTAAGAGCAAAGGAATCAGAACACATATTAGTAGGCAAGGGCCTGGGGTACAAAATACTCCATAATACATGAAGACACTGTTCAGTAATGAAATAGTATTTCATCCCAAAATGGCAAGAATATCTCTGATCAGAAATGCTGCTCTAAACAAGCTTAGTTTCTATCCCCAAAAGTTGCCTATTTGGAAAGCAATCCTAAATGAACTTTACTTTCTTCTTGCCACTCTTTCAGATCTTCAACTTTATCAAGCCCCTATATTATAGTACAAATGAATGAATTTATGGCATTTGACCTGCACTTACATTCTGTTTACCTTTGTCCGACCCTCCTTACTTTTATGAGGAACCAGATAAAGTTCTCTACTCAATGAGTATGCATATATCTTGCTAAGCAATTGGCTGATTTTGGATGACTGACGGGTCACTACCCTTCCTTCATATTGGATAACAATCACCTGTATCATATTAGAGCCCCTGAAAAGGGAAAGCAAAACACAAACTATTACTAGGGGAGTGGCATGGAGAACCAGTCACCTTGTTTGAAGTGGCATATTTATATGCAGCGTAATATTCAGCATCTGCTTTTGCCTTCTCGCGGGCCAGGTATGCAGCATCTAGCAAGTAAAACAAAGTCAGCATGTTTAAAACAAAAGAAAATTGCCAATCCATTCCCCAAGCTGGGTAAGAGTCCCTTTCACCATCCTTTAATATTTCAATTGTTTACCTCACTTTAAATTTTTATAACATTAGCAGTTTTCAAACCAATCCCTAGATAGCTCCTTGTCAAGGGGGAATACTCTATTCACTGCTGAGTAACAGCTGACTTGAACCCATTCATTGTCTATCCTAAGTGGCTCCTTCTTTCTCTACCTCCCACTCACCTCCAATCACGCTAAACCTCACACCCCGTCTAAGCTTCCAATAAAATAACCAAGTCCATACATGAAAGCTCTTGTTCTATTCACTTCACTGCTCCTAACCCCTATAAATTCGATACAGAATTAGTTAACACAGAAAGATAGGAAGCAGCTGTATATAAGAAAAAGTGTCCTCAAGACTGTGAACTACGTACATCAACATGTCATTATGTGATATCAAAGGATTTGAAATTATCTATCAAAACTGGGGCTTCCTTTTCCCTACCTAATTTGCTGTCATTATTGCTGTTGACAGATGAAAAAGAAACTGGTGCAGGCTTATTATTTTGTATATTCTTTACAACCGATTATGAGTAATTCTTACACTTTGAGAACAAAGTGAGAGCCTATAAGCCCCAATTTAAGGAAGAAAATGAAAGGTTGAGCTACCAGCATCACAAGCTAAATCAAGTCTAGCTATATAATAGCATTTAAAAAGTTTTTCCCTAGCGTATCAGGTCAACTACTTCTTTGAGACCAGAATATGCTATGGCCTTCCCACCCAAGACAATCAGTGGCAGAGTGGCAGTTCAGAACAGTAGAGCTTCATACTCTCCCCAAGGTACCTTCAATTTCAGAAATGCGCTTTTCAGTTTCTTTTTCCATCACTTTCTGCTGAAACCGAATTTTTGCCACTTGTGCAATCTTCTCTGCTTCTATAATTATACAACAAAAAGAAGATATACACAAAAACATCTCTAGTTCCTGAGGCTCTTAGAATCAGCAGCACACAGTTTACTATTAATTACATAAGGCTTTAAGGCTAATTATTTTCTGAAGATCTATTCAGCCTGCAAACAACTTAATGGGAAAAATGGAGTACATTTCCTCTTTTATTATTTGATAGCACAAATTTTGGGGGAAGAGGGAGTACATAAGGTTAATTGTTTCAGTATTCATAAGACTATGTAGCAATGGTTCACAAGCTAATGGTTAAAAAAGGACACCTTATGAAAGTAATAGGACAGAAACAGAGCAACAAAAGTGCATGGCAACACAGGACAATTATATAACGTGGCAGAAGGAACAGAGTAAGGGAGGTTAAGTTAAAGGAAGGCTTTCTGGAAGAAATGTTATAGGAAATAATTGACTGCTAGGAGACATAAAGGAAGACAAGAAGGTATGAATGAACCAGTCACAATGGAAAGGTGATATAGAGCAGCTGACAAGCAAAGACAACCAGAAGGAAGGCTAGAAGACTCTGTCTTGAGTGACATGCTAAGAAATTTAGTTTTAATATACTCAGAATCTATAGGTAAATTACTATCAGGGAAGTGACATAAGGAAAAAAAAAAATCAGAGCCAGTGCTGGTGGCTCACACCTGTAATCCTAGCTATTCAGGAAGCAGAGATCAGGAAGAGGATCACAGTTGGAAGCCAGTTCTGCAAATAGTTCAAGAGACCCTATCTTGAAAAAACCCATCACAAAAAAGGGCTGGCAGAGTGGCTTAAGTGGTAAGCGAGGCCCCGAGTTCAAACCCCAGTACCTCCCAGCCCAAAATATCGAGGAGGAATATACTGACTGCTGTAGAACATAAAACAGGAAGCAGAGTAATTCATCTCAGAAGATGAAAACAAATTGTTTGAGCACATTAGCTTCAGCAGGGAAGTATTCATCAGAGAAACTAAATACCCTTAGTAAACTTCTAATCAAACAAAGGATCAGGACCAGGAAAGAAAGACTTTAGAAAATCACACTTTAAATTTAATCACTGAAATTGTTAAATATTCTCAATTTTCTTTTTCATTCAAAGGAGATGAGTACACTTGATCCTTTGTATCCACAGGCTTCTTTTCTGCAGATTCAACCAACTGCAAATTGAAAGTACTTGTAAATAATAAAAACTGTAATTTGTACAGACTTTTTTCTTGTCATTATTCCTTAAATCATATAGTACAACAACTATTTACACAGCATTTACATTATAGTAAGTATTTTAAGTAATCTAGAGGTGATTTAAAGTTTGTGAGAAAATGTGAAATACATGCAATTTTATAAAAGGAACTTAAGCATCTACAGATTTTGATATGGGCACCAGGGTGGGGATCCTGGAACCAATCTCCTCAGGAACCAAGATGGTTCTTATCTTATCTTATCTCTGGTCCCTGGGGGAAGCAGCACAAAACAGAGAGAAAATGTTCAAGTACTGTCTTTTCCAGAAGGCAATATCTTTTACCAGCTACTTCCTATTTCCCCATCAGAATAAAATCAATCTGTAGCATACTAAAATCAATCTATAGCTACTGGGATAGACATTTAGCAAAAACTCAAGATAAAATGTGAATAAAAGCCAAGGGATTTGGAACCTGTAGCCAGAACCCAGAGAAGGTGTCTTGACAAAGAGGGACTGTTGTACTAATCCCAACACCGCTCTCCATCATGTGGTAACAAACCAATGAAAAGCATGACCAGACTTCTAGTTCTAGAAAAATGATGGTATAGAGTAATGAGACAATCCTTCAGCTAAAACCTTAAAATTAAATATAACACATTTGTTTTACATGCATAGTAAAGGGAGAGCTGAGAGCCTGCACTGTGGCAGCTCTGGTGGTGGTTATTACATAAGAAAGAGAGCCTAAGGAGAGTCAGATGAGATCTTGTGATTTTAGAACTAAGACTCCTACATAAAATCAGGACATTTAAGAAGCTGTAATTCTAGTGAAAAGGGGACTAAAGAACTCTACCCACCAGCCCATGGAGAGCTGTCCTCTACCTAGACACACTGCATAATGGAGAGAAACTACAGAATCCCCAAGTACACTGAGAAGCAAACAGATGAGAAAGACTAATTACTCAAAAGCAACAATTAGATTGGTAGCATATTTGTAATCAGGTACAAGAGGCCAAATAAAAATGAAATATTGCTAAAGTGATAAGAAAAAATAAATTTGGTGCAGATCTGTAGGCTAAATTACCATTCAAGAATGAAAAAAAAATTCTTAGACCAAGGAAGACTGAACAAAAAATTCCTTAGCCTTCACTGAAAAAAACCTAGCAAATGAAAAGAATGAATTGCTAGAAGCAATGCAGAGGAAAAAATTGCTCAACATTTGTAAATCAAAGTAAATGTTTAGTATAAAAATCAATAGTAATGACAAAGTAATCATGGGAAGATAAAAACAACATGAAACTAAAAATACAGGGTAGAGCTAGGAGTCAAAACATTCCAAAGTTTTGTTCAAGAAGAGAATAGAGAAAATTACTAGCTTTAGCCTTAGTCAAATCATATATATTTGTCAACATTTTACAGGTGATGAATATTTATATATTCCAGGAAGTAGAATGTAAAACTTCCAGTCAAGTAAAAGAAAAGAATAAAGACAACCTAATCAATTTAATACCAACTGAAAAATGAAAGGGGCGGGGAGCAGAGGAAAAAAATGCATGGTAAATAGCACAAAACTGAATGAGGCAAACAAATCCAAATATAGAATAACCATAATAAATATTAAAATACTAAAACTCACCAGTTAAAAGACAGATTCTCACATTGGATAAGATAACAAAATCCAGCTATATGCTGTTTACAAGAGACACACCTAAAACATAATGACATAGAGAAGTTGAAAGTAAAAGGATGGGAAGATACACCAAGAAAAGCAGGAGAAATCTGCCATAGCTATATTGTCAGTGAACAAAACAGATTTTAAGCCACAAAACGTGTTTAGGGATAAAGAATGTTAAACAACAAGAGTACTTCTCCAAGGAGATGTACTAATCCTGAACCTGAATGTTCTTAATGATACAGGTCCCAGGTATGTAAAGAAAAAATTACAAGTCAACAATTACATGGTCATAGTAGGAAATTCTAACACACCTTTCTCAGTAACTGACAGCTCAAGAACACAAAAATTAAAAGAACACAGAAGATGTGATCAAGACAATTCAAAAGCTTGAGTTTATGGATCTACAGAGAAACTGTACCCAACAAATAGACTATAGATTCAATCTTTTCAAGCACACAGGACCATTTACAAAAAAGGCCATGTGTAGGTAAGTCACAAAGCAAATTCAATATTTAAGAATCCATGTAACAGGCTTTTTTTTCTGACTACAATCGACACTGGAAATCAACAATTAAAGGGGAGACCCTTAAAACCCATTGAACCAGAAATTAAAAAAAAAAAACTTTAAGTAACTCAGGAGTCAAAGATGAAATTATTATGAAAATGTTTTTTTAAAAAAATTAAAAATTAACAATAAACAAAATACATTTCAAAACTTCTATACTTAGAAGAAAATTTATAATCTTATGTTTCCATTTGAAAAGACTCAGTTAATGAATTAAGTATTTAACTTCAGAAGTTAAAAAAGAATAAGTAAACTCAAAGAAAGTAGAAAGTAGAAACCAATGAAAATAAGTATAAATAACATTGGAAAGAAAGTGCCAATCAATGAAACCAAAACCAAAAATCAGTTTTCTGAAAAAAATGAATAAAACATATCTGGCTAGAGAAGGTACAAATAAACTGTATGAGGAAAATAGGGCACACAGACTTGGTTGATGTTTTGGAAATTCTAAGAGAATTCCACAAACAAATTTATGCCCCCAAGTTTGAAATATCTGATCAATTTTCTATAAAATTGTATTATCTGTAAAAATATAATTGCCAAAACTGACTTAAAAAGAAACAAAACTGACCCAGGTGTGGTGGCTCACCTGTAACCTCAGCTACTTGGGAGCTGGAGATCAGGAGGATTACAGTTGACGCCAGCCCAGAGAAAAAGTCAGTGAGACTCTGTGTAGGGAGAAGTAAGTAGGAGGACCGCACTACAGGCTGGCCCAGACAGAAAATGCAGACTCTATCTGAAAGCAAAAAAGGCTGGGTATATGGCTCAAGCAGTAGAGTGCTGGCCCAGCAAGCTGAAGGCTCTGAGTTCAGCAACTCCCTTCTAAAGAAACCCCCACAAATAACTGAATAGACCTATGTTCAGTATAGAAATTAATAATTTTTAGGTTAAATGTTACCATAAAATATAAGCAAACAAAAAAAGCACAAACCACATTAGTCTAAAATGGTTTTTATAAGAGAGTTCCACCATAGCTACAAAGAGAGATAACATGTATCTTATACAAAATGCTACAGAAAATGAAGAAATATTCTTTGAGTAATGTGGGGACTTAGAACCATGATACAACCCGCCCCCCCCAAAACAAAAAAACCCAAACCAAATTAAAAAACTACACAAAAACAAAACCACCACCCCAAAATAAAAGCAAAGAAACAAACCTTATGGTAATAATGAAAGCAACCTAGTACTCATTTACAGTAAAAGTTCTTGGCAAGCAAAGAACAGAAGAAAACTTCATTAACCAATGAATGTTAAGTACAGCAAATGTCATTGGGACTATTTAATATTAGTGACAAGAATGACTGTTATTATCCTTCTTTTCTACACTGTACAGGAAGTCATAGCCTAAAGCAATAAGAGAAGAAGAAATAAAAAGCAGGACGCTGTAAAGAAAAACAGAACTGACCTTATCCAAAAGACATTTCCTGTCTAAGAGACTATTAGGAATAGTAGCATTTTCAAAAAAGGCAACCAATAGTATAGCTATTCAAAAGTAGAAAATGTACCTTTAAAAAACACCATATTTATAATAGCAAAAAACTTAAAAGGATATACAGTAATAAATCTAACAAATGTGCAAGAGCTCTAAGAAAATTATGACTTTTTGAAAGGCAGTCCTAAAAGTGGAGAAACATAATATATTTATAAGACAATTATCATGAATATTGTAATTTTTTTCCTGACATTCAATGCAATTCCAATAAAAATCCTCACCTAGTACTGTACAGAACTTGTGCTGGGACTTAAATTTATACAGATGAATAAAGGGCCTAAAATAATCCAGGACAACTTTAGGTTACAGTAAGGAGCAGTCAACAGTTAAAGAGGAATAGCTAAGAAGATTCTTACTCTCCCAGATAGCAAGACTTAATATAAAACCTACAGTAATTAAAACAAGGTTAGTAGTGGTAAAGGATAGACAAAAAAATTGGAAACAGAGATACTATCAAATTATATACAGTACCTTGCTATATATGACATAAATGTTATTAGAAGTAAGTAGAGGAAATAATGAGCTATTCAATAGTCTAAGACAACTGGCTTGCTAAGTGAAAAAAAAAAAAAAAAGCAAGAAACTGAATCTCTATGACACATTAAACACTAAAATTCTCCATGGATTAAAACCAGACAAAAAGCAGAACTTTAAAACTTTTAGAACAAAATTATTGCTTCAGGGTAAGAAAAGGCACTAACCAAAAGGAAAAGACTGAGGAAGCTGATACATGAAAAGTAAGTATATATGAATATCAAAGATACCATAGAGCTCAAAGACAAGCCACAAATTGAGAGAAGATACTTGTAATGAATAATGTAGGGAAGAATTACAAGAAATATAAAGAGTTCCTCAAATCAAATAATGGGCTAGAGATATTAAAAGGCAATTCACACCAAAAAAAAGAAAAAAAAACTTGAATGACTCATAAACAATATTCAACTTCACTAATACTTAGAGAAATCAAAGTTGAAATTATATGATACCATATCCACCATTAAAATGGCATTAAGTGTTTAAAAGTCTGATAACTCCAAGAGTTGAGGAGGATGTGCAGAAAGAGGAACTCAAATATGGCAGCACAGAAATGGGAATGCAAGCACTGTTAAGTGAGGGTAAGGTGAAAGGATCACTTTAGAAAGCAAACTGGCAGTGATAAAACTTGAAGACAGCACATCCTATGATTCTACTCTGGGGTATATTTTCTACAGCAGTGTCTCTTGAACTACTTGTGGAAAAGCACCTTTTTTCTTGAATTTCAATCTGCTTAGAACCAATAAATTATAAACTATAATAAAAATGAACTACTTGAAAAGTAAAATTTAAAAACAACAAAAATAAAAGCTCCAATTTTTTATTATTAGATAAGACATGCAAAAATTCCTGTTAAAATGCTGTAAGAACTGCTAAATTCACTCTTAATACCTGCACTTATCTCACTGTGACTCAGAAAAAAGTTGGTGATGGGGCACAACCCCACATCACACGCTAAATTATTCTGCAGGAATAATTATGTGTAAGAAGATATTAAAATGGACATTATCACAGCAGTGTTTGTGATAAGGACAAACAAGAAACAAGAATATACTGAGGCCCACACATAGAATTAAATTACCCAGCAGTTAAAAAACGAACTCGCTGTACATGTATCAATATGAATAAAACTCAATGGTTAGAAAAAAAATGCCTAGAGTAAAATAAGATAGTTTGATACCAATGTTTGTTTCGAACAGGTAAAATAATTTTTAAACTGTTTATTACATACTTACATTAAAAGTATAAAAATACAGACAAAGAGGATATATACTAACTTCAGAACAGAAATTTCTCTAAGGAAGCTCAGGAAGTAAGGCTAGGGAAGGGTACAAAAGAGGCTTCAAAGAGGTAATTTTTTGCCATTGTACATGTCTATGTCCTAAAGCCTTCAAAAGCAGATGAAGCCAGTACGTAATGAAGTGCCTTTGTCCACCATGTCATTGGCTGAAATTGTTGTCTCTTTCAAGGGCAGGAAGAATAGACAGTTTATGGGCAGCTTTAGTCTTTATGCAGTAGGATTTCCATTCATGCAGATTAAGAATAGGGAAGGTTTTGGGCCAAAGCTCGAGATTACAGTGTACGTCATTGCTGCTGACATGCACCTAGTTTTATCTGAATATGTGTTGCTATGGCAGGACTGTTTACAGCTTATTTTGAATTATGGTCTAATTGGCATTTCCAGAATTCTCTACTACATATGATTCCATCTTAATTGAGTACCCTCAATATCCAAATTGAGACTGACAAAGAACAGGACAAATGTATATAGAACATGTACTTAGATACATTCAGATAAATCCAAGTACCTATAACAGCCTTTTTCCTCTCTGTCTCAGCTTCTTTCTCCACAACCTTTTGTTTCTGTGCAGCTATAAGAAGTTTTGTCTTCTCAGCTTCCCTGTGAAGCAGGACATCATGAAAATTAAGAAATGATTCCTTTTTTTTTTTTTTTTAATAGTGTGTGGGGTCAAACCCAAGGCTTCATGCAAGCACTCTAGCACTGGGCTACACTGCCAGCCCTAGAAACAATTCTTTTTGTGTGTCATAGCTAGAAATTCTGAGCCTACAGTGGATCTAAGAACCAATTTTAAAATAAGAACATTTAGACTCATCAGGGTAGGTAAGGGAAGCATTACCTTATTTTACTTATCATGAGTCTGGATGATTAAAGTCACAGAGATGTAAGAAAAAATTTAGTACATGAGAATTTTAGCTTGATTTTTCCCTTCTAACTGCATCATATAAAGGAAGGCATATGGTCTGGAATGGAGTATATAACAGTCTCTCTAGCTGTTAGGCTTCTTATTAACCTGTGATCCCAGCACTTGGTAGGCTGAGGCAAGAGGATCAAGAGTTTGAGAGAGAGGAAGGAGGACAGAAAAAGAGAAAGAGACACAGTTGGAACTCTCTCCCTCTTCCATAACAAACTGCAACTTTGGTCACTGACACTGCTCCTGAAATATTCAAATATAAAGAGAACACTAAGTCAGGTATGGTGACGTGAGAGGGGCCGATGGGAGAACAGCAGTCCAAGGTCAGCCAGGGGGGAAAAGTCAGTGAACCCTTTTCTCAAAAAATAAGCTGAGCTGGGCATGGAAGTACATATCTGCAATCTCAGCTATTCGGGAGTTGGAGATCAGAGGATCACAGTTCCAAACCAGCCGAGGGAAAAATAGTTACTGAGACCGCATCTCAACAAGTCAGGTGTGTTGGTACACAACTATAATTCCAGCTGCATAGGAAGTGGTAGGTAAGAGGACCACTGTCGAAGGCTGACTCAGTTAAAAATGTGAGACCCTATCTGAAAAGTAACTGAGGAAAAAAGGGCTGGGAGCATGGCTCAAGTGGTAGAGTGCTTGCCTAGAAAGCTTGACACCCTGATTTCAAACCCCAGTACTACCAAAAATAAACAAAAAAAACCCTAATTATTCTAGTGTGATTAAGACTTAAGATGATACATTGCTACTAAAATTAAGTACAGGAGAGAGACATGTACCCAACCCCAGAGTGTGTTATCTCCTGCGTATTTCCTCTAGGTGTATTAATATGCAGACAGCTCTAGACAGAAAAGCTAGATCTCATGCATGTTACTCACATTAACTCAAAGTTTCTTCTTATGGCTTCTGGGATTTTGGGTTTTGTTACACGCACAGCCTAAAAAACAAAAGTGAAAAAGCCAAGGTATGTTTGAAAAAGGAATCGAACTGAATCTACAGAAGAGTTCCCCAAATGACCCTAAACTATAATACAAGTGCCTACTAACATGTGCAGAGATCCCTCTAGAAAAGAACCAAAAATAAGTTATCTCCTGTTTCCTTAAAAATAGCTAACTACACAAGAAAAACCCACTGTACCCACTGAGGAAATAAACTCCTTCAGGGAAAAGGTTTCCTTTATAGATGTATTATAAATCTCTTTAGTTAGATAGTTTTGCTTTTCTTCTCAAACTGGCAAACCAAAGAAACAGAAGTAAGGCAAAGATAGGAGGTTCAAATCATAAAGTCAGAAAGGGTTAATCTAATGAAAAACCCAGGTCAGTATGTGCACTTGACACTGTGTCTAGCAAACAAGTTAATTTATCACTTTCCTAAAATTGCAATCACTTGGTACCAGTTATAAATACACAGTTCCATGGTTGAAGGATAAAAAATACGAACCAAAAGCTTACATTCTTTCTTACTGGAATCTTCCTTAGAACAAAGTCTAGTCAGTGTGGTGGTGTACACCCATAATCCTAGCTACTTGGGAGGCAGAGGCAAGAGAATCAGAGTTTGAAGACAACCTGGTTACATAATGAGACCTTGTCTCAAAAACAAAATAAAAACAAAAGGGCTGCTGGGTGTAGCTCCAGTGACAAACAACAAAGTCTACCTGTCTTATGCACTCTACCACATGAACTGTACCCCAGTTTTTAAATTTTTGTTTTTGAGATAGGGTCACATTGACTTTGCCAGGGCTGGCAATGAACCCTTGATCCTCCTGCCTCTGTCTCCTATGTAGCAGGAATTACAGGTATGTGCCACAATGCTGCATATTGACATTCTTTATTAGACACTTTCTCTAATCATAGTGTACTATGACATGATTAAGACTACCTGCTTGGAAAGTTTTTTTTTTTTTTTGGAAGGCTGACTTTTCTACACCCAGGACTTGATCTCTCAAGGTCTTTTGATTTCACTAATTAAACATCCTGCAACCTCCATTTACACTGCAAACATACAGAAAACTCTTTGCTGATCTGAACAAAGATTTAATTTCCCCTTGAAAACTAGCTAAATGTTTCACAAAGCCTTAAAGCACAGACTTTTAAAAGAAAGCTTTAAAAACATTTCAGTGTAGGGTGCTTAGAGTGCTTGCTCAGCATGTTTAAGTTCCTGTGTTGGATGCCCAAAACCACAAAACAAACACACAGAAAACAAACTTTAAAGCAACATTCCCTATATGAAAGAGAGCAGTCAAATCTGTAGGTGACTTTGTGGACTCATAACTAATGATAAGGATTAGAGTGGAAAGGAATAAACAGCTAGGGGCTGTGCAGAGATACTTTATACACTGAAGGTGAAGAATGAGAGGCCATAAAGACAGCTCAGTGGAGAGATTCAGAAGACAAAAATTCAGAACCACCAACTACTGAGATGATAGATTTCACTGTGTGACAACCAGACATAAAGATAAATATGATTCAAAGGGCAGCACTGTGACATGGCATTTAATTCAGAGGCTGACTGGTCACATATCTTTTTAATCTTGTAAAAAGAAGCAAAATAAAATAGGACTTTTTTTTTAGTGTATGTTAATTTTACAGAATGAGTTTCATTATGACATTTTTATATAGGACTGTCTTTTAAAGAACTATTATGCCATATGAAACAGAAGAACATACCATATACTTGCCAGTCTTGGGACACATCAAACATTTTTAAGTATGTGAAAATATAAACGCCTGCTGCAACAGGCGTTTATACAGTGTCTGTTCTAGGCACTATGGAGACAGTAGTGAACAACAAACAAGACTCCTCTCATGGAATTAACAAATTTAAAGAGACAGGGGACAGTAGCAATAAAAAGCAAACAAATAAGCAAAAGAATTTCAGATAACTATTAAATTACATGAAGAATTAAAATAGGATGATTTGGGGACCAGGAAATTACTATGTTGTGGAGAAGGAAATCAACACTTTAATTTTGGCAGAACCACGTAACTTGAAAAGCTAAGGAAATTAACTCAAAAATAACTATAGGCAAAGTTGTAGATATACGGTGAATCCAGTAGGAGTCAACTGCACTCCTTAATTTTTAAAAAAAGACTACATTTTGAACATTACAACTCATTACATCTATGAGTATTAAACTTCACTTAGGATATGAGTTGTGCCCCCTAGGTCGGAATGCAAAAGAAACAGGATAATAGATAAAGTAAAGCAGTTAACTATAACTTAAATATCAATACTTAGGTACCTGATGTTTTTGAAAATATCAATAATGAACACTATGTGGCAGAAATATCAAAGGCCATTACTTTTTGAAAAGATAATGCAGACTGTAAAACTGAATAAAAAGTTTAATTATCATAACCACATGGTAATGTGTTAAAAGGAGGAAGGCTAAAAAATATCTTGAAGTTCTAAAAATCCATTCCAACTACTGTAAGAAACTATTTTATAATAAGACAAACACAACCAAAATAATGAAGATCTTGTCCATTACGTTAAGAATGCATTACAGCTGGGCACCAAAGGCTAGCTTCTTGGGAGGCTGAGATTGGGAGGATTAAGGTTAGAGACCAGCCTGGGCAAATAGTTGACAAGACCCCCATCTCCAGAACAACCAGAGCAAAATGGACTCGGACAATGTGGGCTCAACGCAGTAAAAGCACACTGCCTTTTTAAGTGCCGAGTTCTGAGTTCCCACACCCCAGTCCATCAAAAACAAAACAACAATACACAAATACAATTCAAACTCCTTGTCGGCTCGTGCAGCAACATTCCAAGGTACGACAAGGGGGAAAAATGAAAGCAGGAAAAAGGAATAGAGGCTTACCAGATCCAGCGAAGCGTGGCTTAGCTTTGGCTAAAGAAACGGTGGCAGAGAGGACCCAGATACGGACGTCTTCATGATTTCGATAGCAAGATCACCACGCGACATGGGGGAGCTCCGACATGCTTAAGCTGTAAGCACCTCTACAAAAAATTAGCCTCCCCACACATTCTCAGAATTTGGTCTTGAGGGCAAGGACTCCGACCGTCGTCAAGATGGTAGAGGAACAGAAGCTATCATATCCCTTGGAACAGATTGGTCTGAGGGGAAAGGAAAAACAAAAAACCAACCAAACAAAAAAAACAGGCAAGAAGTAGAATTGATGAAACTTGAAAGAGTAGGAATAGAAATATCTGTGGAGAAGAACAAAGTTCAGAAAAAACTACTTTAGTATATAACAGAATTGAGTAACCAAGACAAATATCATTTCAAAGAAGGGGGAGACGGAAGGATAAAGCACTCAGTAATTACTGGTGTTATCCAATTGGGATAAGGGAGGAGTTGAAACCCTACATTAAAACTGACACCAAAATGGAGATTCCATATGATTTAAAGATTTAAATTTTGAAATCAGGTTCACAGCTTGGGCCTATAATCCTAGCTATTTTGGAAGTGAAGATCAGGAGGACTGCAGTTCATTGCCAGCCCAGACAAAAATTTTACAAAACCACATTTCAACCAATAAAAGCTGTGTGGGTGGTGGCATGTGCCTGTCATCTAGCATAAATAGGACGATTTTGGTCCAAGTTGGCCTGGACATAAAAGTGAGACACTATTCTAAAAATAACTGAAGCAAAAAAGGCTGACGTTGTGGCTCAATATGGTAGAGTGCTTGCCTAGCAAGTGCAAGGCTCTGAGTTCAAACTCCAGTGCTGCCAAAAAAGAAAAAAGAAAAGATTTAAATCTTTAGAATATAAAAATAAAGGAAAATGTCAATTTCTGATGTTATTTAAATTTCTATACTTTTAAAGTGGTGAAAGACTTAAAGCATGCCAGCTCAGCAACAGACCATAAAGAAAACCATTAATGTACTATATAAAATTTTAAAACTTCAAATTGTTAGGAGGAAAAAACAAAGCTCAAAAATTCTGGGAGAAAATGTTTCTCATACATTTGAAAAAGTACTACAATAGTCAACATATAAAAAGTTTATTTGAATCAATTAGCAAAATGTAAACTAAAAATGAGCAAAAGAATAAGCAATTCACAAATCAAAAACAAATGGCCAATAAATATCCTTGGGCATTTAATCTCAATAATTAATACAAAATACTGTATTAAAGGGCTGGGGATGTAGTTCAGTGGTAGAGTACTTGCCTAGACTGCATGAGGCCCTGGGTTCAATTTCCAGCAAAACATACACATATACACACACACACACACACGAAAGACCTTCTTTTTGCTGGGCATGCTGGCAAATATGCCTTAATTCCAGCAGTGGAGAGGCAGAGGCAGGGGGATGATTAAGTTTTAGGCCAGCCTGGGCTACATAGGAATACCCTGTCTCAAAGAACCAAGGGCTGGGTTGTAGAGTGTTTATCTACTATGTGAAAGGCCTTGGTTCAATCTCCAGCATTGCATGTAACAGTAACAACAGTAGTGATAATAATCTTCTCCACAAGGATTAGGAGAAAAGAGCCCCTGCTAATAGGCACCTGCTAATTATTTGGGCACAATCACACAATCAAATGTATATAAAGGATATAGCAGTATGAGCTGCTAAAATTTTTCTGGAAGGTAATTTGGCAATATATATCAAAACTCTCCCAAAGACACACACTGACTTATCAGTATCAGTTTCAAGAATCTATCCTAACGGACAGACTTTAAAACATTTACATAGAAGCGCTGGGGGTATGGCTCAAGGGGTACAGCACCTGCCTTGCAAGTGCAAGACCCTGAGTTCAAACTCCAATACTACCTAAAACAGCAACAGAACACTAAAAGGTATAAATATAAGCATGATCACTGCAACAGGTACATAATAATAAAGAAAGTGAAATCATAGAAACTGAGTATAATCATTAGAAGTGATGACACAGTAACTTGTTTTTGACTTGCAGTGATGTAAATACATGCTGTCAGTGACAAAAGCAGGTATTTTGTAATTCTACTTTATTTCAGCATGTATTTATTTATATGTATAAGCATATACGTTCCTATGTATTAAGAAGAATTCGCAAAGAAATAACAAACTATGTTACCTGTGCTTAGTAAGCTCACTGGCAAATGTCATTTTGTACTTCACCCTTTCCTAATAACTTTTTTAAATGACAAATGAGCATGTGTATAAAAATGCCCAGCATCTGTACAGAACTACTACAAATCAGAACAAAATGCAACCCAACAAAAAATGGGCAGAGGATATGAAGAGGTCACTAAGAGAAGAGCATTTAAGGCCAATAAAAATATCAAAAGAGCTGGAGTGTGATGGCTTATACCTGTAATCCCAACTACTCAGTAGGTAGAGATTGAGAGAATCAAGGTTTGAGGCCAGCCCATACAGAAAAGTTAGAGAGACCCCCATCTCAACAAATAAGCTAAGTGTGTTGCTAAATGCCTGTAATTTCAGCTAAAGAAAAGGGTAAGAGAACCACAGTCCAGACTGGCCTGGGCAAAAATAACTTAAAAGCAAAAAGGGCTGGGGCATGGCTCAAGTGGCAGAGTGCGGCCCTGAGTTCAAAACCCAGTACTGCCCCCCCAATATAAATCAAAAGATGCTCAATTTCATTAATAACCAAGGAAATGCAAATCAAAGACAGATATAACACCACATATGGCAAAACGCAGAATGTATGATTGCTTCCTATGCTGGTGAGGTCACAACGAAACAAGTATTTGCATATACTGCTCCTAAGAATATGGATTTGTATGGTCACTTTGAAAGACAATTTTTGTACATAAGGACTGTGTCATGAAGGTTCATTATACTACTGCTTATTAATACCAAAATATTGGGGAGAGAGAAATGGCTATAGAATGTAAGGCAAGGAATTTCAGGGAGCTGTTAGAAGGAAGAAGCAAGACCTGAGTGACAACCCGGGCAAAACGTAAGAATCTCCAAGATTCACACTTAGCTATATTTAAAATTAAAAAGCTACTCCTGCTAAAACTGATTGAACAACCAAAAGGATTTTACCAAGTTACTTCTGGACATTTCAAATGACCCCATAACTTTGGTGGCTCACTCTCAGTTACCTGAGATGGCAACATAGTAAGATTGAGGCCACCTGAAAACTCCCACTCACATTTACGGTCTTGTGATGAGAAGTACACGCATGATCACTTACAGTGAATGTGTTCTCAGTAGCAGTGCCACTGCACAGCAAGAATTGAGCCATATGACACCTGAGAAAACTTTATCTTCAGCTGCAGTAACATTCATCATAACAATCACTTGATCTCCTAAAACCTCTGAGAAAGGATACCACCTACAGAAGCCATGTTACCACTTCTCAAGTGCTCCAGGTCCTGAGCAGAAGTTTCCAGTGTTACTGACCACAGACACAGTGAAAAATGAATTTGTCACCGATGCCCAATATAAACACCCCCCACAGTGACATAAAAGAAGTCTCAAAACAAAACCAATTCTTTTCCTTTTCTATTCTGTTCTATTCCATTCTATTTAAAATGACCCACTAAAACTGATTTTACAACCCAATAACAGAATTCAACCCAGAAGCTAAGAACATAAGCAGGGACATAAGCTCTCACCATTCTATCTTCCAATGCCACTGCTGCTGCCATCACCATCACCACCACCACCACTACCACCACTTCACTTATTACCTGACTTTACTCAGACCATTCCACCTACTTGAAATACCTTTCTCACTCATTTCCTCCATATAAATCCAATTAATTTTACAGACCTACTAAAATGTCAACTTACAGTCCTCCTAGGCACATTCTCTTGAAAAGTCCACGTAGATAGCAATAATTATCCAATGAACTATGTCAATTAATACTTTGTGACTTCTACTGTCTAAAATTGTTTAAATGTTACATTTTCAAAACCTTACTGAGGGTGAGGCTTACTCTTATGCTAATAACATTACTATACTTAATAATGCCTTATACATGGCAGAAATGTAAATTTAGTTTCCTTCTAAGAGCCTTAGCTTGGTCCCTTTAAGAGTTCAGAAGAAAATGCCATCCACGGTAAGAGAAGAGTATCTTTTTCATTTTGACAGATACCTAAAGTCAAATTATGAAAAGTATTCTACAAGTCACCATAGTACTTCACTCAAATAATGGCTGAATAAACAATCAGATGAAAGGAGAATTAAGCTCAAAGCTCTTTTAAGCTTAAAGCTCTCAAAACTCCCAGAGAACTTCCCTAAGAAAAGGGCTTACCTGTATAGTGAGACCTGGGGCCATGACATTTAAATCTTTCTGCAGTGCTTGCTTCAGGTTCTCATCTATTTGATCTGTTTTTGAAGTTAAGGACAACAGAACTCATGACACTCATTTTTTTAAAACATTGCATTAATGTGGAAACAAAAATCAGTTACTGTAGACTTAAAGAGTCCATGGTTACACTTTATTTATTTATTATGGTAGTGGGGGGTTTGAACACAGGCCTTGCCAAGGTTTCTACTATATAAGATACATATGAATCGTATATGACATATATGAAGTAGTTTTCCTTTTGTATAGAGAAAAGTTGAGAAATTATCGAATAAAGGAAGAAAGAAGACAAGCAGGTAGTTTAAGTTTAGTCAAAAAAGAAGTTTTTCCAATAAACTCATTTAACTTAACTTTGGATAAATGTATTTTGTTGGAAAACTTGTTAGATTTTTTTTTTTTTTTGGTGGTCTTGGGGTCTGAAGTCAGGGCCTCATGCTTGCTATGCAGGCATTTTACTTGCTTGAGCCCACAGATTTTTTTTATTAGATTAATTTAGCTATTGATAAAATCAATGTATTCAATAAATGAAGAATTTGAGACTTCACATTTTTAACTCAGGGCTTTTATGCATCTTGAGTCTCATAAAAAATAAATAAATTCCTGACTGAGGCATGGGGCATGTTTCAAGTGGTAGAACATTTGCCTAGCAAGCAGGAAGCCCTAAGTTCAAACCTCAGTACTGAAGGAAAAAAAAAAAAAGAAAAGCAAATTCCTATGTTCAGTCAATATTTACTTAAATTTTCAAGTAATTAAATTTCATTTACTACTATAGAAAAGCCTCTGAAGCATACACAGAATGGACAATGAAGATGCGGTCACTTTACTTGGTTCTACATTGTAACTCATGAACTTTTTAGCCACCTCAATGGTACATTCACTATTATTTAAATGGTGATGTGGCAAATCAGGGCTGATCTACTTCCTCACATGCCACTGCATGTCAATCATAAAAAAGGAATCAACTGGTAGATTTCAAATTGAATTCAAATTCTTAGGTCTCCCTTTCAGAAATTCACTAAGAATTCCAAGAGAGAGAACTGAGCAACCAATGTCAACAACCCATTCCCTGGTCAGAACTTTCATTACCACAAATAAAAACTTGTGAAGAAAGTTAACATGGCAAGCCAGAGCCTGTGATCCTTAGAAAGACCTGAAAATTTGGATTTGGGAAGGCTCCCACCACACCCAGAACTAATATAAGTGACTCACTGTGCCTAAATTGTTTATATAAACAACATGGTTTATGTTGAACATCTGCTTTCCTTCTGGGAGCCTGAAAGTTCAATTTATGGTTGGTGCAGGGTGCCTTTATTATCAGCTCTGAGTGAAAATGCTGGGCACTGAGTTTCTAAGGAACTTCCTTGGTTGACAACATGGCACATGTGTTGTCTTATCACTTGTTACTAGGGAAATTAAACACATCTTGTGTGAGTACACTGTGAGAAAGACTAGAAAGAATCTTGGAAACCTGCATCAGTTTCCCTTTGACTTCATCCATACACCCTTTCCTTTTTCTAGTTTTGCTTTGTATCTTTGGCTGTAATACTTATTAGCCATGAATACAACGAATGCTCAGTCTTGTCAGTCCATGTACCAAACTTCAAACGTGGAGCAGATCTTGGGAAACCCTTCAAAAACAGATTTCTATATTTCCTTAAATTACCTACTAAAATAGCAACAAGACTAATTTTCAGTAAGTTGCCACAGTAAAAACAGAATACAGTACGTGAATAGAAAAAGTTTTTCTAATCTCTACCAAGTTACAAAAAACTGCAATTTAAGATAAAACAAGTATTTTAAGGGCAACTGACATACAACAAATTCAGGAAAATGCTTAAATAGCACAAGGTTTATGGTATTACAGCATCAACAGATAAATTAAACAAGATTTCTAACTGGCTATTCATACATTTAAAGCAAATAAGATACTTACCAAACAATTCAATGTAAACTTCTTGAAGTGTGTGGGCACTGCAAAACTGGTTCAACTCATGGTGAATTTTATTGAAGATTAAGGTCTTATCATAATCTGCAGTGTAGTTCCTCACAATATCAAACACTGAAGGAAAGGTATAACCCATGTTTGTTTCACCCAACAATGACCCAGGTATCTTCACATTCAGTCAGGATAAAAGAGTAATATATTATTCAGGAGGTAACATGTCAACAAAATAGAACAGAAAACACAACTCACAAACCTTGAAGCATTCCTTGGGCTCAAATTTCCAAATTTTCTTATATTCATGATACTAATGGGCAGTCCTTAAATTCTATACTAAGGAAAGTGTACACTATTTTGGAGGTAATAAAGAACTGTCAAAAGTAAGGGCATGATACACTCAGCTTTGTACTTTGACACAGTGTGAAGATAAGTTGAGAGGCACAGAAATCAGAGGCAGGGAAAGTAAAAGGCAATTATTGCAAAGCAAAAGTTTAGTCAAGAGGGTCTGCATTAATTGAGGAATAGTGAGAATAAAAGGATGCTACTGCAAAAGATCATTTTTAAAAAGGTAGTTTTTGAAGACTGTAAAAAAAGACACTAGTCTAGAAGGGAAAGGAGGCACTGGACTACACTTTATGTCAGGTAACTTGCATTAGTGCTTAATCCTCATGGAAAAATATGATTTTTTTCATAACAGGACACTAAAAGAGGATTTCAGACACATCCCAAAGAGTAGATACCAGGCTGCCAAAACCCGTGTTCTACCTACTAAAACATGCTGCTTTCTGCATCTGTCTTCAGATCCCAAGATTTGCTCCACTAGCCTTTTCATGTAGGATATTAGAGAGATACAACTGGATTCCAGATCACAGCTGATGGGTAAGGCCACCAACAAATAAATGCTGACTAAATAATTTGGCTTGATTATTTTCCAAATGAATTGGTGATCTAATAGTTTCCCATTTATTTCTGGCAAGAGAACCATCAATCACTTCCCTTTTTCTATTTTCAATTATAATCCATCCCAATTATTTGTTACAAGGAAACATAGAGTCATCCTTTGGTATCTGTAGGGTACTGGTTCTAGGATCTCATGGGGACACCAAAATCCACAAATGCTTAAGTTTCTTATATAAAATGGTGCAGCATTTGCATATGAAACACATACTTCCTTCTGTATATTTTAATCAACTTTAGATGACTTATAATACCTAATACAATGCAAATGTTATATAAAGTTATTATACTATAGAGCTTATGGAATAATGGTCAAAAAAATTCTGTATATATTTAATACAGGTGCAATTTTTTTCCTGAATATTTTTGATCTGAGGTTGGTTGAATCTGTGGATGCACAGCCCATAGGTATGGAGGGCCAACTCACAAACCTTGATGAAAAAAGAGAAGGAACATACTTCATCTCTAAAAAATATAATTAAAATTCACTTGACAGTAATGAATTTGCTGTTCTCTGCTCTGAATTTTTTTCACTATTTGTGTCTGTACCAAATGTGAAATTTAACATGACTTTACATTTCAGTATATCTCTTTTTTGGGGGGGTCTGTGTCACATCTTCTCAAGTAAAACAAAAACTCCTTAAAGGCAAAGGCTATAACTTCACCTTTTAAAATTGTTTATGCCAAACACAGTATCCTCAACATATTAGACATGGCAATTCCATTATCAAGAATAAAGATCAAACAGCACATCTTTCTTTAGAATTTGCAAGTTTTTGAATTGAATATTATTCTGTCTAGCACTGTAGGTTTCCATCTTTTACCAAGAAAATGCTTTCTCCACACTGATGACTTTCAGATTGTTTTGCAAGTTATAATAAATCTCAACTGAAAATACTTCTCTATGGTGACAAGTCTGTCTAACCCTAGGAATTAACCAGTTAACAGAATGTTAGCATACAGAGAAATTCTCCCTCATCCTAACTGGATAAAATTGCTACTTTCCCACTTTAGGAATGATCAATGAGCACCTTCTTCTTAGAAACACTAAGCTCAGAGAAGAGTTAACTCAAAAAGTGGCAAAAGTCAATTCTGCTCAGAACCTGTAACCAATTTCTACCTCCATTCCCTAGAAATGGAAAATATTCCATTGATTATCCTTTATATTGATCAGTCATCAGTGAGACTGCAAAATTTTAAGTGTCTTTCTATTTCTCTCTCAGTTATAAATTACTGACTACAGCTTTCTGTAGTTACAACTATAAAAACAACAGAATACACAAGTAACATACCTGCATAAGGAGCCAATATATTAACCACTTCAATTCGGTCAATATAGATCATGACCCCGCCACTAAAAACAAACAAAATGGAAAAAGTGAGTCACTAAAAGGAATCCAGAAAAGAAAGTTACAGATAGACCTAGGGAGAACTTGATAACCAAATAATTAACTTAAAACATAGAGAACTTAGTTTCCTTTTGAAAGTATCTCTGTCCCTCTACAGATAGCAAAGCTGCCTTTGCAGGCTGCAAGAGTAGTATTTCAGGCCATTTAAAAAGTAGTTTAAGGACACCTTGAACTTCACGTTCTTCTTTGGTACAATTCAATGCAGTGAGTATATGCTAGAAATAACTTGGGCCTTGCTTGCCTTTCTTTCCCTAAACCTCTTTAGGGCAGCAATTCTCAAAGTCAGGTCTTCAGACCAGAAGCATCAGCATCACCCAGGAACTTTGTTAGAAATGCAGATTCTCAGGCCTCACTCCAGACCTACTGAGTCAGAAACTCTAAATTAGATGGCATTTAATATTACAGATGAGAAGAAGGTGGGATGATTTAATTTTAAACTGTATTTTACTGAGCACCTACTCTGGTCCAAGTGCTGGGTTATGTACTTCATGTACACTAATTCTAATCCTTATAATAACTATGCGACATAGGTCTTATTACCTGACTTTAGGGACCTAAGCTTCAGAAATTCATAAAGGCATGGGAAAGGAGGAGGGGGTAATGGGAACTCTGCACTTCTTTCCTGCTCAATTTTGCTACAAGCCTAAAACCATGTTTAAAAAAAAAAAAAGAATATTAAAAAATAGTCATTAAAGCAGAAGTGGTAATGCTGACATACAAAGTTAGGTCTGATGGCTCTAAAAATCCAGTCTTCAGTAACAACCTACTGGCTTCTTAGATAGAAAGCTTCTACTTGAAGACAGGTCTTTGCTCAAATGATGCTCAGACTGAAAATCCCTCTGGGCTGCTGTCATGCCTATTTGAAAGTATCTTAAGTGACCACAGCTTTAGCAACAAAAACTCCATCTGAACTAAAGGGAGGTCGGTCAGCAAGAAGAAAGATTACCTTGTTCCACAAGGCACATTTTTAACTTCATCGGTTTGTAGTGTTGTCTGGGGAGGGAAAAATAGCTCATCAAAACTCAGGACACACATTGTCAAATAACTGCTGGTCCCGGAGGCAAACCTCTGGAGAGCTGCTGAGAGTAAGTACAGGAGAGCTCCATCACAATTTCAGTCCCCAAAGACTAGCTATCAGAGTAGTCATTTCTTTTTACATCCTAGTAGAAATGAAAGACTTGAGATAGAGCACATTTTATAGCTAAGGTTTAAAAAAAATGCATTAGTCAATCTGCTAGTACACAGAAAACTCTACTTATAAAGTACATTATTTGCCTGGAGCTGGCTGGAGATTATAAACTGCATGAACCACATGGCTCACCTACAAGGACACGATGGCTAGGATTTGTATTCTGAACTTTGATTCCGCTGCTAACATTACTGTTTACATTGAAGATAAAAGATAATTACTTTATGCATACAAATATTCTCTAATTCAAAGCTGCCTTTGAACTCAACAGCGGTTAACCTTTCTTCTCTAAAGCTATAGTCAATATTTTAGTTCAGGACCTAGTGATCGCTCACATACTCTGTTCAGTTTCCTTTTTAATATAAGTACCAACACCAATACTGCTTCCTTGTAGTAAACCAACAATCTGCTTCTTAATTGCCTTGCCAATGTCAGACCTTTGTTTAAATCTAGAATGACCTATTATATTTTAAGGCTTCAAGTAGGTCAGCAGTTAATGAATATATTCTAGACACACAAGCACATTGTCAAGCACACAGCAACATGTTATTTTATGAAATGTAAAATGTGAAAGAAAAAGGAAGCATGGTCCCTGTTTCCAAAGAAGTCTCAATCTAGCATAGGAAATAAAATCCTTACCAAGCAACCTATAAATGGGTAAAAAATAATTAAGAGTATAACTTGAACTATAAGGTGTTAAGTTACAGGAAATAAAATAATTGTCTTAAAGCTTTGTGAGGTGAAATAGTTATAAGCAATCTAGAGGGGGAGAAATAAGAACAGATGAGGCAGAAGAACATCCTAAGTTCAATAAATGTCCTATTCAAATAGACAAAGTTGAAGACAAACTGTGTACAACTGTTGAAGAAATTAGTCTGCCTGAAGCAGAAGGCAGAATTCAAATAAGAGGCAAATTCTTAGAAGGAAACATGGTGATAGTATATAGTGGGCCCTTAATGTTGGTTGGGAAGTCTGTCTTCTTTGTGGTTCATCTCACATATAAAATGAACCTTTCAAAAAATGTTAGAGTCAGTAATCCCAGCTACTTGGGAGGCTGAGTCAGGAGGATTGCCAGTTCTAGACTAGCAAAAATACTGTGACCCCATCTCAAAAAAATAAAAACAGATAAAATACGGTTGGGGTATGTAGCTCAGTGGTACAGTGCTTGCCTTGTATGCACAAGGCCCTGCACTGTGCATACTAGAATGTACTGTGCCCTTAGCACTGCAAAAATAGTCTTTCAATTTCTCTCTTCATAGGTGATGTGGTTCTCATTATTCACCTTATCTGGAGTGGGGGCAGGGGGAGAAAGAAAGCAGCAGCAGGGAAGCTAAAGAATTAATTTATTTAGACTAATTTAGTAAAGGTCATGAAAAATTGAAAGCTGTCAATCCTGGAGACATAATAAAGGAAAGATGTGATACTTGGTTGAATATAAAACTCCAAGAGAGAAAAAAAGAAAATATAACTCTTGGGTGGAGAAATTTGGGTAATGGTAAACATTACTGACAATTCTAGGTAAAGGAGAGGGAGTGTATGAAGAGAAGAGTTCAACACATTTTATTTCTTTTGAAACATTAATTCAATTTCCATATTCCACACCAATTTTAAATAAAAAGCATTCTTTTCAAACGTTCAAACTAAGAAGTAGGAAAGAGTACAACACTAAATCTTCAATTTAATATCCTATCTTTATATACTTTTATGCTTTTTTATACATTCAAAAATTATTTTCCAAGTATGACAGAATATATTTTAAATGAGTATGTTTTTTACTTGATATATACTTAAAAGGTTGAAGGTTTTCACGTAATTTCTCTAAGTATTGTTTTCTCTTTGTATATCATATAAGGGATTTCACATTCACTTATATTACTTTCAATTGTCAAGTCTGCTAAGTCATTTGTCTAAATACAGCTATGTCTTCTACTATGTTTCTGAAATTCTGAAACATGAATTTATGTCTTATGTTCATAAGAACTCTTTCTTTAAAGGGTTTCACTAATGTAATTCTTTCCTAGAATGTTAGTTTCATACATAAAGAACATTCTTATTTAGTCACACTGACTGTGGGGTTTTTGGGGTTTTTTGGTAGAAGCAAAGTGTACTAGTTTATACTTTTTAATAATTTCATTTGTGTCTCTTAAATATGAGTTTATTACTACATATCTCACACAAGGTATACTTGCTATATATATATATAATTCAACTCCTATCAGTTTAATGCTACTGTATGATATCATTTATGTATTTCTGCATCAGCATTACTTAACACACTATGATTCAAGAAGGTAGAAACAGCTGGGCACGGTGGTACAAACCTGTAATCCCAACTGCTTGGGAGGTAAAGAAGAGGATCACAGTTTGAAGCCCAGGCAAAAGTTAGCAAGATCCTATCATAAATAAGCCAGACCATTCAAAGTAGCTCATGCCTGTAATCACAGCTACTCTGGAAGTGGAGACCAGGAAGACTATGGTTCAGATCAGCACGGGCATGGAGGCTTAAGTAGAAGGATCAAAGTCCAGGCCATCTCAGGCAAAAAACTAGAGATGCTATCTGAAAAATAACTAAAGCAAAAAAGTCTGGGGATATAGTAAAGCAAAGTTCAAACTCCAGTAACACACACACACACACACAGAGAAATCAAAAACCACACACACACACACACACACACACACACACACACACACAGAGAGAGAGAGAGAAATCAAAAACCAAAAACCAAACCAACCAACCAACAAAAAAAAAACAAACCCAAAGGTGGCACATGCCTGTGATCCCAGCTAAGGTAAGAGGATCAAAGTTTGAGGCCAGCCCAGACAAAGTCACTGTAAGACTCTATCTGAAAAAAAACAAACTAAAGCAGGGTGCAGTAGCTCACACCGATAATCTTAGCTACTCTAGAGGAACAGCTTGGGAAGATTGTGGTTCTATGCAAACCTGGGCAAAAAGTTCACAAGATCCCTTATCAACAAATAAAAAGCTAGGCATGTCATTGTGTAGCTGTCATCCCAACTACATGGGAAGTATAAATAGGAGGACCACGGACAAAGCCTTTCGGGGCATAAATGCAAGACCCTATGTAAAAATAACCGAAACAAAAAAACCAAAAAGGTCTGGGGGCATGGTTCAGGTGGTACAGGGCTGGCCTATCAAGTGCAAGGCCCTGAATTCATAAAAAAACAAAAATAAAAACAAAAAAAAAAACCCTGCAAAATGACTGGGGGGGGGTATGACTCAAGCAGTAGAGTGCTCAGCTACCAAGAACCAGAATTCAATCACTAGCTAAAACAAAACAAAACAAAAAGGCAAAAACAGATTTACCTGACTTTGAACAAAATCTAAAAAACGCCCTTCAGCAATGCCACTGCTAACTGTATTACTGGTGAGATCATATAATTAAAATTACTTCTTTCACAGAGGAATGACTGAAGTCTGTGATTAAGTGATTTCACCAAAGACTAAACCAATTGGTAGCAGAGCCAAGTCACCCTGTTCATTATACCACATTGTTTCCTGAGAAATCAGGTCAATTTAACTTCTACCATAAGTAAAAGATTAGAACTATAAATGTTGCACCTCCTGCCTTCAAGAAGCTGAAGAGATTTTCTGGAAAGAAAACAACACAGAGAAACTTATGAAACAATATAAGACAACATTATTAAAGGAAATTATGACCAGGGGCCAAAATTTTTAACACAGACTTTAATTTTAACACACTTTAAGAACTATCAATCAGAGAAGGAAACTGGGATAAGCCTAAAAAGGCTGGCAACATGTAAACAGCACAGAAGGAATGGAAGGAGAGATAGTGAGAAGAGGTGACAGCATTAACCAAGGCAAGAATGAATAAACATGGAAAACAATATGGCAATATATGACTACTGGAAGAACACCATGTTTCACTTCAGTAGATACAATTCTTTCTTAAGTCATTTAAAAGTAGACTGGAAGAAAACTTGAGTGATTTAGTTATGCATAATTAAGCTTTTAGAATTAAAATAACAGATTAAGTAACATCAAATATTCCTGAAAAATTAGCAGATGGCAAACTTTTGAATATAAAAATCTTTTGATCACACTGAGTTTGCAAAAGTAATTAAAGCCTAATTCTATTTTGCCATCTTGTTATATCAAAGGATATTTATTGTCTCCCATGGCCAAGACATTCTTTTCAATAACCAGACAATTATTTCAAATATTCTGGGATACTATCAAAAGATCACATTCAATAAGATTCCACACAAAATTGTTCTTAAAGCACAGGCATAAAATGTGAGACAGAAAAGCTGTGTATAAAAAATCAGATCTTCCATGTTAACAGTAGTCCAAGATCCTACCTCTATGGAAACCAAACACTGTTCTAATTCAAGTAATCACTGGTTTGTATTGCTAGTTGTGTTCCTAATTCTTGTTTTTATTTTGACAGAAGAAACCAGAAAACTTGCTTATATCATTATACAGATGGTAGAAGTAAGTCTTTCCAAGCTGACTACCTTTAATTCACTTCAACAGAGCAAAGAGGTTTGAAACCATAACTTGTACAACTGTTCTCCGAATTTTAACTATTGCATTTAAGTAAATACTAACAATTGCTTAAGCAATAAAGGAATCTATCTCCACCCATAAATGTGGTAACTCTTGTCACACCTGTCTATCTGGAATTCCTAAGTATCACTCACCTGCACAGATCTGAAGGTAGTAATGAAAGGCAACATGATATGATAGCCTGGTCCACTGGGGCTAGTTAGTAAGGCTCCTCCCCTGTAAAAAGATATTTCAATTTGACAAAAATATAAAGAAATTCTCTTTCCAAATCTGAAATGCTATAATAAACATTTACTTTACTTATGCTACTAACTTATTAAAGTCTCACTAATAGTAGTTACTAAGGACAAACAACTGCTGCTTAAAATAAAATACCTACCACACCTAAAAAGGTGAAAGCATCAAATTGAACTGCCATTACAACTCTCTTTTCACGAGCTCCACCAACTCTACCTCTGGGTCTCCAGTGCTGCTCTCAGGTTCAAAGAATTCTCTCTGGTCTTTGCCAGATATTGGAATTTTTTTTTTAATGGGAAAAAAAAAGGAACCTAAGGAAAAACCATAAAAAGGACCAGATTTCCTAAAGAGCATCTATGATGGCAAGCTAAAAGCACCTTACAGTTGTATGGACGTATGGACTGTAAATGAGTTATACATCTTTTCAGTCTCAGAGTGCCTTCTTTCGTCCGTTCTGAGGAATCTGAGCCTGGGCACAACAAGAACTCAACACTAAAAAGTGCCCAGTACCTGGAGGGGCTCCGCCAAAGCCGATCTCGCCCCTGCCTTCCCCAGGACTGGAACAAGAATCACTTCCAAGCCAGGACTAGGGATCCGGGGGCAGCGGATGGAACTTCCCAGACTCCACTCTGACGCCCGTGACCTTTCTGTCCACTCTACAACCTGGACTGGCTGCACATGACGCTCACCTGTAGTACACAGCCAGGTGTCCTTCCTCGATCTTGTGGATGGAGGCATAGAGGAGAACCACCACTAACCCCACCACTGCGGCCACCAGAACTCGGGCTTGAGTCATATTCATCCTTGTTCCTCCTAGGTGAGGGAGGAGAGGACCCTCAGTCCCGCGAGGGGCACACCCGTCCCCTCTAATTTCCACTGTCCCACCCGAGGCCTGGCACCCTCTCGCAGGCTGAGCAAGTCCTGGATCCCTTTTCCTTCACCGTCTCTCCTCGCCCGGGCCGGCTGTATTCGTCTACCCCTCCGCCCAGGCGGCCCGCCGCTGCGCGGTGAGCGTCGTGACACCCCCAGTTCTAACGGCTGCTCCCCCGGCGGAAAGCACTAACTGGGGAGGAGCCCACCTTCAGGCACCGGAGGGAGAACGACCCCCTCCGTTGCGCCTCACCGGTCAGTGACGCATCGCCCCCGCCCGCACGTGCAGCCGCCTCCCCGGCGGCGCCAACCACCGGCCCCGCCCACTCGCCCAGCACTGCGCTTGCGCAGGGACGCACAGCGACGCAACGCCCCGCCCGCCCTCAAGACTCGCGAGACCGGGAGCGGGAAGGGTCAAAATTCTCCCAGCTGCTTGTCCGCCTAATGTTCTGCAAAAGCAGTTAGCTTTTTCTTCGTGCGCACCTAAACAGCACCAAAAGAGGGGAACAGTTAGTTGAGAAGCAGGGGAAAGGAGAGGGCCGCTTAGATAGGGGACTGGTTAGTTTGTTCTTGTGCAGAGAACCCACTCCCTCACTCTCAGTGTGGTAGTTGTTCCTTTTATTTGTCCTTTTGTGGTTTATACCGAGCTCTATGTTGTGGCAAGCATTTATGTACTTCAGGCACACAGATCTTTCACTTGAGAAGCAACCAATATTGCGAGGAAAGTGCTGTGGAAGTTCAGAAGGGGAAGCTATTCGATCTGAGGGCACCATTCACTCAAATTGTGGTTTCTGTTCAGGCCGGGATGCTGATCCAAGAGGGCTTTATGAAACTATCCAGAATGGACTAAGCATGTAGAATGCGGCTGGGGGTGACCTTCAAGGAGACCAAAAGGAACACGAAGCACTTGCGATTCCTTGAAGCCTGTGTGATGGAAAGGAGTGGTAGAGTAGGCTAAACCAGATTTAGAGTCTGGAATGCATTTTGCTGATAGAAAATAGGATGGCTACAAGACAGAAGACTTTTTTTTTCAGTACGTATTTTACTGTTGTTTTACATTTTTACTCTATATACATATATTGCCAAAAATAAAAAAAGGAAAAGGAAAAGGTCGCTGGTGGAGTGAAAAGGATGAATACAAGGGAAATAAGGACAAGTTGGGCAGAAATGATGTAAGTTTTGAAAGGATAGTAATGGTGGGGTGTCACACTGGATAAGGTTGGCTAAGTTTGGAAGGTTCTCTTAATCTCTTAGGCAGGGAAATATGGGAAAGCAGTGGTTTAACAGTGACTATTCTAAGAGTGGAGGCAGATTATAGGCTGAGAAGCCAAGTAATTAGGAAACTGCAGATCCAAGGTTATAGTGGTACTAGCAGTGGAAAAAAGTAATAGAATCAATTCAGGTTTTCATTAAAGCAAGTTTTACCGGACCAGTCTGGTCATTCTCTTTCAATAAATGCACTTATCTGTATCATTCGATTTTTTTTTTAACCTAGGGATTTCTGGAACTCTGTCTATTCCAGATAAATGATATTTACAGAACTTAGCTATTTAAATTTCCAAAAAAGAGCCAGTTGTGGTGGATACCTATAATCCCAGTATAAGAGACTCAGGCAGAAGAATCATGGAAAAAAAAAGGGGTTGGGGGGGACAAAAAGAATAAAAAATAACTTGTTCCAGGCTCTATGTTTTTTAGATGACTTTCTTAGTTTGTCATAATATTGCCTCGTTTAGAGAATGAAACATATACAGTTTACAACTTTAATTCAACTCTGAAAAGTTGTTACTGAACAAAAAATTAGAGTGGGCCACTTATGTATCAGAGGCAAATTTGGGGTAGTCTTATTATAGTAGTCTGTTGTGATCCGTATCACTTGTCCAGATTGTTGCCTTGACATTACTCCAGCCACACACCATCAAAATGCTCCTCATCATGTAGCAAATCTTTTACCAATTACTACTATGATATTTAGAAAATGCATGATCACTGAAAAACTAAAAAATAATTACAATGCTTGGATGGCCCGCAATGTTCAGACTCCCAGATAAGCATTTTTCTTTTCTTTTTTTTAAGACAGATAGCACAGGCTGACCTAGAACTTGCTATGTAGCCCTGGCTGGCCTGGAACTGGAGCTCCTCCTGCCTCCACCTCCCAATTTGCTGGGATTACAAGTATGTCCCACTATTCCAGGCCCCCAGGTAAGCACTTTTATTGTACTGCCTATGTTAACTTTCTGATCTTCCCATCTACCTTATTATCTTCTGAGCAACAAATATCCAATAAATGTTTATTATTAAAGCCTTCTAGAACTCGGGAAGCAAGACTGCCTACTTTAAACAGCTGGGGGATGGCATTACCATCTTAGAGAGACATTGATACTTGGTGATTATGAAAGAGAGGACAACTCCAAGGTTTCGAACATGGGTGACTGGAAAAATGACACCATCAGCAAAACTGGGGATAGCAGGACTATGTCAACAGTTTAGAGAGCAAGATGTAGCCTTTTATTTTAAAACAGTACTGGAGTTTGAACTCAGGGCCTCACGCTTGCTAGGCAGGTACTCTATCACTTGAGCCACTCAGCCAGTCCTTTTTTATGCTGGGTATATTTGAAATAGGGTCTTGTGAACTAGGTGCCCAGGCTGTCCTCAAACTATGATCCTCCTGATCGCTGCCTCCCAAGTAGCTAGGATTAGAGGCGTGAGCCACCAGTTCCTGGCTCTAACATGGTCTAAAGGCAACGACAGTGGTGATAGTACATCTCAGAGAAAAACACTACAGTAAAGAAGCTGCCCAATACCTACTGTTGCAGAGGTCCTGTTTAGCTGCTAAATAAAGTACAAGGAGAGCCTAGTGTGTTACTCTGTGCTTCAATACCACTGCATGGCCCTTCACATTTTCCTAAGCCACATTAAACTATTGTGTTAAAATCTGGGTTTTATAATGAACAGAGATACAAAAGTCATTCAAAAAATCATTTAATACACAAAGTGAAAAACTATCTAGAATATAAAAGCATTTCACATTTTTTAAACAAATAATACCTTCTAAATTATTTAACAAAATAGAGATCCACAATCCTTTATCTGAAACCCTTGGGGCCAGATATTTCAGAATTATTAAATTTTCAGATTTTAGAAAGGTAATTAATTTAGTGCACATACCATACTACATCAACCCTCAAAAGAGTTTGTGGCAGCAGCACCAACCCAATAATCATTAATTAATATTTCTGCAACAAAATAAATGAATATTCACACTTAATGGGATAAGCAGATTCAATGTCAGTTCAGATTTCATTTGGAAGCAAATGAATTTGTCACTAAGCTTATGAAAATCTTGTTTTCAGAACTTCTTGGATTTTGAAGTTACAATTGCAGATAAGGGAATGCAGACCTCTTGTATGACAAGACATGAAAGATTGTTCAAACAAATTACTCATTTTTACAAATGAAAAAACATGTAACCTTTCAAATACATTATAAATTAACAGGCATCTTCTTTCTGATATTATTAAATGTACATCTTAAATACATATACATACAGCATATAACATGACTTATAAGTCAACTGGTCTAAAAGGCACAAGAGCACAATCCCTTCAGTGAGAAGGGGTTATTAAATGTACAGTAAAATTAAAAATGGAATTAAGCCACCTCCTCATGATGCTAGGAAGAGCACTTGCTAAGTGCAACACAAGGAGGTAGGGTTTATTCTTCAAGAAGTACTTGTGAGCAGTCTCTTCCACACAAACACAGGTAGACAACTTTTATTTAAAATGAATTAAGGTGATGGTTTCTTCTTTGTATAAAATACGCTGTTTGGTCTTATACCTAAAAGTTAAAGCTTTAGAAGGTATTTTATGTCAGTTAAGTAAGTAATGTTTCATGAAGTTTGAATACAATTGAGTCACAAGTCCATTGTTTTTGTTATAAAATCCTATCTGTTCAGAGATTTAAACTACTCAAAATCAAGATACTGTGCTTGTAAAATCATGCGTAGTTTTTGTCCATAGCCATTTCTTCCATTGACTGGTGTGTGAAGAATAGTTTCATGGAGGAAAAACAGATTTCCAATACATGGTCAACAACTTCCATAAGTTTGAGGACAATGAACAAGAGGCAAGTCATTCTGCTAACCAACTCCAATCAAGATTCTAAAACCGGGCATGAAAAAGTTACAGTTAGAAGATGATTTAAGTGGCAATATAAAGGTATTCATTTTTATATTTTTTTTGTATCTTTGGACATTTCATAAATAAAAGTTGAAAAATCAAAAATATATAAGTTATAGTTAATTAGCCCACTTATTTTCAGCTAATTTCAAAAAATAGTTCAAATAGTTTTCATAAAAATTTGAAGCAAGTAATTATTATTAATGAAAGAGGAAACACAAAGATTGACATTGATTCTAAATGCAGTAAGTTAATTCAGTAAACATTTTATTGTAGATTCTCCAAGTTTTTACAAATCAACAGTTCAAAGTAACCAAATCTTAATATAAGCATTTTTGTTAATTACAATTATACTAACATAATTCATTTTATATGCAACAGGTACTATATTTGAATTATAGTATAAGTTCTCTCATGTTGGAGAAAATTGACTGAAGTAAAAAGATGCAACAAACCATTCAATTTCAGTAGTCATATTGCAAAGAAAGCTCAATTTGACCAAAAATTATACTGTTGACATAACTCTAGCAAATTCAAATTGTACCAGTAGATGGGGATTTCAGATTTAAGACATCCCTCAAATATTCTTTCTTCTGAGTTCTATCCCCTATATGTATCCCAAATGCAAGATACAGGAAGCACGGGAAGTTAAATCTTTTGCACTCAATATATCTAAAATGCACACTCATAGCCACATGTGACTTACCATCATGCTACTGCCCTGTTCCTCATTTGCTTCACGAATAATAGTACTTAAATGGCCGAGACAGTTCAAATTTTCTTCTATCATTTGTGGTAAAGTTTCCCTGTGGGATGAAAGAACAAAATCTTTTCAAGTTCAGCAAAGAGGCATATGAATGTCCTTTTTCTGGTCTTCTAGATCAAGATGTGATCATCCTTCCTGCAACCCAGCACTCCATTGCATCTAACTTCTATAGCCTTCCATTTCTTCTTCCCTCCCACCCAGAGGCAAAGTCTTGCTTCACCCAAGCTACTCCCTCTAACTCTAAGAAGTCCACTGTAATACCAATCAGATTTTCTTCTGAAATGTAAGTAGCACTTACATATAACTTTTTCCCCCTCGAAAATGCTAACTGAGTGTAAAAGATTCTTATGGCATAGACAGATGAAAGACCTCTTTTTATTTCTGGAGTATTTCCTTTTCCTTACAAGTAGCAAAAACACCAGCATGCTGACTTCACAGATACAAATGTAGGAAGACAATTCAAAAGTACAATCTGTTTTGGAGAGATCAGGGAAAGTAAAAAATTCTAGTTGGAAACTACAGATAATAGAATGAAAAGGAAAATAAGCAAGCTGATTCCTGAGGAAAGCAGAAGAAGACGGTGTCATAAGGGAACTGCCCAGAACCAAGAAATATCCCTAGAAGTTTACATTTGAAGGATATTGGGATTCTGGTTTCCACCTTACTGTTTTTTCTCTTCCATACGGACTGTATTGTCACCCTTTACCAACCCTCAGTCTCTCCTCTACCAGAGTCAGTTCTAGGCCATAGATGATAGCCACTATTAGTTTAGAACAAAATGCCAATTCAGTTCTTATTCAACAGATGGAAAAATTGAGGCTAACAGTTCCTAATCCTTGGTAGTTAAGTAGCATGGGTATAGTATAATTAAAATCAGATACACTTTCTGCAAACAACCACAACCTCAAATTGAAAGTTAAGCTGTAGAGGTGACAATTGTAATCATTAGCTCCCTTAACAAAACTAAATAACTTTAATGAAAGCAAAAGGTTAACAATGTATTAAATCTTACTTTCCTCAACTGACTGATTATTTCCTAAAGTCTATATAATTAATTATAACTTAAGCTATACTTGCAGATGTTTTACATTGGGCCAAATCCATAATAACCTAAGATATACCCTGGAACTTGCTTTCTTTAAAAACATAAAATACCTGATGTGAGCTTGCCTTCCTGCCATGTGCTTTTGCACTCATAAAAGCAGAGTACAGAATGTGCAATTACATGACCTCCTGAGCAGTGATGTAACTTGGCTGCATTTCTGCAAAACTAATTATGGGCAGAACTTCCAGGAAATACTGGTGCTGTAGAGTTCTCCATGAATTGTGAGAAAAATGACAATACACAAGCTAGCAAAGAGCCACTGGCTCTGGATACGGCACATCTTATGCTGAGAAAATGACAGAGATGGATAGTCATTCAGCTTTTAGCAAGAGTAGGAACTAATAAAAGAAAATACAGGGCTTCAAACTTGAGTTTGTATTTGCAAAATGAATTTCAGGTATTGAAAAATATCTGATTTTAGAAATACTAAGTTATAAAATAGAGTAGAACTCATTACTTTATTAAAAGGGTAGATGAGGAACACAAAATGATAACTGCAAAAAAGATAGCATAATTTCTCAAAGAGATAAATGTTTAAGGAAGGAATTAGGTTTGGGTAAAAGAAATCAATAAGCCATTAACAGAGAAAGGTCTCAAAACTTGGACTGTGCTAATTATAAGTAACATTTGCTGAATATTTGTTTCCCAAGCATTTTACACAGGCTATTTGAATTTTCACAGCAGTTCTATAAGATATTCTCATTTTAAGTAGGAAAATGTAAACGTTAAAAAAAGTCAGGTAAATTGCCCAAGATTGTTACAAAGGGACAGTTAAGACTCAACCTTGGTCTGAAAGCATGGAAGACTGCTTTAACTACTATACTGTACTGCCTTGTTCCAAACCACTGCTCTGAAAACACAACTATCTATTGTTACAAAGTGAACCCACCCATCTTGAGGAGTTACCACGCATGACAGAGGGTGTTCACATTCTGCTAAGGTCGGGGGTAGCCATGCTGATGCGTGAGGGGTTACTGCACCTTCTAGACTGGACCCCACAAGGGAGCGGGCAGAACTCTGTGTCTGAAGGAAAAAAAAATTTTTTTAAATATTTCAGGCAAATACCTCTGTTGATTTACACAATTTCTTACTATAGTCCTATGACATTTTCATCACTACTTAATACACAACCAAAGTATTTCTGTACAAAGCTATTCATTCCCACCTTTACATACCATTAATAACTGTTCTGTTGTTAGCCCCTTTCTTCCTTGACTGAAACTGAAGGTATATGCTCCTCTAAGACTTTAGGGGCTGGGAGTAGTGGCTTGTAATCTCAAGTACTCAAGGTGGTGGAGATCAGGAGGACTGTGGTTCACAAGACCAGTCCAGGCAAAAAGTGAGTGAGCTGGGTGTGGTGGTCTGCACCTGTCATCCCAGACAAGTGAGAGGCCATAGATAGGAGGAACATGATCTGAGTCTGGCCCCAGGCAAAACCATGTGATCCTACCTGAAAAATAACTAAAGCAAAAAAGGACTTGGGGTATGGCTCAAGTGATAAAGTGCCTGCCTAACAAGGGCAATGCTCTGAGTCCAAATCTAAATAACAAAAAAACTGACTTTGATTGGAGGGGCAAAAAAATCTAGATGAACAACAGGTTGGTTTATTAAGTAGTCAAGACACAGTTATACCCAAGCTGGGTTAGGACACCATAGTGGTTCAGGGCCAGAGGACTATAAAACAGAGGAACTGGAAAAAGAAAGTGCTAATGCAAAAGTCCCGAATCTCTATTGCTAGTCAGACACCAAACAAGGAACATGAGCATGAACTCAAGGCAAAATGTACATATGCAAGAGGACATAGCTCATGCTGACAAAATCACCTGCAGAGAGTGACAGCAAGTCAATGTCACATTTACTGATAATTACTTACACAGGCAATTTTAAGGAGATGCCATATTTCTTTCTGCCTCTTTCCCTGCATAAACATGACAGTATTGTCAGCTTCTTTGATGTTACTGAGGGCGATTTCCACTTTGGGGAGTAGATCAATAATCTTCTGCTTACAGCCCAACAACTTGCTAGAGAGATTAAATCAGTGTCAGATACTTATCACATCTTTCAAGACAGTCTACCATACTCCCAAACCCACCTGAGGAAACGAACCACAATCAGCATCACACTTAATGACTGATTGAGCTCCAAAGCAATGGACATATAAAAGTAAGCAGCTGTGGCCAAGCTATCAAAGATTCTGCGTAGAACTCTTCTTGGGTCTAGTATATTTGCCAAAGAGGGGTACTGTACTTGAAAGCAGCATGATAAAAGAGTCTTTTAGGAGGAAATAAAGCAAGTTTTGTACCTCAGATGACCAAACAGCTCCTTGAGAACACGGTCCTGACTCTGTACAGTATGCACAATGATCTTCACCATCTCTGTGCTGTCACTGTAGGAATGATCTATAAAAGACTTTAGTCAGTGTGTATGACCTCTCTTTTACAGAGCATATCAGCTTCCAAACAAAAAATTCCTCAAACACTCTTAAAAACCCAAAACTAGTCCATAAATCATCTCTGCTTAAATTAAAAATTAGATTAAGATAAAAATTTAAGGTTATTTATAAATAAATTCTAAGGGCTGGGGGTATAGCTCAGTGGTAATTATATATCAAAATGAATTTATGTGTTTGTGTATACCTGTGTGTGTGTGTGTGTGTACACAAATATAACTGTATCTACAAAGACCGTAGTTGCTTATGTTGAAAAGAGCAGTTTTATCTATCTTTAACCCATATTAACCCAAACTCAGACATATAAATAGCAGCCTCTGGCCAAATGACCAACTTTTTTTTATCTTTAATATGGAATGTCTCACGAATTGCATGCCATCCTTATACCCTTATACCTGGGCAACACTAATCTTCTCTGTAATCATTCCAATTTTAGTATATGTACTGCCAAAGCAAGCACCAGACCAATTTGTATTATGTTATTAATATCACTTATTTAGAAACAGTAGGAAAATTCATCAAACTTTGACAGCCTCAAAGGAAGGAGGCCCTTGCCCCAATTAGGTTACTTGGATCTCATGTTTATCCATCTGTTTACAGCCCACAAAAATGCTGCAAAAAAGTTGACTGATTTAAATCAGATCTGATGCACTAAGGGACCTGTGGACACCCTGAAAATTCATCTTAAAAGCCATCTGGCAGCTGACGGATGTCCTCATGTGGAATGTTTTTTGGTCACAGTGAATTCTACAGTGAGTTTACAAGAGATACTATCTCAATTAAAAAAATTACCAGCATTGTTATATTTCAGAAAATGGCAATTTAAGTTTAAAAGAGTAGAAAAATGCTCATGCGTTATACTGCTATTTTCCTTGCTTAATAATTAAGCTTGAATGCCAAATAATACTATTACTAATATTTGCTACCTGTTTATAATTTCCTCATTTACCTTCACAACAGTCCTGTGCTGTGACTAATTTTGTTATTTCCACTTTTCCAAAAATAAAACTATAAAACAAGTGTCAAATGAGGTTTTAAAAATATTTTGGGGCTGGAGATGTAGTTCAGTGGTAGAGCATCTGCCTAGCATGCATAGGCCCAAAGTTCAATCTCCAGTATCTCAAAGAGAAAAAAAAAAGTGTCCTTTCCTATAATTTCAGAAACCTCCTTCACAGTCTAACTTTATTCCCCACACATCTGTCTCTTCCCTCATCAGATACAACCAGACACCAGACTCCGAAAACACTCTTCTCCAAACAGTACTTCTTCCTAAATTCTACAGACCAAGATTAAGAGCTTCCCCAAGTAACTGGTTCTTTGAGATGGTAAAAGACCAGAACTTTAGTGTTCCCCAACACAAAGGATGAAGGAAACTGGTTTTTATTTGAACAAGAGTCTCAGGTTAACTCTAAGGTAGAAAAGATACCAGAGACCATATAAAGCAAGTGAGATTATATATGAACCAATGATAGACAAAACTTACTTGTTATAACTAGTTTGTCATTTGAGGTGATGTCAGTTCAAAGAACTACCTGAATAGCAAATATATTTCTGGACCCATTATATGCTGATTTTCTGTCAGGGCTACTACAAAGTTTATATAAAAATAATCTAAACAAAGGCTATTGATCACCAACTGGAAAGTTAATTTAACTGAGTCAATGGATCTAATTTTGCCTGTCTTCACTTGCAATATCTGACTCATTGACTGGAATAGTGGGAGTCATGAATACTGATTAAAGGAAAAGAATTGTATTTGTTCTTTTTGAAATTTAAGATTTAAAATCTTAAAGTTTGCTCTAATCATAATTTCCATAACTTAGGTTACTACTTTGCTAATATCCTCAACATTTTTGTCTTCTTATTCAATCAGTGAAATCCTAACTCTAGATCAGTACAACTATCTAGTCTATCAGATATTATAGATACTATACTACTAGTCTATACTATACTATAATTGTACCCAAGATATAAAACTATTGACAAAAATTACTGTTCTGTTTGTTGTCAGTACTACTAATACACGTATTTACACTTCTGTTCTGGATTCTTAACATACATTCTGGATCAGCAACATTTTCCATTATACACACCAGTTTTTAAAAGTCTTAGTGTACTCCTCAAATCTATGAGGTTAGCACTTCTTTCATTAACATTAACTTCCCACTTCAGGATAGAAGGCTCTAAAGCAGTAAGATCCAGAACTTACAAAACCTACTTCTATAAAACTGTCTATCATCCACTCCTTTCTCTCCTCCAATATCAGTGGCATCAAGACTAATTGCTTCCACTATTTTCTGGAAGGACCTCTCTCCACAGGCTTTTGACCCCAGCATATAAAGATGCTCAAGTCTTCCTCTGAAAATTAACTCCCCTACATCTACATGTCCTTTAGCTACCTCTCACCTCTCTTCTTAAACAGCCCACTTCTGAAAAGAATAGTTTAGACAAGCAGTTCTCAAATTTTTTGATCTTACGACCTGTTTATACTCAAAACTTTTTTTTTTTTTGGTGGGACTGGGGTTTGAGCTCAGGGCTTTGCACTTGCAAAACAGGCATTCTACCACCTGAGCCATACCTACAGTACATTTTGCTCTGGTTATTTTGGAGATGAGGTCTTGTGAACTATTTGCCTGGGCTGGCTTCAAACTTAAATCCTCCTAATCTCAGCCTCCCAAATAGCTAGGACTACAGGCATGAGCCACCAGTGCCTGGCACTCAAAACTTCTTAAGAATCTCAAAAGGAGGACTGGTAGAGTGGCTCAAGTGGTACAGTGCTAGCTTAGCAAGCATGAGGCCCTTAGTTCAACCCCCCCCCACAAAAAAAACCCCTCAAAACAATCCATTGCCTATTAACATATTTTTTGTTAAAAATAACTACATTTTTCAAAACAAAAACCTTAGTGAGTAAACTGACATTGTTTTTTGTTTGTGCAAATCTTTCAAATGTGACTGATCTCATCAGTAAAGTCTTCAAGTATTGAGAAGCAGACAAATTACAGTTGGTAAAAGTTTTCTAAAATTCTAATTTTTCAATTAAAACATGGAATTTTATCATTGACATTTTTCCCCTTAAAGTAACAAGCATGCTTTCACTTAATTTAGGAGGAAATATCTGCTGCATACCCAAATCTAAATACCCATCATTTGGCTGAGTCATTCTTTCAACTAAAAGTGGTGTTTCATGAAAGAAGAGGCCAGACAATAAGCAATGTTAGTAGTCAGTAGTTTTTCCCTTAAGACAACCATCATACTTCACTATATAGCAGAAATGCTTCATGAGTATTCCCTTTTTATGACACAGAATATTAAGAAGACATGTACTCAGGGGTTGAGATTTAAATAAAATTAACCTAGACCCTTGGGACATGGTTCCAAGGAGACTGTCATTGAGGAAAAACTGCAAATGCTTAGGACACATTGAGTTCGATGCTATACTGCAGATGCTTTGGATTTTTCCCCATAATGCTGCCCAATTTCCATTAAAGACATGCAACCTTTCAACAAATGTAAAATTTTCACTTATCACTTAAGTACATTGTGTGTCCCTTTTGACTTGGGAGGATTATCATAACTTTTACCTCGCTTTTTTGGGCATCATTTGCTTTTGTAAAGGCATACTGTATTTTCACAAAACTAAGGGCACAGAAACATTCAGCAGATCACAGAACAACTTAAACACAACTGACAATAAGATGAGACTGACTGAGAGCTATTCTGCAACAACTAAGCTGTATAAATGAATGCGTGGGAACTGAAAATTTGTTTTTGAAATTCCTTTTGTGTGTATGTATATATTTAATATTTTTTGACCGTGCTTGGTCAAAAGTGTGTGTAATAAATCTGTGCTTACTGTATATATTTACTGCTTTATTGAGGGCACTCTTAAATGAAACTGACTTTTAAGAAACTATGAAGGTAAATGAGCATGGTGGTCTATACCTATAATCCCAGCTACAATGGGAGGTAAGAGGCAGGAAACTTGAATGTTCAAGGCCAGCCTGAGCAAAGTTAAGAGTCCCTACCTCAAAAAACAAAATAAGAAAAGACTGAGGGCATGGCTTATGTGACAGAATGCTTGCCTAGCAAGTTTGAGGACATGGGTTCAATCCCCAGTACCACAAGAAAAAAACAAAAGCAACATTGAATATATGGTGGTAAAAAAAAAATATTACTACTAACATAGTCTGGTGTCCTAGTCCCTTGATTTATACTAAGGTGCAAGCCATCTTACCTAAGGATGATTTTAAACCACTGACAGAAATGTCAACATGGTCAAAAGCAAAAAATGTCTTAATGTTATGAAAAACAGGTTTTGTTTTTGTTTGAGACAGGGTCTTGCTATACAGCCTAGACCGGCCTAGAGTTTGCTATATAGCCCAGATTGATCTTGAACCCCATAATCCCACTGCCTCTGTCTCCCAAGTGCTAGGATTACAGGCCTGTGCCACCACACCTGGCTGAAAGACAGTTTTGACCTCACAGACTCTGAAAAAGTTTAAGAATCCTCAATGGCCCTTTAAGTCATACTTTGAGAACTACTAGCCTAGACTTCTCCCTTTTCTACTGTCCTAGTCCCTCTTCAGTCCACTACAATTTGATTTCTGTCCCAAAAGGTTATTATATTTTACAAGGTCACCACTAATGTGCAAACACCTAAGCCCAATGTGTGAATGTGCTCATACATACCAACGCATTTTGCTCTACTGATCACTTTCTCCTTGAAACTCTCTGTTCCATTTCTGCCATGCAATTATCTACATATTCTGGCTGTTTCTCAATGTTCTTTGGTGGCTCCTTTGCTTTAATTCACTTTGTATATGTTATAACCTAGGATTCTAACCCTGGCTTCCTTATTCAACCTGCTTTTTCAGGATCATCTCTTCACTTTTATGGCTGATTATTCCCCAAAGAGCTCAATACCTAGTCCAGACCTCTCTGCTAAATCTATATACCTAAGTATGTATACATTTATATATATGTAGGCATATATGCATATAAACACATGTAATATGTACACATATCAACATAAACCATTAAACATGCCCACCTGAATGTCCCACTGCCCTTAACACCAAAATGTACAAAGATGAAGTCATATTCTTTTCCAATCAAGTGTGTCATCCTTCCTATATTTCCCTGGTCCTAGCACATAACCAGCTGCCCTAAGCAGAAACTTTGAAAGCATCCATGTTTCTTCCCACGAAAGTTGTCACCATCCATATTCAATCTATCATTTATCAGCTGAACCTCCTAAATATCTCCCTAGCCCTTTTCCTCCTCTTTACTCCACTGCCACAGTTGAGGCTCTTATGCCTTAGTTCATAGCCCACCCTGTACAGAGCTATGATTATTCTAACAATATCATAACTGATGCCCTGTCAATAGCCTAGCCACATTTTAATCCATTATCCACAATGCCATCATAGCAGTATTGTTAAAATGCTAATCTGATCATGTAATTCTTGATTAGAACTTTTTAGGGTTTCTGTCATCATGCTGACATTCAAACTCTTCCCATGACATACCAGGTCCTTTATGATTCAGCTGTATTTCTCTCTCTTTTGCTGAAACTCTACACTCCAGTCACACTGCATTTCCTTAAACATGCTAAGTGCTCAGTGTACATGTTTTTACAGATTATACCATTATGTACTTCCTTCTTTGATCTAGCTACTGCTGCTTATCCTTTAAGGCTCATTTCAGATGTCACCTCCTGCAGGAAACCACTTCTAACCTTCCTGGACCCCTAAAGTTAGGTGACTGTTTTAAATGTACTTCATAAATGTTTATACAAATAAACTGAACAAATTCCACTGTAATAAAAACCAGTATTAGGAGATCATGTTTTTTTTTAAATATAATTTCACATGTAAATTAATCTGTGTATGTTGCTATGTGTTTATAAGTGAAACATACTCTTTTTACAATTTATATGCATTGTATTATAGGGCACAGATGTCATTTTAATTTCTTCTGTAACCCTTCAAAATAAATAACTTTTCAACTAAATAATAACATCCTGCAGGTACATAATGCCTTATAGTTTTCAAAGCATTTTCACAAATATTATCTTAAATACATTGCTACAACTTACTCACTGAATTAGGAAAGCTAGTCTTCAATCCTATTTTGTGGAAAAGGGGAATGAGATACAGGGAGATTAGCCTGAGATCATTGTCATTAAACTACCCAATCTAGAATTCAAGGTTTCTGATTCCCAGCAAATGCTCTTTCCTTCAGACCATGCTCTGAATTTAGCTGGTGCTCAACAGGAACTATTATGCTCATGATGCAATCAGTGACCAGTGCAAGTGAAGGCATCATTTTAAAGGTAAACTACTTTTGCCTAGACCTGGGCTTCCCTCTCACCATTCCACATATGAATCCACTGCATCAAATTATTTCCAACCTCCCTAGTCTTAAGCAGACTTAGTTTTCTTTTTTGATCTTTGCACACATTTTTCTGCTTCGTTTTTCTCTTCTTGGAGTTCCTTTTTGCTCTTCCATTCCTTCTTTTTTCACTTCTCTTGTAAAAATGTTTCTACTTTCTTGTAAAAATGTTTCCTTGTTACTGTCCCTTTCTAATCTCTAAAATTCTCATAAAATTAAAAGCTGTTATACCATGAATATCTCAATGGCAATACCAAAGCAGGAATTTATTCAGCAATTTTTTAAAAAAAAGTAAATTTTAAATACCCCAAGTTTGTTAAGCTACTGTCAGTTTCCTAAAATGCCTTCAAATACTGTAATAGAAATGTCTTACCTGCAGGTCTGTGCTTTAACTGCTTATAAAGATCAATGGCACGTTGCTCCCTACAAAACAGAAAACATGTTTCTAAATGTGAAGGTAATTTAATGACTCCAATAACCTACAACTTGAATGAATAATATCGATGATTTGAATAATGATCCCATTCTAAAGCAAGTTCCAGTTGCCAATGAATATTTTACACAGAATTTTATTGAGTGATAAGCAAAGACAAGTTCTTAAAATTTGAAGTTTAACATTCTTCATATCAGTTCTGCTCTTCCACCACAAATTCATCATCCTTGTACCTGAAACACTTAAATAGGAAATTATGCCTTGTAATTAGAGACAAAATCTGAAGTTTCTAATCTAGACACTTAGGAAGTTAGCCTCATTAGGGCAACTAAGAGATAATACCTTGGACCAGAAGCATAGTAAGTTGAGAAATAGCTTGTAACTTAGATATATTTGGAAAATTATTAACACTCACATGAAAAAGAGACTTTAATTTAAATTGGCAAAGGTCAAGCCAAAATATTATTTCTAGAATTTCCTGTGACTAAGAAATAGCTCCCCTTTTAAATATGATGCCAAAATATTTGAGGAAAGGAGCACTATAGAGAATGACCTCACAGAGGCTTAACCTGCCAGATATAAGCAGAAAGAGCAATGTTACAAGTTACAGACATCAAGAACAACAACACAAGTATATTCTTACAGAGATTCCATCAAGTCTCCCTGACGTCTTCCATAAGGGCTCTTCTGTAGTTCCATGATTTCAGTGTGTAAAGACATAATCTGATCCTCTAGGTATCCAATGACACCAACCTAAAATATGAAAATGAAAAGGAAATGACAGGCTTACCACCACACAATATAAAACAAAACTTAAACTCCAAAGCAGACCATTTAGCAGAACTAAATATTTTAACACGAAACACTTATTTTATTACTTCCCTCCCCCTTTGAGACAGAATCTTGCTATGCAGCCCAGGCTGGACTGGAAGTCACCACATAGACCAGGCTGACCTCAAACTTGCAATCTTCCTGCCTCAGCCTCCTGAGTGCTAATATTACAGGTGTGTGCCACCACACCAAGCTTGTTAAAGCCCCCTTTTCTTTCCCCCAGTACTGACGTTTGAACTCAGGGCCTTGTGCTTATTAGGTAAGTGCTCTACCACTTGAGCTATGCCCTACCCCTTGTTAAAACCTTTTTATCTTCAGCTTCTGACACTTTACCTTTCACTAAAAACATCCTTTTTTTGGTTTCTCTCTTTCTCTTCAGACAACAGTAAATGAATAGCATTTGCTTTGTCCTCTGAAGAGACACAAAAGTACAGGTGTCACTAACAAAAAAAAAAGTGGCCAAAAAAACCACTGGTATTTCTTGCATATCATACCAACTGCCCTGCTCATATCTTCAGAGTGAGTGTATAATGGCAAACAGAGCAACACTCTAGGACCCTGGACAGCTGTACAGGTAGGGAAGTAATCTGCCACCTAGAGAAAGATCTATACCTAGATTATATGGAAGACCATATAATTTACTGCTAAAACCAGTATAATTTTGAGAATGAAAGGGAATATGAAAAATCATTATGGGAAGATATCAGGTATAAACTGGGGCTGTCCCAGGTAAACCAAGATGTGCAGCATCTTATTCTAAAACAGAATAACAGCAACATCTACCATTTATTACTGATCCCTATTTAATCTTCATAACCCTACTAGAAAAGGTATTGTCCCCATAATATAATATGGAAACTGAAGCTCAGTGAGGCTAAGTAATTTGCCCAACATCTTGTTTTTACCACTATGATATCTTCTTCTATACATACAAAACACCTACTAGATACTTCTCTAAAGTGCAGGAATAATATGACAAATATTCTTTAAATACCAAAACTAAAGACAATTTCTAAGGAAGACATCAATGAGCTCATTGATTTTTTACCTCAGCATAGCGGATGGCCTTTTCTTCCATTTCTTTCCATGCTTTTAGCATTTTTTCTGAAGCTAAAAAAAAAGTCTAAATTGGTTATCTCTGAAATTGTGACAGTTTTAAATACTAGCCTGCCTGCTTTCTTGTTGTATCAATATCAAAGATGTGTTATAGGTTGAAGTATATTCCCTTCAAAAGGTTATGTTAAAATCCTGACTCCTAATACTTCAGATTGTGACCTGATTGGAAATATAGTCATACTTAATCCAGTATGAAGGTGAGACTGCCATGTGACAACAAAAGTGTAGATTAAAGCTAGAAGAAGCCAGGAAGGAGTCTTCTCATAGGTTTCAGGGGGATTGCAACATTGCCAACACCTTGATTTTAGACTTTTAGCCCTAAGAATTGTGAGACAATACATTTCTATTGTTTTAAGCCATCCACTTTATGATCATTTTGTTATGGAAGTCCTACGAAAGTAATACAGGTATTTTTTTCTTTAAAAATTTTAATACATGGGCTGGTAGGTGGCTCAAGTCATAAAGCACCTGCCTTGTAAGCGTGAGGCCCTGAGTTCAAACCCCACTACCACCACCAACAAAAAAAAATTAAATACATGAACAAGTTTTTAAAAAAATATCAATACTAGAAAAGGATGTAAAAAGAAAAGATGCCCTTCCTCCCCTCCATCGCAAAGGATCTTACTATTATTATTGTTAGATGGACACATATCCTATTCTCTTATAAGTAAGACAATCTACAACACACCTTCTTTTTTCTGTAATTTAAAATATCATTGCCAATCACAGAGACAACTGATCTTTTAATATCACTATATTTAGATATACCTGACATTTTTTTTGTGGTAGTAGGTACTGGGGCTTGAACTCAGGGTCTCCCGCTTGCTTCCACTCTACTACCTGAGCCACACCCCAGCTCTTTTTTTCTTTAGTTATGTTTCAGATAGGGTCTCACTTTCTGCCTAGGGCAAGCCTCATACCACAATTCATGAATTAGAAACATGTATTGCCATGCTTGGCTTGTTTGTTGACATGGATTCTAGCTAACTTTTTGTCTAGGCTGGCCTAAACCTAAATCCTTCCAATCTCTACCTTCTGAGTGGCTGGGATTACAAGCATGCACTACCACACTTAGTCCTCATTCTTTTTTTTAACAGTTGGATAGTATGGGATTGATAAGTGAAAGATATTTCAATGAACTTATTATAATAGTTTGTCATTCATCAGAATGCCTATAATATACAAATAAAACATACATCACAAAAATAGCTTTGGAGAGTAAATTTATTCACCTAAATGGATGCTTTTGGTCATTTATTCTGAGATACATATGCTTTCCTCAGGACAAATGCACAAACAGTATTTGTTTCCTAAAAAAATATTTGTTTCATGAAATATAGTTTATTTTATTTATTGGTAGTACAGAGGTTTCAACTCAGGGGCTTGTCATCAGTGCTCCCCCTGCCCTTTTAGCTTTATTTATTTTTCAGCTAGTCTTGTACTTTCAACATACCAGATTTGGAGGATGCAAACATTTCATCCATATCACTGGCTAAGATGTCAGCCTAGTATAGATTTTGTATCCAACTTAAAAATGAGATTTGAAATTCATAGATTCTTAAATCACTTCTGTATTACTTACCTTTTTTAGAGCTAATTTTATTCCAATTGTGAAACTAAGTTGTTCAAATAAGGGTTTAAAATAAAGAACTAACACCCAAAGCAAATATGGTTTATGATGATCTAAGTTAACCTGTCTCTAGTTCTAATGTGAGTATAAGTGATAACTGACTATGAGTTAAGGAGGCAAAACATCGGAAGGCCTCAAGAGACCAGACATTCCTTACAAGTACATAATACCTAGATACTTACATATCCCATAAGTCATTTGTTCACTGTATCTCTCCAAGTCAAGTTGAATGCTTTTGTGAAAAAACTCCAGTTTAGCTTTCAGTTGCTGTGATGCTGATATCAAAGTATTCTTCATTTTTGTCAAGTTAGCATTATATCTAAGAAGACTTAACCTAAGTCACAGCAAAACAAAACATTATTATCAACACTTGTAAACACTGGATAAAAATTTAAAAACATAAATTGCCAAAAGTTCAAAACCTAGGTTTTTATTATTAACTATGAGAAACAGCTGATTTCTCATATCTAGTCTTTAAAAACTTCCTGCCTATGATAAACGATCTTATACTAGGACCAGGTCTGTTCAGGACCTACTTCTCTCAAGCCATCACAATTGGATGGTTTCTGACCATTAATAAGTCTCTAAGTCTCCAAGTCTGACCAGAATATTACATTTCAAATTGGCTCGAAATTTTAGTGTTGCATGCTTTTGCTTTTTTTTTTTTGTGGTGCTGGGGATCAAACCTGGGGCCTTATATGTGCTAGGCAGTGCTCTGCTACTGAGTTATGTCCCTAGTCCTTGACTCTTGAGTTTTTGAGACAGGGTCTTGTTATGCTGATCTTAGACTCATGATCTTCTTCCCTATGCCTCCTGAGTACTGGGCTTACAGGTGTGAGCCATCATGCCCAGCTTCACATGCAATATTGATCAGTGAAAACTGGCAAGATTAATTCTTAACACACATAACGCTGTGCTTATAGAGAACAAAATCCACTTACATTGCTGCTCTTTGTCCCTGAAACAGCCTGCTGTAGTCTTCTTTTAGTCCAGACACGTAGTGTACTGCCTCAGCCCATACTTTACGTAACTGTACAATTGGAAGCTGTATTTTGCTGTCTTGTACTATACACAGATGATAAAAAGGGAGATGAATTATGAAAGACTTTAAAGTTCATTTATCATTCTCTGAGATTTCCTTTCCAAATACCATTGTCATAATGCTAGAAACTGATGCTAGAAAGAACTTACTTGTTACAGTTCAATTCAGTTCAATATACATTTACTAAGAATTTGTAATATAGAAGCCTTTCTCTAGATATAAGGGGAAATAAAAATGAATGACATCATGACTACCCTCAGAGAGCTTGAGAATATGCCAACATGTGTCTTTTTCTTGCTTCTTTCCAATATGAAACACTCTTTTTCTTTCTGCTAATCCAAGTTCTTTATTTATTTAAGTCTTAAATCAAGTTCTATCTCCTCCACGTACCATCAGTCTTTCCTATTTCTGAATTATTTCCTGGACCATCAACTCAACTTCAAGAAAGCATATAGGACAAATACTAGTTTAATAAGACATACAAGCTAGGAGTGGTGGCTCATGTCTATAATTCCAGGTACTTGGGAGGCATAGATAGGAGCAGCACAGCGTGAGGCCAGCCCGAGCTGTTTAGTGCCAAGACTACCTGAAAAACAAACTAAAATCAAAAGTGACTAGAGGCATAGGTCGAATGTACAGTGCTTGAGCTATGCCCTCAGCCCTTAAAAATAAGCTAGTTTTATCTCTTACCCATGCTTTTGGAAAGGGAATGCTACTTTTCTAAAACCATGATAGATCATCTGTAAAGTTCAATGAAATTCCATTTTAACATCATGTAGTTCTCCAACACTGAAAGACACTCATCTTATACTTTAAGGTGGAAAATACATTCTCTGTTAATCTTTTTGAGTGAAAAAAGATTAGGCAAGCCTTGCAATGCTAGTGTTCATATCGAGAAAACATATCTGAAGGAGATTTCAAATAAATAAGTAAATAAATAAAGCTATGTATCTGGAAAAATTTGTGCCTCCATTAATCATTATTAATAGTCTTAATTAGCCTTTCTTTTATTCTCACATACCAAGCTTCGTCCTGCAGCTTCTAATAGACAAAAAAGGGGAAGCAAACTTAAAAAAAAAAAATTTAAAAATCAGGTAAGCCTGATCTCCTTCCTCCAAAATTATATATTTAAAAAGTCTAAAAGGACCCAAAAGAAACAATACCCTATTTGCAACAAGCACACCTCATACCTAGATCTTGGTGTCTAAAACCATTCTTATAAAAGGAACAAGGGATCTTTAGAGAAATGGCTGACTCTACAACTGGGGCAGGAAACATAAAAGATGAGCCTAAAATATCTTATAGTACCAGAATGTAAGAAAGTGTTAAAAACAACAAATGAAAATCAAAATAGGTGAGGTCCTGAGTTCAATCCCCAGTACCACAAAAAAAAAAAAAAGAAAATCAAAATAGGACAAAAACAACTCATTCATGGGGACATGTGAAAGGTGCAGAAGCCAATGGAAAGAGCTCCCAATGACCAAAGATAGAACAATTTGAGTAACAGAATAAACTAGTCTTGGATTATAATCCAAAGTATAAAATAAGTCTCTATGAGCCCAAGCTGATCTAAATGATTAAATTAATAAATGGGAGAGAAGAGACAATCTCCTGTGTAAAAGAATCCCAAACAGATTATGCAGATACTTTACCCTAAAGAACAGCACAGCTCCCACTCCTGAAGTATAGTTTTACATGGTGACTTCTTTCCAAAGAGTGCAGTATGTAAAGGGGGTAGGGAATTAAACTTTACAGTGAAGAGACCTGACAAAAAGTACTTCAGCCAGATGATCAAGGTCAACACCAACAGTCATAAATCATGTTGACAGCATATATTTTATATGTGATGAAAATGTCACTTTACTTCTATGATCGTTCTCTCAAAAATCTCAGTCTAAGTCACAAGAGAGGAAAACAAGGGCAAACTCCAATAGAGGGGCACCCTACAAAATATTTGACCAGTATTCCCCAAACTGTCAAGGTCATCAAAAGTAAGGAAGGTTTGAGAAACTGTCATGGCCAAGAGAAACCTAGGGAGACATGACAAGTAAATGTAATGTGGCATGCTGCATAAGATCTTAGAATAGCAAAAGGACATTAGATAAAAACTAAGGAAATCTGAATAAAGTATGGACTTTAGTTAAAAATATATTGGCTTATGAATTGTAACAAATGTACCATACAAAGTTAAGATGTTAACAATAGGGGAAACTATATGTGGGAGGGAAGATTACGTGAAACCTCTGCTCAATTTTTCTGTAAATCTCAAACAGTCCTTAAAAAAAAAATCTATTAGTAAGATAATTAAAATAAATAAAATCTGGGGGAAGGTGATTGACTTGAAAGAGACTTGAGGAACTTTGTGACGGAAAGGAAGAGTTCTGTTTTTCTTTTTGGTGGTACTAGAGTTTGAACTCAGGGCCTCACCTTGCTAGGCAGGTGCTCTACCACTTGAGCCACTCCACCAACCCAGATGGAAGTGTTCTGTATCTTGATTGTGGTATGGATTATACAGATATATATTTATATAAAGTATTAATACTGGACAACATGGATAAATCTAAAAAATATAATGCTAAATGAAAGAAGACAGAAACAAGAAACTACATATTGAATGATTCCATTTATATGAAATGCGCATACATATGTATATGTTGATACATACATATGCATATATCAAAACAAAACTTATACAATTTGCATTTTACCATATATAAACTATACCTCAATTTAAAAGAAAACTAATAAGGTAACACAGGAAAGATTAGATGTCCAATTTTGTCCTTGATTTTTTAACTTTGTGCCCAATTTTAGTTTGGGTGGACATAAATTGGTAAAATACTTAACTTTTTCAAAAAGAAAACAATAATCTTCATAGGACAGAGTACTATGAAGACTAAACATCAAGATGAATTCATAAAATAAAATGAAATAAATATTTGAGGGCTGGAGGTGCACCTCAGGGGTAGAACACTTGCCCGATATGGGTATAAGTATCTGAATATACATAGATAACAAAGGAACAATTAATAAGTAGGTTTAACTAAGTGTTGAGTTTCATTTTTTTACCTGAGAGTCCTTCCCTCAAGAAGTAAGTCTTCTCCTAAGTGAGGAATCTGGTGGTAGTTTAAAATCTATCTTTTCACCTTCCTTCCAAGCTACATAAATCTCGTACCTCAAGTACGAGAGATCATGTTAAGTCAATATTGCATTATTTTAGGATTAAAGTTCAGCTACTAAATAGACTATACTTACCAATATAATTTACACAATCAGATAAACTTCTGGAAGCAAATGGCCCTTCATATACAGTCTTGCTTTTATCAAACAAGTAAACCATGTAACTATCACAGCCTCTCTGAAAAAGAAACAAATAATTAAAATTCTGCTCTAAAATCCTTGAAAACTTTGGGTTTTCTAAATTCTTAAGCACCAGATTGCCTACTTTGAAATGCAGATGCACAAAGTCAATGTGGATTAGCATAAATTTACAGATTTAGGGCCTAAACTTTATGAGAAAGAAGTATTTGGGCTAAAGTGAAAAACAATGACCAGACCTAAAAGAACAAATACAAAAAGGTATACATCCATAGAATGAAAATACTACTTATTGTATAATTCCACTTATATGAAATGTTCAGAAAGGGCAAATCTATACAGATATAAAGTAGATTAGTAGTTTTCCTAGAGTGGCTAGAGTGCAGATTACCAGTTAATGTCCATGAGTGACAAAAATGTTCTTAAATCAATTTGAATTTATTTTTAAAATCATCGAATGGGGCCAGGCACAGTAGCTCATGCCTGTAACCCCAGTTACTTGGGAGGTGGAAATCAACAGGATCACAGTTCCAGCCTGGGCAAAAAGTTAGCAAGACTCCATTGGAATCAATGAGCTGGGCATGGTAGAGCATGCCTGTGATTCCAGCCATGCAGAGGTCATAGGAAGGAGGTTCTCGTGGTCTGAGGTGGCCCCCAGCAAAAGGTCCAAGACCCTACCAGAAGAATAACTAAAGCAAAAAATGGGTTGGGGGCATGGCTCAAGTAGTAGAGCACCTGTCTAGCAAGTGGTAAGCTCTGAGTTCAAATCCCAGTATTGCAAGAGAAAAAAAAAATCACTGAATTGTACACTTGAATATGTAAATTGTAGATATGTAAAATATGTCCCCATAATGTCATAAAAAAGAAAAATAGAAAACAAGTCATTACTACAATCATATTTACCACCCAACTATTATGAGACTGCTTAATGTAATTTCAAGATTCTAGGCTTCAGATAAAGAAGGAAAACAAATTGGGGAGAGAACTGACATAAAAAAAAGTCTTACAATAAATGTGTGATTTCTTTCTTGTTCACCTTGCAAAGCAGTAAGTCACCAGTAAGTGAAAACTAAAGGAATTCATTATGAGCTATTTACCACCAAGGAATTCCAGGTATGTATCAAAAAAAAAAAAATGTGGCACATACAATCCCTCTATACAGATTTCTTATCTCTCAGACTAGGTATGTTAAGGTCTCTTAGGACTCTCTATAGCACAGTAGCGTAACTACATTCTACATAGTCATTAATTATACATTTCGAATAACTAAAGAAGAGTTTGAAGGCTCCCAACACATAGAAATGGTAATATGAGGACATGGAAATGCTAATCATCCTGATTTGATCATTACATATTATAATTCAATAAACCGTATACATATATTGAATTATAATATTGTACCCCAGAAGTAAGTCCAAATATTATGTCAATTAAAAACAAAACAGAATGCTGGGCATTGTGGCAGGAGGAATGCTAGCCTGGGCTATGAGGAGAAACCCTCTCTCAAAAAAAAAAAAAAAAGCTACGGTGAGGGATGGTGGCAGATCAAAATTCAAACCCTAGTACTAAATAAAAAAAGAATGCTCTTACAACTCCATCTAGAACACACTGAGAGGCTGGTTTCCGAGGATCCAGAGAAATTCCTGTCTCTGAAAGCAGTTCTTGAGAACCAGTATTTATTCCAGTTTCACGCTCAATACGAGACTGTAGTGAATGAAGACTTTCATCAGATGGTAACAGAAAAGAAATTATCTTTGCAGAAGTCATATTTAGGATGTGCACTATCTGTATAAGAAAAAAGAGAAATTTATTGATCATTTACTGCATAAACAATTCAGTGCAAGATACTCAAAGGAGAATATGAGCAAAAAGCATTATTTCTACATTAAACAAGATTCACTCATTCTCTAAAGATGTCCTCCTATAACTATGACATTTTGAAAACTGAAGAGAATTTACTTTTCTACCACAATAAATATTAGTTCTAACAAATAAAATTTCAAAGTTCCAGAGATGCGCAAAATGAAGAAATAAAAAGTCTGATTAAAAAAAAAAAAAAAAAAACCACAATCTTACTTTAGGAAGTATTATCAGAGACCTAGGAGGACATTCCCATTGAAGTGCCTAACAGGTGCTAATCACAGAGTTACGTGCTTTTACACAGCAATCCCATTAATTACATCTTCTAATTAGACCCTCCACTGTATTTTATTTTTTGGCAGTACTAGAATTAATCTCCATTCTAATGGAACGATAAACCAGGGCTCCAGGAAGTTAGGGATTGCACAGCTAAATTAACTGGTAGTGCTTAGATCTGAACTCCTAACTGTGTGACTACTTCATGTTGCCTCAAGAAATAACCATCCCAGCTACACAGGAGGTAGAGATCAGGAGGACTGTGGTTCAAGGCCAGCCCACACAAAAAGTTAGCCAGAATCCATCTCAACCAATAAGGTAGGTGGAATAGTGCATATCTCTTATTCCAGCAACACAGGAAGCATAAATGTTAGGATCCAGGTTGGCCCAGACATAAACACAAGACCCTCTCCAAAAATTAATTAAAGCAAAAAGGGTCAGGGGCATGACAAGTGGTAGAGTCACTACCTGGCAAGTGTGAGGCCTTGAGTTCATATTTCAGTACCACCCCAAAAAGAAATAACCATCTGGTAGAAGAGATATGCTTCTCTTTTAATAGGAAAAAGCATTAAACAGGAAAAAGCACTGTTATTCTCATAAGGCAACCAAATCCCTGAGCAGTGACCTGCTTCAGGGTCCAAAGCAAGATAAGAAAACTCTCTGACTAATCTCACCTGGAAGCCCCACTGAAAGTAGCCTAAATAGGCCAAGTGAATGTGAGACTGAGAAAGGAGGGGCTCTCTATCCAGGGAACTAAGGACATCTGCAGAGTTGGAATTTAGTTTTTGATCACAGGTCTCTTCCTTCCATGTCCTTATGAAATTAATACCAACATTTCTTGATTCCTTACATTGACTAGTATATGCAAATGATTAAGTTATTTCTGCTGGAAATCCTTACTACAAAAGTAAAGCATTGAGCTCAGCATGATGGTACATTAGGGAGGCAGAGGCAGAAGGACTTATACTTCGAGGCCAGCCTGGGCTGTTTAGTGAGTTCCAGGCCAATCTAGATTCCATAGCAAACCCCTGCCTTAAAAAAAAAAAAAAAAAAGTATCAATCCAGGGCCACTACTATTCCTTTTTATTGTTGTTCCTCTTAAAATACAAAGAGCTGGGGGAATAGCTCAGTGGTAGAGCAAGGCTTTGGCTTCAACACCTAGCATACCACCAAAATAACATAAAATAAAATTACCTGACATTTTCAAACACACAAAATTATAGACAACAGTTATTGTAATTCTGCTCCCAATTCTATGAATGCCTTGTCTGGTTTTAACCATCATTTGCACAGAGCCAATCTTACTTCACCTATAGCATTCCTCATAGTCCTCTCTCCCAAAGTTTTTTGTCTTTCAAGTTCTTTGTGACTTTTTTTTTATTGCTGTTGGTACTGGAGATTGAACTTAGGGGCCTCTACCACTTAAGTCATGCCCCCAGTCCTTTTGCAGTTTTGTTGTTGCTGCTGTTTTGGTGGTACTGGGGTTTGAACTTAGGGCTTTGCACTTTTACCGCTTGAGTCATGCCTCCAGCCCTGGGTTCTGCAATCTTGCCCAGAAGGCCTTGAACTGCGATCTTCCTACCTCTGTTTCCTGAGCAGCTGGGATTATAGTAATAAATCAACATGCCCAGCACAACTTAATTTTTTAAAAACCTTTTTATTAGTATATAATAATTGTACAGGGGGTTTCATTTTGACATTTCCAGATATGTTTACAATGTACCTTGGTTCATCTCTACCTCATTCTTCCTCATCTCCCTGCCCCCAAATTTAATTTTTTGACATATAAAAATTGAATATAATCAAGGTCTGCAGTTTGATTTTTTTTAGATTATAAAAACTTCCTCTTTAATCAAAGCTTATAATATAAAACAGATTTTTCAAATAAAATGGAACATTTCCAATACTTTCAAAGAAAGCCCTAAGTCACCATATACATATAACACCCTGTAGGAAAAAACAAAACAGCAAGTTTACATAATATCTGTAACAGCAACAGACTAATTAACAGATGGTCTCTCCATCTGCCAAGTGTGTACTTCTAGATACCGAGCACTGTGGTTTTTGGGGTCACTCAGCTGAGACTGTGGCCCACAAAGCATTCATCTTGCAGAGCTGCGGTGGTTGTAGCTCTACTCAAGAAGCAAAGCAGTTACCAGCACATTCAAACAATGCATTGAACACCCTTTTAAATATCAATGTGAGAAAAAAGAAAGCAATGATTATTAATCATGCTCTCAGAAAGATGTCAGAAAGAACAGACAGCATGAAGCGGCTCTCCAGATTCATTCTTTAGTTCCTGGACAGTGACTGCCGGAACAGTAAGATGTGAGGTTATGGTTCACGGTTCATATTATGGACTCCTCCCTGAGTCTGCTGAACACCAATTCCTTCATTCAGATTCTGACATCAAATGGGTTTTAGGGACTAGCTTGGCTATGTCCTTGGGGCAACATGTCATGGTAGTACTAGAATGCCTGTTGTAGTATTTGTCCAAATAGTAAATTTGTCTGTGTGACATAATTGTTCTGTCTGAGCCTACAACTTCCACATGACTCCCAGTTTTGATGTATTATGAAATGATTATGTTTCAGATTATCACTTCTTCATAGGTACCATTTTTGTACTTTTTAACCAATATCACATTCCTTTAGCACCATCCTGTTCTCTGCTTCTAAGTTTTGACTATTATAGATTTCACATGTAAATGAGATCATACAATATCTCTTTCTGGAATCTTATTTCACTTAGCATAATGTCCTCCAGGTTTACTGACGGATTCATTGGCAGGACTTCCTTCTTTTTCATTAAGGCTGAGTAATATTCCACTGTGTATATACCACATTTCCCTATTTCATTCATTTTTTGAAGGACTCTTAGGTTGTAAATAATGCCTACAATGAGTATGGGTGTTCAGATATCTCTTCATACTACTGTTTTCATTTCCTTTGGATATATGCCCAGAAGTGGGACTGATGGATCATATGGTAGCTCTATTCTAGTTTTTGAGAAAACTTACTGTTTTCCATAATGGTACATTAATTAATTTACATTCCCACCAACAGTGTACAGGGTTCCCTTTCTCCACATCCTGACCAACAGGATGTCTTTTGCCTTTTTTCCCCCTCAAGATTCTGGGAATGAACCTTGGACATTGTGCATGCTAAGCAAGCCTGACACCCCAGCCTCTTGTCTTTTTGATTAACAGCCATCCTAACAGGTATGAAGTAATATGTCAGTGTGGTTTTGGTGTGCATTTCCCTGATGAATAGAGTTGTTGAAAACTTTTTCAAATTCCCACTGAACATCTGAATTTCTTCTTTTGAGAAGTGTCTATTTAGGACTTTGCTCATTTTAAAATCAGGTTATTTGTACTTTAGATATTAAGTTGTATGTATTGTTTGTAAATTTTAGATATTAACCCCTTTTGCAAATATTTTTTCCTTTCATTTTGCTGATTATTTCCTTTGCTGTGCAGCTTTTTAGTTTTAAGGGCCACTATTATTTCTACTTATCAACCCTGACACCAGTGCTTAAAATGTGCTACAGAAATATCAAACTGTTTTCATAACCTGAAACATCCTTTTCACGTAAATTCCAAATGTTAAAACAAGATTGGCACTATTTCTCTTAGTATACCATTAAGAGACTTTCTTTTAGTAACTTATGTCTAAAAAGGATGGAAGAAGCAAATTTCCAAAACTAACATGGATTTACAGTACAGTTGTATCACTTGATACTTTTCATGCCTTTCCCCAGGCAGGCCACTTTCCCACTACGACAACTACCATTAAAGGCAATAGCAGAAACTTAATATGAAAACCATAAAGTAAATATTTACTTTTACATAAGAATATGTCAGGGTAGGGAGTCATAATGGCACTCCACTACCAAAGCTCTGAACCAGAGAGGAGCAAAAGAAAGGAAGAAGACTAGGAATTAACTCAGGAGTAGAGCACCTGCCTAATATTATGAGGCCTTGGATTCAATCCCCAGTAACGAAGAGGAAATGAAGAAGAAGGAAGAAGGAAGAGGAGGGAAGAGAAGAAGAAGAAATAATATACCAAAATTTATCTTTCTGTTCACTCAAATACTTGAGTACCTTACTGTGGTACATACTACTAAGTAATTTTAGGCAGAAAACAGTAAGGTAAGAAAAGTCAAAAAGGTAGAAAGGGATGAGAATAATCACAGAACTCCAGTAATCCAGTTCAAACATACCAAAAATGACAACCCCATAGGGAAAGGCTGAAAGTGTAGGGTTATATGAGACCCAGAAAGTGAAAGACAACTATGGAAGATTTTCTAAATTGAGAACCTGACCAGCTCAGAATTATTAAAACATCTGAAAGATAAAAAGTAATTGGACACATAGATTGAGGGGAAAAGACTACAAAATTTCCCACCTAGGCAACTGCAAAAGTGATGGCACAAATAAACAGCGAGGAAAAGCTGCAGATAATGGGTAAAGCAAGGGTGTTCCATTCTTAATAAATGAAATCTTAGGTGCCAGTGGGATACTCAGGTACAGTTACATAGCAGTTGTAAGTACTTGGGAGAAAATTCACACCTGGGGAAATAAATTTGTGAATTATCCATATGCAATTTACATGATTGAAGAGACTAAGCAAGAAAAAGAGAAAACAACAGAAACAGAACAAAGGACAGACTCAGGATACAGTTACATGTAGGAGCATGAAAGAGGTAAAGGAGGAATAATTAAATCTTCATATTTACATGCTTTCATAATAAGTAGTTAGAAAACTATGCAACTAGACTCTCTAAACTGTTTTTAAAGGGAAATATTTCATTAACTGTTTTGCTGCTATGAAAATCAAATAGACATCATTCTCTTTGTACAAATTATAGAAAAACACCTTAGAAAATATCCTATAGTAACACCAAGCTGTTCTGCAGTTCATGCTGCTGCACTTTTGCCCCCGATGCTCCCTTGCCTATAAATCCCACCCACTCCCACCTTCAAAATTCAGTCCTATCAGCCTAGGAAGTGTACCTGAAACCTACTGAATCACTATGAATAGTACTCCACACTTACTATATTTTGCATAACTTCATAATATTGATCCTTTAAGTAAGCTATCACTGTCCCCTAAATAAAGGTAAGTATTTGCTCAGATTCATAAACAGGTAAATAGTGCTGCTACAAATCCAACTGAAGTTTGTAAACTACAAACTACCTAATGAGGACTTTTTCCCCATGCTCTATGATAATCAGATGTTCACAGACCCCTTCAAAGTAGGAATGATGCTAGGATTACTATGAGAAGTCTGAAAAAAAATCTGAAATATGCACAACCAAAACTTTTCAGAGACAACATAAAACTAAAGCCATGCTTTTCGTAAACACTAAGGAATGACTGGCACAGTAGAAGAAGACCAAATCAAGAAGCCAGACATCTTATCAGTATTAACCAAGAAGGATATCAACATGCTCCCAAGTTATTTAATAAACTGTGCCAAGATTACATTAAAACTTTAAGTGACTGAAAATTCTCATTTCAGTTTTAGAAAGTCTATCTACTATAGGCAGTCAATAAATGTGACAAAACTACAGATGGGAGTTGTTTCTGGGTAGCATAATAGATCTACATCTCTTATTCACATCTATGAATATTTACCGAGAACCTGATACATCCCTGTTCCGTACATAATTCTGGGGTAGGATAGAATGGGGTAGGGCAAGTGATTGTTAACAAAAGTAGTAAAACAACCCAGCATTGAAGAAGAATATCTAAGTAGTCATGAGTGGAAGATGAAAAATATTTAGAGAATATAGAAAGTATGATTAAGTGACAAATCACGTAGGAGAGACCACTTAAAAGGTAAGCTGAAGACATGCCAGTTAGGTGAGATGCACAGAAACGGAGTTCATACTGGGCAAAAGGGCAGCATCTGTGAAAGCACAAAAGTAGACAAGGAGTTTGAGAACATGAGGAGCAGTGACAAGCTGGTCCTGAGTGAAAGAAAGGTTAAGAGAAGCAGGTAAGAGGCATGGGCTTAGTTGGGGTGGACTTGCATTAGGAAACTGTTTGTTTCTTGGACAGAAAAATAAAAATGCATTTTCAGAAGATATGGGGCAGTTCATGTTTCACCAACTTCAGAGTTAAAAGTTAAATATAGAAGTATGAAAGCCAGGTAGAAACTTTCCTCACCAAACCCAGAATGATTAAACCTAAATGAATGAAGTGCTAATAACACCATGTGGAAAAGGGAAGAAGTTTAAAGGAATAATCAACAAAGACCATTTAGAAGCAAACTGAAAAGCTTGCTAAAGAAATAAAAAAAGTATCAGTAACATAATTAAAATATAATTTATGTTCATTTTCCAGGTAAACTTGTTAACTTCAATGCAGGTCTGTGAAAAAGACTCCATTAAAACTAACCTTTAAATTCAGAATGTGATCCATTAATACAAAGCATCTTGGCTGCTTCAAAGTAGGGTCAACAGGGCCCCCTCTTTGCTGTGGGTCCCAATTCAGCATCAGCTGTAGCCAGTTTTCCATGGGTTCTACTATTAAACTAGAAAATGTACAAAAATAGGGTGAATATCATTAATGTTCCAATTTCCTTTAGAATTAAGAAAGGGCAATTTGGAAGGTATTTTTTGTGGTACTGGGGTTTGAACTAAGGGCTTCATGCATACAAAGCAGGTGCTCTACCACTTGAGCCACACCTCCAGTCCAAGAAAGGGCAATTTGGTAGGGTATCCATTTCCTTGTCCAATCACTTACCTGTACTATTTTATATCTTACTTTCAAATAATTCATGAGGACATAGGACAAATTTCGTCCATAAAAAAGCAGCTCATGGGTGAGGAGTACGGCTCAAATGGTAGAGTGTCTGCCCATGTAAGCGCAAGCCCCTCAGTTCAAACCTCCGAACCACCAAAAAAAGTACCAAAACTTATATATGTAAGTTTGTTACCGATAACTCCAATAGATAAGTCCAATTACATTCTCCAGGAAACCCATTTATCTAGGGATAAAGATCCCTAGAGTCTTCTTAACATCTATGGTAATCAGTTGGATGGCAACAGTTCTCACTTCCACTAGACCTATGCTATTCAGTTTGGTAGCTACTAGCCACAGTAACATTAATACTTACTATTTATTTAAAATGCAGTTCCTCAGTCACACTAGGCCCCTTTTTCTTTTCACAGTGGTAAAAATCAAACTGAGGGCCTACTGTACATGCTAGGCAAATCATTCTATACCAAGCTATACTCTTAATCCCTAGCCACCTTCCAGCTCAATAAGATTCATGTGACCACCACAAATAGAAAATGTTTCCATTGCCAGGAAAGTTCTACTGGATAATGCTCCTTGAAACAGACAACTACTCTTCTGTTCTTTTAAAACTCTGGAGAAACTGAGGAAACTTCCTTGACTAAAATACACTTACCTACAAAGGCTATTTGGTTGAGGTAAATGGCTACTAAACCGAACTTCTCCTGTCATCTCTTCACACGCAAATATACACTTAGGATCCTTCTTCTTAATCTTCTCATGCCTATAAAAACAAGATAACTCAGATGACAACCTGGTTGTCACAAATACTATAAGATTTCTTGTCATTTAGTTTCATTCAATTCTGTGTTAAAAGACAATTATACCACTAATGAAAAAAAGAAAAAAAAAAGCAAACAACTAAAAAAACTTCCATTCCTATTAAGCATGCCAAAGCTCTCATCTATGTCTTACCAGGTAAATGGCTGCAGATGATGTAAAAAAGGTCTATATCCGGCAATACATTCAAATACCATGGTCCCAAAGCTCCAATAATCAACAGTAGCTGTGTAAGGCTTATTCTCAAAGAGCTCTGGGGCCTTAAAAAGAGAAAATGCTTTAAATGCAACACTGTACAGGAAAGGCTGTTTTTAACTACTATATTCATGAGTTTCAGAAATATGAATGTCATACACTTAAATTCAAAGAAATAGTAGCTGTCTCACCAGATACTGCAGTGTTCCCACAAAAGATGTACAGAGACTTCCTTGATCAACATCTTTGGCATATCCCAGATCAATTATTTTATGCATTATCTGCAAAATAGTAAGACAAAGTAAGTAAGAAATGGTTCAAATATTTGAAAAGGAAAGGCAGGCTGGGAATGTAGCTCAGTGGTAGAGCACTCACTGAGACTGTGTGAAGGAAGGGAGGGAAAAAAAGGAGGGAGAAAGGGAAGAGCAAAGGAAGGAAGGGAGGGATGGAGGGAAAAAAAAAAGTGAGTGAGAAGAGAAAAAGTAAGAGAGAGAAAAAAAGAAAAGAGAAAGAAAGAAAAGCAAAATGTCTTTATAAAGCTGTAGAGAAGGTAGTGTGGACGAAATTCGGCTCTGAAGTAACACAAATGTGTTTCAAGTCTGACCTCACCACTGAATAGCCATGTGATCTTGATCAAGTGATTTAAGCTCTGGCAGTTTCCTACATAATAAGATAACTAATAATGCATACTGCACAGATTTTTTTTTTTCCTCTGAGACTGGGGTTTGAACTCAGGGCCTACACTTGAGCCATACCACTAGCCCTTTTTTGAGATAGGTTTTTTCCGAGACAGGGTCTCATGAACTATTTGTCCAGGCTGGCTTTGAAACACAAACCTCCTGATCTCTGCCTCCTGAGTAGTTAGGATTACAGGCTTGAGCCACCAGCACCTGGCTTTCCACAGAATTTTTTATTATAACTCAATAAAATAGTGACAGGAAGGCAAAGGTAAGAGTGATTTCCAAACTTGAAGAAGCATCATACTACTGTAGAATGGAATAAATGTGAGTCAAACCCTTTCTAAACTCAAGAATGTCTCCAAGTCTGAAAAAAAAAAAGAAAAGTGCCTATGAAAAGAACCACCATAAAGGTTTCATCACTTCCAATTGATCAACCACCAGCTTCACTAATGAGTTAGCATATAATTCAATGCAAGGTTCAGACTTATGGCTTTAAGTCTTTACTGGAATGTAATTTGAGTGCTAAAATCAAGACAGCTGTTCAAATTATTCTAAAGAAAATGAATACTTCAGGAGTCAATTCACAATTTCTGGTTCTTCTCAGGATGACTCATTTAGGAACCTGAGAAACCAAGGTTTAAAGTTTTAATTAACTACAAAACTCAGAAAGGGCTGGTGGAGTAGCTCCAGTGATAAGAGTGCCTGTCTAACAAAACGTGAGGCCCTGAGTTCAGACCCCAGTTAAGGCAAATATAAAACTTAGGATTTGGGAGGAGCATAAATTAAAACACAAACACACACACATACTCTTTTTCTTAAAGTAAAGCAGATCGGGATGTATGTACATATGTTTTAGATGTGCTTCATAAGAATAAAATAGTAAGGGTTAACCAATTATTTACCAGACTGCCTACTATGGCTGCTAGATATGGTAGTGGAAAAATAGACATGAATAAGAAAGGTGCTCCTTCTCAAAGGGAGCCACTGTTTGGCAAAGGAGACAAAAATTAACCACAAAACTATAGATAGTTCAGTGTGGTAAGGATCAAAACAGAAAAAGTATAGAGCACTATGAGTACACAGCAAGGACTAACTACATCAGGGAGACTATATGCCATAAGACATGGCTATTCTTTAGGTTTTACCTACCTTTCCACCAACATCCTGTAGAACTATATTTTCAGGTTTTAGATCTCGATGTATAATTTTATTTTCATGCAAATATCGAATCCCAGATCCTACATAAAATTTAAAGTGCATATTGAAATCATAGAAAATACTGAGTTAAAATTTGTTAAAAATTCTGTACACATCTGCTCTGATGCTCAAATTTACTTGGATCTTCCCAGTTACATAACTAATATTATAGCAGTTCAGATATTCTTCACAGAAAATACAGTAATATTAAATACTAAAGACTTATAATAGACACTCATTTAATTTATTATAACATGACAAGAAAATTAAATAGTCAATTGAGAAAATTCCTATAACCCTTGTGGACTTTTCCTCCCATCCAAATCACCTTCTTCAGCCACATTTTGGTTCCCATGACCTAGAAAAAAAAACCAATACCAAAATACACAAGGAAACCAATTCTTGGCTTTTGAGCTAGCTCTGACAGCAAATGCAGTAGTTATTTTAGGGATTTTTCCGTAGTAATTCTGATGGGACAGAGAATTTCATCCTTGACTTGAGGATGTATACCTAAAGACATGCAATTTCACTGTCAACAAAATTATGTTAAGTGGGGGAGGGACTGTGATTAGATAATGTTATTTTTCATACCATTTTTTGTCAGCAACTGGAATATCTATTAGACAAAAGACTCAGGTAAAGGACAAAAAATAAATAAAAAAATATCCTATTTTAATTTAGTATCAATAGTAACAGATTATTTATAATTTCTTAGAGGTGTTAAAAAAATCTGTATGATTTTTATAGTATACAAACAACTCTCCTTAATTCCCAAGCAATATACAGAATTTTCTGTGAACCAAAGGGGCATTAAATTACAATGGTATTCTGATATTGAAAACATACCTATATCACTCAGCAAAGAAAGTATCTGGCTTTCTTTAAGTCCACAACAATTTTCTGGTTTGTTGAGTAGCTAAAGAAAAAAAAAAGAAGACTAAAAATGTGTACTACAATTTGGTGGACAGCAATACTAACACACATTAACCACTATATCTAAAAGAATATTCAAATGAGAAAATTAGTTATGATAAAGAAAATATAAGAAGGAGTCAGGCATGTGGGAATGGGAGTGTGTGCAAGATACCCATAATTCCAGGATTCCGGGAGGCTGAGGCAAGAGGATCAATAGTTTGAAGTTGCTGGCAGAGTGGTTCCAGCAGGAAGAGCACCTGCCTAGCAAGTGTAAGGCTCTGAGGTCAAACCCTAGTGCCACAAAAAAAAAGATAGAAAAAGAAAAGTTTGAACACAGCCTGAGCTATATAGTGAGATTTTGTCTCAAAAAAGAAATGTGTAAGAAGGGGGAGTGGGGGGAATCACAAATCCACACTGAAAATGTATAAATTTCAGGACAAGACTCATAAAAGTATACATAAGGGGCAAAAGTATTTGAAATTGAAAAAGGTTGATAAATCTCACATATATGGACACATTTAAAATGAGATAAAAGAGATTACAACAGAAAAGACTTTTTTATAAGCACCTTAAACACTAATGTTTTGAATTAACATCAACATGGTCCCATCTTGGAAACAACAACAAAATACATGTTCTAAATCAGGGGTCAAGAAATAAAGACCTGTTTTCCTGTAAAGAAGTAGATAGTAAATATTTTGGGATCTACAAGTCATACGGTCTCTTGTTAAAACTACTCAATTTTGCAGCTGTGAGAAAGCAGCAATAAGCATGGCTGTGTTCCAACAGAACTTAATTTACCAAATGAGTAGCAGGCCACAATTCTCTGATCTTCATTATAGATTATCACATTGGATATGATTCAAACACTGCTAAGGTTTGTGATTTACTAGCTCATCATCTCCAAATATCCATACTACCTTCCGGAGATCTCCTCCAGAACAGTATTCCATTGCCAGAAGAGGTACATCATTAATCAAAAAATTCAGTTCCTCAGGAACATCACAGGCCTTTACAACATTGGCATGGTTCAACCTAACAAGAAGAGGAAGCATGATAAATAAAATTTTTTCCAGTAAAAAGTGACTGGATTTGAAATGACAGTTAATTGGGGGCTGGGGATGAGATGAAGAAGACTGACACTAAATTTATGAAATTCTAATTTCTGATTTATATAATTAGAATATAGTGATTTTTTAGAAGGAAAAAATATATAAAAATAACATCACTGTTACTACTATTACATTTCCATGTGTCAAGCAGTAAGACCTTTACATAGGTTAACTTGTCAAAATAATCCTAATACAAGTAGATTTATTAATAGTTTCATCACACAGAAGAAAATCAAAGCACAAGTTGGTTAAATAACATAAGATTGTGAAGCAAGCCACAAAAGATTCAAATCCGATAATCTGACTCCAAAGCCTCCATCATGCTGCCTCTCCTATAATCACTTACAATGTCACCTTGATAAATGTGGGCATATTTCTTTCCAGCTTTTAATCTGCACAAACACAAATTTTTCAGTACATAATGGAATAACACTATATATTGTCTTCTAACAATTCTTTTTTAAGCTTAATCTTATCATCCTAAATCATCATCATCACGAAGTGGATTCCAAAACTCATAGAGTCCCATGTCCTAATACCTAAAGAAACAGAATCTCTATTATGTAGGGCATAAGATTTTATATGAAGTTTTTCTGGTGATTCTGCCACTTAGCTAAGTTTGAGAGTCATAAAGTAACTTGAGCAGAACACTAAAGTCAAAAAGTGCTCACTTTAAATCCAGACTCTACAAACAACCAGTATGAGTTCCAGTTTCCTCATCTACAAAATAGGAATAATACCTAAATAAAGGACTACGATGACAACTAGAAGAATGATCTGTAAAGCACACTACCTATAGATACACATCTTGAAAGTTCAAAATATGTCCACTTCCCCCTTTCAAGAGCTTTAATTCCATATACCTTGAGTATATATTCTGGACTTAGTGACTCATTTCTAAAAAACAATGCAGTAGAAAGAATGAAATGTGACTTCCAAGGAAATTTCATAAGAGCTACATCAGCATTCATCTTGCGCTCTCTCTCACAGATCACCCACTTGGGGGAAGCTAGCTGCCATGTCACAAAGACATTCATGCTTCCCGACATGGAGAGGTCCACATATTGATGAACTCATGTCTTTAGGCAACAGCCACATAAGTGAGCCTGGAAGTTAATTAATACTCTATTTCTGATCAAGCCTTTTGGATAACTGTGGCTCTAGTCAACATTTTAAGATGTTTCAAGGTGAGGTCCTGAGCTAGAACTACATGGTTAAGTCACTCTCAAATTTCTAAGTCACAAAAACTAAATGTTTGTAGTTTTAAGCCCACTAAACCTGGAGAATTTTTTTTTTTTACAAAGCAACAGATAAACTATTTAACAAAAGCAGGTGGAAAAAAAAGAACAGTGATTTACATACTAATTCTAAGATTGTCTAATATCCAAAAGAAAATATTTCTGCCTTCAGAAAGCTCAGTCTGATAATATCTGATAATATCTAGACTTTTTAAATTAAATTTTTAAACCATAATGTAATGCTTTTATCTGAAATAGAACACATATATTTAATGATAGAAAAATAGGCCCCCCAAAAGACCCTGGGAAGAGTGGAATCCTGGCCTCTTTCACTATAATAGCTGGCTGGGATGTAGAACTGTAGGAATTTAAGTTATAAAATACACTTACTTCTTCATGATCTGGATTTCGTGGCACCATCGTTCTCTATTTTTGGTACTTAACTCCAGGCGACAAGACTTAATTGCTATTTTGAGTTCAAGTTCCTGTCAAAATAGATAATCAACAAAATATATAAATAAATTAGGTTCTTGTGCAAAATTACTTGCAACTGAAAAAAATGCCAAACCAGGGAAACAGTACTCTTTTTAGTTTTTGCTAATTAAACATTATTCACATCTCTTTTAAGCCAACACTTCAGATAAACTATAAGACTTTCAAACCAGTGCTTTCAAACTGACCCTCAAATACACCATAGCACATAAGCAAAAAGTGACTGAGGCTGACCCTGTAACAGATCTCTTCAAAAACTATCTCATATATACTGCTAGAAAAATGTGAAGAACAAGCCCCTTCTCAGAGGTCAGTTCATACAACTAACAAAGACCCCAAACTCTAACATAGGTAGAATGAAGAGGATAACTCAGGGCTCTCTGGCCTTAAATCAGAAAAAGAAAAAAAAAGTTTTAATATGATCAACCCTAATGCAAAAAACTCCAATATTAGAACCTAATGTTTGCATTTCAAATGACATGGAAAGAAATCCTAAGAAGAATAGTACTTCTGTTTGTGCATCTATAAAATGAACTTAACATCTCTTGGCTACAAGGCTTTAACCAATTCTGACTGAAATTAAAACCATCCTGATACACAGGAGTCAAGCCTCATCATCTTCTGGCAACACGAATAATATAGCCTAGGATCACCATTCAGGGCCAAACAGGCTGAATTGTTTCAGATATTATGAGAAGAGTTTGAAAGAACTTTCAAAATGTGTAATCTCTGACACAAACCAAAAGTGTGGTAAAAGCTGTGTATGACTAGAGAGAGCAGTGCCCAGGGGTTGGGAAGGGGAAAAAGGTGTTAGGTGAGGGAGCAAGACACAACTTGGATGGGACAATCTGTGGGGCACTGGGAGGAAGAAAGACACTAAAGACAAGATAGTTGATAGTACACAAAGAAAGGAACTAGAACATTACAAGCTAGCCTAACCACAGTACTCATTCCCTTCAGCTTTTGTTGAAGGGACCTACTTACTTGTAGCTACATTCCAAATAAAGTTTTACCACCTTAGAGACCACATGGTACAGCCATGACATCAGGCCCAAAATCTCATGAATGAGGCAAGACATTATTTATTTCAAAAAGATCTAACCCATAAAATCCTTAAACTCCTCAGTTTGTAATTCACCTATTCTGTGAAATTCCATCTTTTAACAAAGATTTTTTTCTGGGAAGTTTATAGATACCTAGCCCCTCTGAAAAAAAAAAGTTTTGTATTTAAAAGATTATAATAAACTGGGTGTGGATGGCCTGTGCCTACAGACCCAGCTACTTTGGAGGTTGAAGTAAGAGGATCATGAGTTCAAAGCCAGACCCTATCTCATTTTTAAAAAGGTGGGGGATATTTTAGAGATGAATAGTGATGGTAGTACAACAATGTAAATGTACTTAATACAACAGCTGTAGACTTAAAAAATGCTAAAATGATAAATTTTTATTTTAAAATAAAAATTAGAAAATACTAAGTTAAATTAGTTTATTTACTTTTTTTGAGGTTTAGTATATTAATTTGGCTTATAAGTCTCTGAACAAAGGAATATTATATACAACATTTACCCAATGTATTTGAACATAGTTATCTTTGGTATGTAGAAGACTTCTAGAGGATACCAAAATCTGTAGATGCTCAAGTACTTTACATCAAATAGCATAGTATTTGCATGTAACCTATGCACATCCTCTATATACTTCAAATCATCTTTGGTTTACTTATGATACTAAATATAATGTAAATGCTATATATATAGTAGCTGTACTGCATTGTTTAGGGTAGGGAATAATGACAAGAAAAAAGTCTATACAGGTACATGTTTAGCAGATGCATTTTTAAAAATATTTTTAATCTGTGGTTGGAGAAGCAAATGTCCTTTCTTCCTTCTTTTCTCTTTTTAGTGGAGAAAGGCCTTGCACACGCTAGGCAAGCACTCTACCATTGAGCTCTATCGCTAGCCTCTGTACTCTTTCTTTAAAGTATTCTTTGTTACTAGTTTTTCCCAACAGTCTTTGAAAAGTGCTACGCTATTCCCTAAGAAAAGTTCTTTGTTACTCTGCCAAATACTTTGCAAATACTTTCATTATATAGGGTATTACATTGTACTTGTTTCTTTTTGCTTATCTTTGCTTTTGAGATAGAGTCTCAGGCTGTCCTGAACACACTGTGTAGTCTGGCTGGCCTTGAACTCAAGCTCCTCCTGCATAGCCTCCTGAGTGCTGGCATTACAGGAATACTTTTGTTTCTATGTCCAGCTCTCTCACTAGATTTGAAATCTGCTTTAGGGTAGAGAATTGTCCTTATAGATTTAGGGCACCATTAGCACCCAGCACAGCAGTCAATAAATAAATCCCCTTTCTTCTTCCTCATTGCTCTGAAATACTGGGACATTGCTTCTAACAAAATATTAGTACACTGAAAGCTGTAAGTACAACCTTTAAGTTAAACTTGGAAAAGGAATGATCCTGTTCACAAGTCTTATTATGGATTATTCCTTCTTTCCTTACTACAGACTTGTTTGTCAAATGTCTCAGTTTTGGGAAAGGGCACTCTGATCAATTGGAAAGTTTCTGAGAGACCTCTAAGATTTTAAGCAGCCCAAACCTCTTCAGTTTAAAAAGTGATTAATTCCATAGATACAAAAAGTAGACTGGTATTGTCAGGGACTGGGGAAAAAGGGAAATGGAGAGTTGTTTAATAGATACAAAGTTTCAGTTTGGGAAGATAAAAAAGTTCTGGAGATGAATAGGATGATGTGAATGTGTTTAATGCTACTGCACTATACACTTTAAAATGGTTACAATGGTAAACTCTATGCTATGTATTCTTTGTCACAATGAAAAAAAAAAAAAGAATTCATTCATCAGTCAGGGACAAAGAGAAGCAATCACAAAAACATGCCAGCATGCATACTTTTTTCCTTGTGACTAGGCTCATAAGCAGACTTAGGTAACACAGGCAAGCGTGGATGGAAGCACTTGGTTATTTTCCTTGAGTGCCTTATGTCTCCTCCAATGCTAAGAATTATAAATTTTTTCACTTTACTACTACAGTACTTAACATCATAGTCCTTCACCTCTTTCCCTCTCTCCCTCTGCTCCACACCCCACCCAAGATTTTCTCCTACACTCTATCTAGAAACCTGTTTCACAAAGTTTCCTCAGTTTTATCAGTGACATTTGTCATTCAAATTGCCCCACAAATATGCCTATTCTCCCAAGGCAGACTTTCCCTTCTACCCCAAATTATGAACTATTGGCTGGAGGCATGACCCAATTGGTAGAGCATTTGCCTAGCAAACTCAAGCCCTGAGTTCAAACCCCAGTACCACCAAAAGCAACAACAAAAATTATGGGCTCTCTAATCACACCCATGTTCCTTAAAACAGCAAGTTATAATCTCTCTTCTAGATTCACTTCTCTATTCATAACCCAAGTTCACGCATTTTAATAGTATCTTAACTGCTGACTTGTCCCTTATTTTTGTAAACAAATTTATCCTTTACAAAGTAAATTTTCTGGAACACTTATTCTCTTGACATTTTCCTTTTTTAAGTCCAATTAACTATGGTGAGGATTATAACAGTAACAATTACAAAGCAACAGTGGGAGCTAACAATTAAGGGTTTCCACAGGCCAAGTGCTGTACTTAGCTTTACATACATTATCATGTCATTTAACTCTCAAAACAGCCCCAGGATGTATAACATTGCCATACATATTTTACAGATAACAAAGTCTATTTGCTTAAAATGTCCTCTAGGAAAGCAGAAAACCCTCAAATGGCAATATTTTTCTGGGTAGCTTTTATTGGTGTACCAAAACACACATGACTCAAACATGATTAACTGCCATTAGAATGGTTTGAACATTCTCAATTGAATCAAGGCAAATTTCCTGAATCTGATGTTAGCTGTCTTCCATTAAAGAGGATCGTAGCTCCGCACTTCCTTCGAAGCCATGGTCATTTTCACCAGCTCACTCTCATATTGCTCCCTACCTGGACGGCATCCCCAATTCCAAAGGCTACCAGTGCTTGCAAAGGTTCAGCTCGGGGCTCCCCATGAAGCCTCCCTCGTCTACTCCACTGCACACACGCACACGGGCGCACCCACTCCGACAGGGATCCCGTCCATCCTCAGTCCTATTTTCTCACCCACTCGTGCTCGCGCACACACACTGGCACACTACACTCACCAGGAGACACGGCGCATTATCACACTCACCGAACAGCTGATCCCGTCTCCACATCTGTACCAAAGTTCTCCCTCATAGCTCTAGCTCGTCACCCTTCCCCTTAGACACAACCACGGACCCAGCCATTCCGGTCACAAGCACAGTATCCCTCGGTCACGGGCCAACAAATACTGCCCAAGCTCTCACGACAGTCTCTCAGTTGGTGACAGCACTAGGTCTCACCGCCGCCCTGACGAACCCAGCGCCGCTCCCTCTCGCGCCCCGCCTCACCCGATGCTGGTACAGACAGACATTTCCGAATCCTCCGGTGCCAAGCCGCTCCCGCATCTCCCAGGGCCCGCCCGCGCCCGGCCGCAGCCCCGGGGGCCGCTCCATGGGGCGGGAGGGCAAGCGGCCTCAGGCTCCGCCGCCGTTCCAAGACCGGTTCCGGGCCGCCGAGGCTCGCGCGTCTTCCTTCTCGCGAGATGTGCGCGTCGCTTCCGGTAACTGTCCAGGCAAACGCTCCGCCTCCTCTTTCCCGGGATGCCGCCTGATCTCAATCCTACCCTTTAAGTGACTTGGACAGCTTACTGGGTGAGGGGACGTGTATGTGCTTTTTTTTTTTTTTTTAGACTTGAAAAATAAGATCTCTCCAAGCCAGTCTCCGCATTCGTCTTTTCGGAACTTCACATGGTCTTCATCCCCTTTTGCATCCAGATCCCTGCCATCCATCCTTCAACTCCATCACCCGCTGAGTCGGCACTGCTAAAAGCCACCAAAGATTTAAATGGTGCAGAACCCAAAGAATTCGAAAGAATCCTGCGCTAACAGGCCCGTTGATGCATTAGCCTTCAAAGTTCAGTATGACTTCCTACACAACTGTTCCAGGATCTTTCCTATCCCAAACAACTAGGATGTGATTCTGTTCCGGAGTGGGAAAAAACAAAACAAAACTTCCAAACTTTGGGATCGTCCCTAAATGCCTTACCGAGCTTGCTGGCAAGCAGTCTTGCCCTATGGGTTTGCAAGGGTGGTGGGTCTTCATTATGGGAATTATTTTTGAGGTGTGCCACAGGGCTGCAAAGGCAAACTTGGAGAACGATGGTGCAACAGACAGGCTGAATGGTAATTGCATAGGGGAACCAGCTCCCAACTTTCCAACTGCTTCATGGAACCTAGGGATCTCAATAATTCAAAGTAGAAAAATCAGTGTGGAATCAAATTCTTGAGGAAATGTGTAATGCTACCAGGATGTTGAGCGTTGCAAAATACATAGCAAGTCAATGTTGCGGGTATGGGGGATGCTGGTTTTCATTATTTGCGTTGTTTCCATGAACTGCAGTAACCAGGTTGCTCCTCATAGTTCAGTTTCTAAACATTCTCATTCTCAGAACACTGTTCAAGATTTTATTTTTGTTACTCCTAGAAGGGTAGACTCCAGGCTTCAGGTTTGGAAGCCTCAGATTTTTCATGTGTAAAACGGAGATAATACCACACAGAGATTTTGATGAAGTTAAACTGTTTGGGCCATAAGTGCTCAATGTGCAGGAAGTTATTTTTCTTTTGGCTTCTGACATACAGCATTCTCCTATGATCTTGCTGCTCCTTCTCTATGTACTGTTGGAGTGCTTACAAATAGCACTCCTAAAATAGTGGTCATCTTTAGCTTAGGATGTATTCATTTTCACCCAATCTCATAATTTAAATTATGGCCAATACAGTGATGATCCCTACAGCCCCATCACCGACCCTGATCTCTATGAGTTCAGAATTATCCAATAGTACCCTGGACACGTCTGTTATGTATCTCAAACACCTAAGACAACATATTCAAAGCAGAGCTCATCTTTTTTTTTTCTTAAATCTGTTCCTTCTCTTCCCAATTAGACTGTAAACTCTAGGACAACAGGCTATATACTGGGATATGGCCATACCCTTGGAGCCTAGAAAAATGCCTGCCACATAGGAGTTAAATATCAGAAGGAGTGAATGGGCCCTTATATATAAGATGAATGCTATAAGAGACAAATAGCAAAGACCATGGGTCCCTTCTCTACTCTTGGTTGCTCAGGGAGAAACCACTCTGTGATTCTGGTATAAAAGATGGACCTAATGCTCTCACCCCTCATGTTAAACAACCTCATTTCAACATTCATAGGCAACACTACACAGACACTTTTCAACCATGGAAAAGCATTTGGATTTTATTTGAGAGTTCAAGTTTGTAAAAATGTAGATAAATACAAGCTGTTCTTATAGCTGGAAAACGGACATGCTTTTAACATAGAATTTTCATCCTAAAATGACTTTTCTTAAAAAAAAAACAAAACCCCAAACAATCCCAGCCTCTTGCTGCAGGCAGCTTCCATGGGAATGCACAAAAAAGAGGCAGAGAAACAGTCCCCATGGGAGACTGCAACAACTTCCTGTGCATATAAAGTGCCTTCCCTTTGCTTAGTCATCCAGAGTGAAGTCAAAGGGTTCAAAGTCTTTCCGGAAGCGTTGAGCCAGGATTTCCTCCTCTTCCTTGCTGATCTGACACTGCCTCCAGTCAGACTTGTCAGGAATATTAAGAATGGCTTCACTGGCCATTACCTCTCTACAGAAAAATCACAAAGAAGTCAAAATGGGGACTATTCGCCCCAACGCCATCCTCCCTCTGGTGCTCTTCAGGCAGAGCTTCCCACATCACCCTCAAAGAATGCAGATTTCTCTGACTTTGCTCATACTGTTCTCCTCCCCTGAGTGCCATCTCTGCCATATAGCTATTAAAATCATAGTCATTTTAAGTGATTAACTCAGGTCCTACCTCTTTCTGGACCCTTCACACCCCATTTACTTCCTCTATGGAACTACTTTATTGGTACTTAGGGAAGGAACATGACAGAGTAGAAAGAGGGCAGGCTCTGATTTCAGAAAGATCAGAGAATAGATTCCATTCCTAGCTCTGCCACTTGCTATCTATGACTTGACCAGATTACTTCATCTCAGAGTCTTGATTTCCTCACTTACAAATGCAAGTAAGAGAACCTACCTTATAGGGTTTTGTGAAATACAGTACTAACACAATCAAAGCACCATACTAGGTATGATTACTACCTGGCTTAAACTGTAGTTTTGTCATTCCAATTAGGCCATGAGTTTGCTGAAGGCATAGTACAGAGTCACGTGTCATACCCATTATGACTTGAAATTCCTCTCCCTTTTCTTCTAGAGGGCTCACACTGACACAGGCACATCAACAGAAATTCAATGTGAAGAAAACAATTATTTTGGCTCTTTGGACTAAAGAATAACTGCACATACATACAAGTTGCTTCTGATTTCTATTTTTTCCTATTTATTTTTATTTTGATATATTAGAAATAATTCTATGCATCTATTTTGTTCATTTTCAACTTTGATGGTACAATAAATACAAGAGTTAGAAATAAATCATAGGAGTCCTCTAATAGTCAAAGGAACTGAACTCAAGTTCCAGCTTCTTGGGTAAATCTTGTGCCTACTTTTTTTTTTCAGTACTGGGGTTAGAACTCAGGACTTCATGCTTGCAGGCACTCTACCACTTGAGGAATCCCACCAGCCCAAGCCTACTTCTTTAAAATATAGTGACAATAGAATCACTTTTCTTATATAGCTGGAAAGAAGAAGTTTTCAAAGATTTTGTTAAACATAAAATGCTATTGACTGTTAATTAGTACTTTGAATGTTGAATAAAATGACTATCATCACAAAACCATGCAAAGGATTTCCACTTTGTGGATATTGGCAATCATATGCCGATGTCATCACTCTGCATGTCTCTATCTCTTGCTAAGACAAAAGATGTTTCAATAGATGTTTGAAACATATAACACACTTGTTCTCATTTATCAAGTATCTTTTTGAAGATGTAGATAACTACATTTGCTAGACTTATCCAAAGGGCAATCTCTTGGAGGCTTTCTAAATTAGTCTAGTTTCAAGGTTCAAGGCTCACTCAAAGGCCACTTCTAAGTTCAGGGAAAACACACACACACATAAAACCAGCTGCAAATCACACCCACCAGCATCAGATAGTCCATTCTGTAAAATTTCTATTTCCCCCACACTGTCTCTTGTCACAAGTTCATATCTTCAACTGTTGCCTGGTTTATCCTACTAATTTTGTCTTGTCTTGAAGTCATATTCTGTCTGATATGAGAAGCAGAAGTGAAGCCTCATACAGGCTTTTAGAACACTACAGAATAATGTGGTTAGACCTTACATTCTGGAGTCCCCAGATCTGGGTTTGCTACTTAACCTGTCTTAAGCCATGCTATCCCAACACATTTGCCACTAGCCAGTTATTTAAATTTAAATTCTAATTAATTAAAATTAAATAGAATTAAAAGTTCAGTCTCTCAGCCACCTTTTCAAGTGTCCAATAGCCACATGTAGCTAATGATCACTATACTGGACAGCACAGATGTATAGAGCATTTCCACCTTTGTGTAAAGCTGTGTTGGGCACTGCTCTAGAGCTTCATTCTCCACATTGGTAAATTGGGACAACAGTATTTACCTTACAGAGTTGTGAAGATTAAATAAGACAATGCATGTAAAGTTCTGCAAAGTGCCTGACCCACAGCATATGCTCAGTGGCAGCACTCTCCTCTCCCTGGCTGGAATGCCCTCATCCCAATCTTTGCTCTCTAAATCTATCTCTCATGTTCAACTTAGACCCTTCCAAGAAGCCCTACATCAAGTAGAAATGAACTCTTCCTTCTCTGAATTTCTGAAGTACACTGTTCCCCAAAACTGTCATGGTACTGTTCACATTCTGTATCACATGGCTGTCATATACGTAAATATCTGGCTCTCCCTAAGATTTAAGCTCCTCGGAGAAGGACTGTTTCCTACTTGGCTTTTTATCAATTGTCCAAGCAGCCCACCATTTTGTGAAAATACATTCAAAAAGAAGGAAAACATACAAACCTTCCAAACTGCAAAGGAAAATTCTTTTTAATTCTGTGGAAAAGCTTCTCTCCTGTGTCAAGTTCAACATAAAAATAGGCTGCTCCTGCCTGTGCAATCTAAAGTAAACAAAGTTGTATGAGGACATATAATAGTGCTTTGAAAAATCTAAAACCCTAGCTCACCTCCTGTAAGCTCTAATTTAGCAAAGAACTCTGTCTAGAAATTTAAGAAAAGAAAGTGTGTGAGAAACTATATTCCCTTGGGAATTTAAAAAACCCAGTATCCTCCCAATGGCACTCACCCTTCTAAGTTTCCACCTTAGGAAATGTCTAATTCCTTATTCTTTGTAGGAAAGCCCTAAGGCTTTGTTATAATGTTTTTTTATCTCCAGTCTAATTAATATTCTTCTAATCAATATAGTTACAAATTGTCTAGTGCTCATTTAATACTTTTGGAATGCCTTAATAGTACCTCGGCCTCAACAAGTCTAAAACCAGACCTCCTCCCTGAAGACCTCCTCCCTGAATATCACCATCCCCTTCTGTTTCACCTGCTTGATGTCTGAGTGCTCTGGGATTTCCAACAGCTCTATCTGTTGTTCTTGTGCCTGGGTAATAAAGGCATCTTTAATGTCATCTGTAGCACAGCAGCTGAGTGGCACAGGAATGACCTGGGTTGGGGGAATAGGAGAACTTCTCTGTACAGGTCCCAGAAGGATTGTGTTTACAGAGTTCTGAGAAATAGCCAGTCCATCATAGGGGTGGAAAAATACCCCTCAGCACAGATTTTCCTCAAGCCAGACAGCCTCAGTCAGTCTGTCTGTAGGACTTAAACTTATGAGACAGCCTGTCACATGTGGGAGCCAATCTCAGGTGCAGGAAAAGCTCAAGAGAGACCACTCTGTCTTCAGGTCTTTGCCAGCTCCTACATAATGTATGTGGCAGAGTCAAGCCCATTTGAAAACTTAACAAATGTGCTGGAAAAGAACCACCACAACTACAGACAAATTATCTATAAATAATCACAAAATTTCTGTGCTGTTACCCCTATACTGGCTCTGAGACGATTTCCTACCTCTAAACCTTCACTCAGGCTGGGTAACCAAACAAAATATTGACTCCTTTCCAAATTCTTACCAAGTAAGGCCCATATCTTCCTTGGAAATTTCTCATTTACCCACTCCTGAAGAAGGCATTCATCATCCTGCTGTTCACTTTCAAGCACCATTAAGTCCAGGATTATCACCAGATTATCTTAGCCTTTCAAATGAATACTATTTATATATAACTATGAACATTCATATGAAATACTATAAATATTGAATTAAAACTAAATATTAAAGTTAGCAGAATTTAATATTTATTTACCAGTCTTAAAGTGACCATAACGCCCTCCAAGTTCCTGGCAGAGAACACCTACCTGCAACTGGAGGTGATGGCTCTTATAATTCCTCTCAAACAGAACACACTGTTTCCCTCGACTCTTAAAGAAGCATCTCAGCGTAGACTTATACTTCTCCACCTCTTCCACCACTTCTGCTGAAAGCTCTACCACTGATTGGTAGTGTCCAATGGGCAGGATGAGGACATGGTCATCAGATAAGCCTCCTTTGGCCAGGGCGAGGTAGCACTGAAGGAGAAGCACACAGACAGCAGTTCTTGCATGTATGATTGTCCAGGGAGAAAAGCTACACACAGAGTGAACCCAAGGCATAGGAAAATGTGCTCAAGATGCTCTTAACATAAATACCCTACTTTAAAAAATCTGATTTTTCATGTTATAACAACAATATTCTCAAGTATCTTCTGAAGAATGAGATCAGATGTAACAAATTTCTATGCAAGTATCAAATGAACTGGGAGCAACCAAGTAGGCTCTTGACTTCAAACACCAGTGCTGAAAGAGACCAGAACAACAACCATTTGAGTTGTCCCTCCCAGGCTCCAAATTTAAAAAAAATTTTTCAGTTACTATCACCTTCCCTTCAACCCCAAAAATATACCACCTCTGATTTCCAAATGTCTACTTCCTGCCTCTTCAGTAACATCCAATCCCATATCTCACTTCCAAATGTACCCAGGGCTCACAAAAAAAGGCATCCAATGATTAGCATCCAATGTTCCTATAGCCTTAAGCTGCTAACTGAACTAAACAAAGTGAAAGGAAACATAAACCTAATGGGGTGGAAGGAGGAACCTCAAACTCATCCGAAGGTGCATTGCTGGTATTCAGCAATAGGTCAGTCTTTCATAGTAACTGAAAGTATTTCTGTGAAAACCAAAACATGCAGGACTATTCTACCCTTTGAAGGGAAGATACTGTGAGTGAGCAGAGAATGGACTTACAAATATCAACACAGGAAAATACAGGTAATTTAGGATAAAAAAATGCGAAGTATACTTTTTGTGTGATGGATTCAAAGTTAAGACTGAAATATAATGATTTATTTCTCCTCTACAATGAGAAAGGCAAATACAATGACAGGATATATACTGGAAACAAACTAAAGCATCATCATCCTTGATTTATTTGGCATAAAGAAATTCTACAAAATTAATTCTGCAGATGACTTATGTTCATTAAAACCTCAAAGTGGCTGGTGCAGTGGCTCAAGTGGTAGAGTGCCTGCCTAGCAAGCATGAAGCCCTGAGTTCAAACCCTGTTCCACCAAAAAAAAAAAAAAAAAAAAACAAAAAAACCTCAAAGGAACTGGGCATGGTGGTACACAACTGTAATCACAGCTACTAGGGAGGTTGAGGCAGGAGGATCTCAAATTTGAAGATAGCCCAAGCAACACAGTGAGATCTCATCTCAAAAACAAAGGCTGGGCACAGTTGCTCACACTTGTAACCCCAGCTACTTGGGAGACTGAGATCAAAAGGAGTGCAGTTCAAGGCCAGCCTCAGCAAAAGTGGGGCAAGGTGGCATGCGCTTGTCCTGCATGGGAGGCATAAATAAGGAGGATCACAGTCTAGGCTGGCCTGAACAGAAAACATGAGATGCTACCTGAAATACACTAAAAAAAGAAGCAAAGAGAGATAGGGACATGGATCAAGTGGTAAAGTGGTAGAGTACCTGCCTAGCAAATGCAAGGCCCTGAGTTCAAACCCCAATATTGGCATCACCCCAAAAAACAAACCAAACAAATAAAAAAAACCTCATGATACTAAAACTACTTTTATTTTTACAATAACCATTTTTATTTGTATTCATTTTTAAAGGTTACTCTAGAAGCCAGAGTCTTAAAGCCTTTCACAAGGCCATTGCCATCAACATCTTTTGCAGTGTGACATGACTGTTAAAAGTCTACACTAAAGAGCTGCCTCTACCTCCCATGCAGTATTTGCAGTTCTTGGAAACAGTTTCATACCTTCACAATCTCCTCCCTCCCTTTCAAACTCTCACCCTCTAATCTGTTCTGTATTTGAATCATCTCTAATGCTGATTCTAAATAGGGCCTGTATAAATGTTTCTCCCTGAAGACAGACACATAGATTTTGCAATAGTTATTTTGCACTATTAGTAGACTTTTCCCTTTTTACATTTGTGGCTATAATCAAGATCATAGTTCTTCCTAGAGGAAGAAAGCCACAGCAAAAGCAGAGAAAGTTGGGGGGTAGAGGGGTGATTAAAGGAGATCAAGAGAAATGGAGCAGGGAGGGACTCCCAAACCCTTTGCTAGACACTCCAAGGCCAATGGTTCTCGAGGGGCTTCTGCCAGAAAAAGGACAGTGCAGGTAAGTGTAGACTTGACTACCAGGTCTCCAGGTTAAAATGTTCACATGGCCAGTATTCTGCTTGGGTGTTGGGCTGGGCTACAAATAAGACCTGAGATGCCTTTTGCCCTTTTGGCCTCAGGTGTAGATGAGAAGTAAACAGGTTTCTCTGATCATCCCCCAGATCCATTTCCTGGGTGATAAAAGGTGAATGCCAAGGCCTCCCAAGGCCTAGAGCAGCACTAAACTAAGTAATCCACTCCAATCTACTCCGTCTCCATGGGGTCTTGAATTCATTGGGGCTTCCCAAACAGAAAGCATTATTTACAGTTTGTGTGAAAGAGAAAAACAGCATGAAGTAATCCAAAACAGAAGAAAAGGTCAAAAGATAATCTAAAAAGGGCATGCCTATAAAAGCAAGAGCTTTTCAAGTTTGCTTTACAAGTTCATACACAGGCTCCATGGCCCAGATGTGTATGTCACAGGTCTTGATCCCCTCGCCCCACAGCATCTCTAAGTCTACCAGTAATTAAGACACAAAAAATAAATGTGAAAGTCTGGGCCTCTTCAGCCTAAAGCAAAGTAGGAAATGAAACAGACTCTAGATAGTCTATAGGAGGCCACAAAAAAAGATTCCTCAAATTGTTAGGATAAGTTGGGGAAAATATCATCTTCACAAACAAAAATTAGAACAAATTAATGAAAAACAGATAAAAGCCACCTACGTGCAGAAGCACTACACATTAACAAATGGTTTGGCTGGGTGCAGGTGACTCAAACCTGCAATCCTAGCTACTTGGGAGGCTGACATCAGGAGGATCACAATTCAAGGCCAGCCTCAGCAAACAGTTCATGAGACCCTCATTTCCAAAATAATCAGAGCAAAATGAACTGGAGGTGTGGTTCAATCAGGGGAGTACCTGCTTTGCAAGCATGAAGCCCTGAGTTCAAACTCCAGTCCCATAAAAAAAGAAAGAAAGAAAGAAAAAGAAATGGCTTGTAAATATTTTCCTCAGGAGCTTCAGATGACATTTGATTCTGGTCGTGGAAGATAACCCTGAACCCATAACCCAAATTACGCTTTCTTCATTGAACAAGACAATGGTCTACTTGAAGCATGAAGGAATGGAGGTCAAAGAATAGTGTTATTTTATCCCTACTTGAGTCCTACCCAAAGAAAGGTATTATGAGAAAGGTGACACAAACTGACTTCCCTCTGAGACACACTGTTCACCAGGGCTTTCTCTAGCCTGAATAAAAGTCATCCAGGTCTATAATATGATTCAGAACTTTCCAGTCATGTGACTTTATAATCATCATCTTGGGGTTCCCAGGTACTTAGACCAGGTATGTGGATATGAGTATTCCTGTCATCACAAAGCTACATCCTCTACTACAAAATCAATTTATCACTTTACATCTTTGATATGATCATTCAATTTCTAATATTATGTAATTCTAGATAAAATTAATAAGCTCAAGTTTCTGAATCTGAAAGCATAGAAAGAATATCAACATTTTTAACCCAATATGGGTAATAAGCAACAGAAGACTCGCTTCTCAGAACAAAGAAAAATCTCCATTTTTAAATAGTGAGCAATTAGTAAAAACTCAATTCTCCCAAGAAATATACACTAAAAATACAAAGAGCTCAAGAAGCATACAAAAGCATCACCCTAGGAGATTCATACCTACTTGTGAGAAAGGGGAAGTGATCTTGTGAAACTGATTCTATAAAACTATAGGAGAATTGTTATAATCAAAGAGACAGACAATGGCTGGGAATAAAATTTAGTGGTAGGGTGCTTTCCCAGGGTGCACAAGGCCCTAGGTTCACATCCCAACACTGGAAAAAAAAAAAAAAAAAAAAAGACAGACATGTGGAAAAGCCCTCAGACATTGCTGGTAGGAATATAAAAGGATGTAGCCATTTTGGAAGTAAGTTTGGCAGTTTCTTAAAAAATTAAATATAAATTTACCATATTATCTAGCTATTCTATTCCTTGGTACCTATCCAAAAGAAATGAAAATATATGTCTACACTAAGATTTGCATGCAAATCTTACATAGCACCATTATTACTGATAGCCATAAAATGGAAACAACCTGAATGACCATGAAGTGATGAATAAATAGACTAAATGAGGTATATCCATACAAGGAAAACTATTTGACAATAAAAAGGAACAAAATACTGATACATGTTATAACATAGATGAACCTTAAAAATAAGCTAGTAAAAGAAGCCAGACACGAAAGACCATTATAGTATGATTCCAGTTACAAGAAATGTTCAAAACCCACAAACTTATAAAGACAGAAAGTAGACTAGTGGTTGCCTGGAGCTGAGGGTGGAAGGAGAGATTAACTGTAAATATGTATAAGAACTTTTACTGGAGTAATAGAAATGTTCTAAAACTATATTATGTGATAGTTGCATTATTCAATAAGCTTATTAAAAATCAGTGAATTGTACATTTAAAGCAGGTAAACTTTATATGTAGATCATGACTTAATAAAGTTAATTAAAAAACAAACAGATATCTTCTTCTTTGTAAAAGGTCTATGGAAGTTACTCACATGTGTGCCAATGTTGACCACCAAATGCTTTTCCACTTCAGGGCTGGCAAGACAAAACCAGCAGGATCCTGGTGGCTGAGCTTCATGCAGAAAAAAGCCAAGTGTTACTATAGCTCAAGCACAATAGCCTAAAATTACCCTGAAGAACTCTACCTTGTCTGATCTTTATATACTACAAAGACTGTACACAGCACTGCATGATAAGCTGGACTTGGGCTCTCTACTATGAACCCCTTCCCCACAGAAACATATTCAATGAAACTAAATGTCTACTATAAGAGTTTTGAATTTGTAACCAATTCACAGGTAGGTGATCCACAAATAGATTATCTTATACTGGCTATAACAGCATGAACCTGACAATAGGCTATAATGAGAGAATATTCAACTGGGGTGTTAGGCACTCCAGTTCTAGTCCCAGCTATGCCATTGGCTAGCTACATGACCATAGGTAATAGTTTACCTTCCTACGGTCAGATTCTTCATCTTTGAAATAAGAAGGTGGAGACAGAGGATCTCAATGAAATAACCTGAAAGTCTCTCCTCCCAGTTTGATTATTCTATTTATGTTAAGGCCCTACATCACTTTGGTACACTCTTTACTTTGTTGTGTTTCACAAAGACAAAGGGAAGGAGTTTTCTCCATAGTTCTTACAGGAAGAGCCTCAGACAGCCTCAAAGTCTGGCCATTTTTATATTATTTTATTTTCAGCTTTATTCCCTAATGACTGTACAATTTTCCTTTATTAGAGGGTGCTCTCTTAGCAATACCACTTCTGTTTTCTTTTACTATACTCAAGTTTGAACACAGTACCTCCCACTTGCTAAGTAGGCACTCTACTCCTTCAGCCACGTCTCCAGCCAGCAATGCTGCTTTACAAACAAACCCAAAATAACAGTTATTGTTCATGTAGGAGACCGCTGGAACCATGGTACTTACGAGGCTTGCGAGCATGCTTTGGGTAAGGAGGTTTGCCATCTCTGCCGGTGGATGAACGCTTCCTTCCCTGCTTTTCATTTAAGTCAAAGAAGAATTGACAAGCTGATTCTTCCTAGAATGGCCAAAGGGAGAGTAGTATAGTCTTCAATTAATTTTTAGACAAGTAGCCAACCATTCATACACAAAGGAACATTCCTGCCATGTCATATCTATGTTTCCTCTCCAGCTTTCTTGCCCATTCTAGGGAAAAAACAAAAACTTCCCAGTCCTGATGCCTGGACTCTCAGTTGCACATGTCAACACACTTATCAAAGCTACTACCAAATTCATCGCTTTGGAAAAACAAGTTAAAATACAAAACAGAGCAATAGGGGCATGGGATAGTGCAACAATTTTACAGGTCAAACAAGTCTAATTCAACTTTAGTTAAAGAGAAAGAAAGAGTCATTAGGAACAAAAGCAAAAAGAGGAGACCAAAAACTGTTTTTGACAAGACAGAAAAGTCTGAGAAATCAAACCATGCATCCTAGTAAGGAAACTTGATATTCCTTTAGTGGGGGGAAAATTAATTTCAGAAAAGATTGCTATTAAGAAAAATTCTTCAGAATGAATCTTATTTCTCTATTAATAATTATTACAAAATCATAAATTACATGATCCTGGATCTTTGCCAGAGAAGCTAAGAATAATTAACTTCAGACAAGGAAAAACATGAAATTATAACCTCAACATATGATTGGAGTTTAGACAGAAAAAGACTTGACTGTTTAACCCAAATTACAATAAAAAACACTGAACTTAGTTGAAATCTACTAAGACTTTCTAAGTACTATTAGATTCACCAAGGGAGTAAGTAGTTTGATTCTAAGGATTAAATTTGTTTTATGTACTAAATTATAACCAGGAAAAGTACACCCTACCCAGAAACTACCACCCCTCAGTCAGAATGCACCTCAGGGGCAGGAATTTGCTTTTCTGTGGTTGATTCCTTTCCAAATCTTCTGTAAGGATTTTCAGTGGCATCTGGAGGCTGTTTTGCCAGTTCTGCTGCATCCATTAGTTTCATGGGAACAATACTGAATGCATAAAGATACTTTAGAGAAAAAGAACAGAGCATTAGGGAAATACTGCTTATCCCAATGTAATCAACCTATTTTACTGTGAAGATCTCACAGAAAGCATCTGAAATTGAAAAAAATTTAAAGCCTAGATGTGGCTCAAAGAATACATAACAGTAAGTCAAACGCCAATTCAGTAGCCTCTGCAGGAGCTAACAAGAGCTCACAAAGCAATGAGCAGCAACTCAAAGCCCGAGCCCTTACACAAAGCAGGGTCCTCACTCAGATAAGGGTATAGTGACAACTATCACTGTAAGGCCAAGGGACTTTCTCCATAGTAGTTGAAGACAAATTGCTTCTGTCTCTGAGTCTTTGTCTTTGTAAACTTTGTCAACAGAATTATGGCACTGTCATTTTCTTCTTAATGAAAACTACAATTGGATAGCTTGGGGGTTTTCTTCTCTGATAACATACAAATTCTGGTGTAGATGTTGATAAAATTTTCTTAGGGACTAGTAGCAAAGAAGTGAATATTCATATAAATATCTAGAACTTTGGACTAATGGTGCAGACACTGGAAACTTTAGGTAAAATATGAATAGATGCTTAACCTCACTATGATCAGGGAAATGTAACTAATGTAGTAATGATATACATCTTCTATCTACCAGATTGGCAAAAACTTTAATAAAACTTTAACAACACTCAGTGAGAACATGGAGAGGGAGAAAAAACATAGTGATGGTAGGGGTATAGATTGGAACAAAATGCTTGCCAAATTTAAAAATGTGCACACCATTTGACTGAAAATACTGTAAGTACTACTCAGGCAACTTAAAAATTACAAATCTAAACCTACTAAGAAAGAATTCTGCTTAAAATGTTAAGATATGGAGAAAACAAAATATGTATTTTCTGATCTTTTGTATGTATATTGTCTATGGCATGTTATAAAGGTATAGTCTTCAGATTATTGAGTCAGGTTATTTTGCCTATTTTCCCATGACTGATTATTCTGATTTTAGCAGTTTCCATCCATGATAGTTTGTTTTTGGTCTTGGGAAAACAGAAAAGCTTTCAGGGAAGTGATTTAAAAAACCTCAAAACCTACTTTTTGGGCATATTTTCTTTTATTACCTGCACTGTTTTCCCATACGAACTATAACTAATAACTAATAATTCCCAAAGTCAAGGAAGGCTTAGGTAAATTCTTGGGAGGATTTTATTATTCCAGCTAAATGAAGTTGCTAAAAGCAGCAAACAAGAATACCATCCAAGGGCAAACTCACAAATACCTATAGAGACAACCATATGTATGAAAGGAAAGGAACACCATTCACTTGACACTTTGCCTTTATTTGGCTACACCTATTTTCATAAACCTTTCCTTAAAATCTTCCACAAATAACACAAGGAAACCTGACCTTTCATTACCTTAACTTTACAAAGGAGTCACCGAAGCTGCTAGACATCGAAGTTGGTGGGAAGGAAAAATCTGAATGCTAAACTAGGCAAAAAAAAACATTTATCAAGCAGACAATGAATATTAACTTACCACCAAATACTCAAATCTTTACCTTTTTCTTTTCTGGATTTCCAACATTTGCCAGAGCTATGAACCGGGTGGCATGTTGTGCATTTTCTTGCAGAACAATGTGGTTTCTAGAACATATTTGAGAGATACCACCTTACTTTGATTTACAATTGTGAAATATGTAGACTCCATGGAGCCATAAAAAGAGCAAAGGTCTTGAATCTACCACCACAAATCATCTGATCTCAGCAAAGTTACCTATCTATCTAATAGGACTTATGTATTCATCTAGTAGAGTATAATCCCTACCTCATAGAGTTGTTACAAAGTCATGGAATCATGCCTCTGAAAAGCACCAAAATTTCAATCTTTGGTTCTGAAAGAGTTGTAAAATTGGCAAAGTATTGACAATTGATAAGCTAGGTGATGGCAATATGAGAGTTCATTTTACTATTCTCTCTTCTTTTGGGTAATAAAATACCAAAATAGTGAAAACTAAAAAGAAATATATTCTAGTGGAAAAAAACATGTCTCAAATACTGATACATAGTATAATTTAATTTTTCTAGGAAAAAATATAAAAAATATCTGAGAATCTATACATTATAGAAAACATAATATACACTTTAACTCAAGTATTTGTTCACCCTTTCCTGTGTTCTCTTAAGGTTGACACAATGCCTTAAGAGGCTAACACAAAAGGGTAAGGAAAATCTCCATAAAACCCAGAAAAGAGCTTTAAAACTCCTCTCTAGATCTATCTGCAGTCATAGCTTAAAAAAAAAAAAAAAAATCAAGCACTTGTTAAGCTTTTCTATATTTTAAAAGTATTCTACACTAATCATTTATAATTAAATGGAAAAAAGCTAAACTAAAAAAAGAAAAAGGAAAGAATTGATGTTTATTGATGTTTCTGATTCTCAAACTGACATATTTCCAAATATGAGAGCTGAGTTTTCAAGACTATACAAAGCATTGGCTTGGCCTAATGAAAACGGGACTTAATGAGCTACAAAGAACCACACGATTATACAGTGTTGTTACCTCAGATCCTCAAACTTTTATGGGTCTTTTTTAGTCCAATTCTTTTTATTTCAAAGGATTGAAACTATTTGAACAAACTCCAAGATGAGTGACTTGAGAGTCACCAAAAGAAATATGGCGAAAAATGAACAAGGTAAGTTTATAGAGAATATCCAATGTAAATTCCTCAAAAAACCAAAAAGAATGAAATGCTACTTGCCGATATGGAAGCCTCTCATAGTATGACTTTTCCAAAGCAGCAAAATGATATCTTGGTTTCAATCCTGTGGCAAGACTGGAGACCAAAGCAGAACCACATTTTTTGGTATCCACTTCTCCCTAGTAAACAGAAACTTGGTCATCCACAAAGACCCAGGAATTAACAAGAAATGCAAAGAAATAAGAAAACACTTTGAAATGTTCAGATTTGTAGAGATACAAATGTGGACAGCAGGATTCACACAGTGAATACTTTTATATTTATGGCAATCAGAGAAAAATCAAACTCATAACAATACTGGACAATTGTGATTGCAGAATAGAAACCATTATTGGAAGCCAATGGTTACAATGTAGGTTAATTTCTTAAAAGTAACATCCAAATCAGAGATTATTAAAATCTTTTTTGGAAAGTTACGTGTCTCTCTGGAGCTGCCTACCCAAACTGTGTGTCTACAATGTGCTTAATAGTGCACCTATATATCTGACAGTGGAGATAGTCATAGTCAATGCAAAAAAAAAACAAAATGCAAAGCCTATACTATTGAACATTGACCCTGATAAAAGTCAGCCTTCAGATCCTCTAGGGTCCATAAAATATTCAGGGACCTCATAACACAAATATAATCCTTTATTTTATTTCAGTCAAGCAATAGTGGTGTGTGGAAGGGCACAGCCACACCCTTATTTAAAAAAACCTTGCAAAGAAAGTTTGTCATGTTAGGCTTATTACCAGAATGTCCCTAGTTTCAATTAACAGCCAATTATGGAATCTCTCATCTGTAATATTATTTACTATAAGAGAAGGTATGAGCTGAAGATAAATTACCAGGTTTATTTTCCACAGTGTAACAGGATTTCCTTTTGTCTTTGTGCTTTTTTCCTTCTGGTTTCTGCTTAAGGGACAGGGAATTTGCCTTGAAATTAGTTGTAGTATCATAGGGATTGTTTCTTCTCTATAAATATCTTTCATGTATAAATCCTTATAAACTTTCACTAATGCTCCCCTCTCCTGCACAATGAAGAGGCTTATTTTCTCAACCTTCCTTGCAGTAGATGTCTTTCTCCTTCCATTATTACATTAGTAGCCCTTCTTTGGCTCTTCCCTACCTTTGCTGTTTCTTTGTGCTGCAACTAGTACTGCCTGTTGTATTCTCGGTTTAGAGTAACCATTGGTTGGTAAAAAGAGAAATGAGCTTTGTCCTTTTTTCTTTCAACATTTTCCCTGACAGTGCCTGGTATGCATTGGCATGTTTTGGTGACAGACACTTGGTGCTGAAATTGGCAGGGCTCTCTGGATCATCACTGATAATTCTGAATTCATTCATGGGGTTTTGTCTCCAATTAATGAATTCTTAATTTTTCTCCACTGAGGTTCAGCTGATGCTTTCTGACATCACACATAACCATTTCAAGATCTTCCTTAAGCTGGTGTCCACTCATGATAACTGTCACTACTGGTATACATCCTCCCCAAGATTACTTATAAGCACATTAAGGTCAAATGCAATGATCAGCTCCAGCACATCTCAGTATTAAATTGTTCCTAACAGATAAACACAAAGTTTTCAACACCCTGGTTCAGATCACTAAACTCAATCCCACAATGATTTAATTTTTTAAAATATTTTGATAGCCAAAAAGCAATAATTTGGAATGGAAGGGAGAAAATACAACTGCTAATACTAAAAATCTCTTCACTAAAAATTAGTGAACCCTCAAAACATATTAAGAGGAGGCTTGAGAGAAGTACTTGAAGGAGAGAATGTAAAGAACCATTCATTTATAATTAAGATTTCAGCACTCTTATCTGTGAATCACATTTTTATGAGATTAACTTTTGTTCTGGCCAGTTGATACAGGTTTTAGAATCCTGAAAACTTTCACAAAACATTCCTAGTGAATGGTATTATGAGTTAAAATATTTAAAACAAAGAGAACAAAATTAAAATATTAAAAAGCTCAACTTTAGTCACTACAATTTGCTTTTAGAAATTCCAAGAAGCACTACTCACAGAAGAATTCCCAAAGTTCCCCACACACTTGGGCCATGGGGATGTAAGCAAGATATCAATGCCCTTAAACCGGGATGTTGAACACAGCATTGCTCTCAGGGAAGACACATCCTTGGGACTAAAACTGTAACCTGGAGCAGGTTCACTTAAGGACTCTGTCCCACTGAGGTACACAATCTGCAGCCCTGAGCTTCCAGTGAAGATGCCTTTACGACCTGGGTTCAAAGAAAAAGGGACAGGTTTTAGTCAAAACTGCAGAAAAAACGCCATCAATATGGCAATACATCTTTCTCCCTATGTCTTGACACTACTTTATTTCTTCCATTCTACATGCTTGAAGGAATGTAACCTCTCCTGTAGCCCCACCCTGGCTGCTAGGCATCCATGTTGCCTGGCTCCAATAGTAGGCCTGTTCAGTAAGTTTGAGGAGCCCTTATGTGGAGGCCACTGGTACTCACGGGCCAATCTGTTTACACCAAGTACCTTTCAAATATTATTCATAAAAGTTAGGAAGTGATAATTTAGATGAAAGCTTTCTGCCTTTTAAAGAAGACTCTACATAGACTAAAAAAAAAAAATCCTAGATATCTGGAAATGGTAAGAGGTAATGAGAAGAAAAAGTAATTGAAGTTCTAAGAAAACCTGAGTCTACAAAAGATGTACTCTTCAGGAAAACTAAAAGTAAACAAAGATATTTGGAAAGAGCAACTGTTTGTGAAAACTAGAGATTCCATTCCTATCTAAAGTTATACTCCCAGTTTGTGGCCTTGATTCCATTTCTTTTATTCCTTTCTGCTGCTTCCCAGACCTTGTTCCATTACTGTTTACCTCCTTTTTCATCTATGAGTTTATTCTCAACTGGCTCTTTGTTTTGAGAAGAAGAACATGCTCAATCTTCCATTTACAAATGAATGTACACACAGGAACTTCCTCTTCTTCAATTTCAAATTTCTGAAGAGTAGTTTATGTTCTCTAAGTGATTTAACTCTTAGTTCCTTAGCCCACTGAAATCTAGTTTCCCTCTCCTACCATTCTTTTAAAGCTCACCAAACACTATAACTGCCAGTGGTGAACAAACGTAACAATATCTTAACAGTCTTCTAAGCATTTTCACCTCCCTTTGCCTAGACTCTTGATGAAGTACCCCCTCTACCAAGGTACTGTTATCTACCTACTTCCCCCCTCGCTTTATTTCTTCCTTAACAGCTTGATCTTCTTCTTAGCTTTATTTTTCATCTTTACAGAACCAACTCCCCAAAGCCTATACTATTGAACATTGACCCTGATAAGATACTCTAGAAAGAACTATCACTTCCAACTATGTTGGGTGTTCTGCCAGCACTTCAAGGTCACTATCACATATTTATCATCAAGATGACTGCTTGCAGACTGAGGCTATAGCTCCATAGTAGAGCACTGGCCTACCATGTGCAAAGCCCTGGTTCATCCTCAGCAAAAGAGTGAGAAAGAGAGGGACAGAAAGACAAAGATAGAAACAGAAAGAAAAATCACTGTTTGCTTCCACTGGATCTCAAAAAATTTATTTCACAGAAATAAACCAAGTATCTTATACTATTCATCTGATAAAGTGATTGTCAAATATCTACAGTAGTATTCTTAATATAAACCTAAAAACCACACTGATAATTGCCCTAAGTCAGGCCCTTGTTAAACCTACAATCAAAGGATTTCAAAATGTAACCGCAAGTGCAGGGGCTATAGATGTAGCTCAGTGTAGAACACATGCTTAGAACATGTGAAGTCCTGGATTTAATTTCCAATATACCAGAAAAAAAAAAAAAATCCCTCGATGTTTTGTTTGTTTAACGGAGTCCCATATGGTTAGAGCAAGATGAGATTGCTTACATGACGGCCACAGCCAGACACAGAGATGAACTAAGGTGGGGAGGTTGAAGGCGGGCAAAGGTCAAGATGGACTACCATGGGAAGAGAAAAGGGCATTTACAACAAAGAAAATACAGACACTGCCTGGGGAAATGAAACAGTAAAGAGGAACTGTGAAGAGCAGTGGAACCATTTTAGAAAATAAATGACTTGAATGCTCCAAGAAGCAGTAAACTGATAGCAAATGGGCAGGGGATGGGGACAGGAGAGGAGCGGGGACACAAAAGGAAAACTTGACAGTGCTTTTTTAATAGAAGAACCACTAAAAGCAATACAGAGGGTTGTGGAGGGAACACTTTAACCTGGAATTGATAATGGACAAAGGGACTAAAAAACTCAATGATGAACAGCAAAAATTTGCCAAACCTTAGAATGAAACGTAGAGCTAAACTAGTTAGGAGCCTAGCTAACAAGTAAGCTATATATATCCAGTAAGGCCACATAGATGGAATTTCCTTTACTTAAATGTAATTTATCTCTCTAGCAGGCTGAAGGAATATGTATTGGGTTATGGGAACACAGGGAGATTGAGGGGAAGTAGGGGAGATAACAAAGGAAAAACACCATTGTCTAAGGGCATAATCACAGACTTTGGGAAAGAATATCCTCCCTGTCCTGTTTCCTCCTCCCCCTACCCATCCCCACTCTCTCAGGCAGTAATGGCAGAAGAATCCAATCAAAAATTTTCCTGGGAAATGAATTCCTGAAAACATTTTATGATGTTTACTACAAATAAAAAATATCAACTTACCCAGATAAGTAATGTTTTCAGCTAATTCACACCCATCAGCATCTTGGAAATATTTCACTGTTTCCTGGTTGTTGGCACCAAGCACGTATGTCTGAATAGGGGCTAGTGAAGGAACAGACATGATACCATATAGTTACCAGATACTCTTTGGCCCTTGAGAAATGCTTCCCCATAGGAAAAATACTCATAGCACATGTCAAGAGTCTCTGCATTCCTCCCATAGCAATCCTAAATGTGGAACATGCTTGCTACTAAGGATATCCTATACCCAACCTTGGGGCTTGACTATTAAATGAAGTCACTAAGGCAATGAAGTGACATCCTTAAGAGGATGGTCAATATACAATGACGAAAACACAGACCCTAAAGAACTTAATTAAAAAAAACACTAAAACTGGAAAAAGGAAGATACACTTGATTGTACTTATCCAGTTCCTGCCAATCTAAATTAGCATTATTTCTCTGGAATGACATTGAATCAAATTCAAACTGTGAACATGTATATTGTGTATATGCATTCTTTCCAGCTCAATACAGAACTTAAGAGGGGAAATGCTTTGTTATTTTTTCTTCAGTTGGTTTTGTTTTTTTGAGACAAGTTTTCACTATGTAGCCCAGATTCTCCTGCCTCAAACTCCCTAGTGCTGGATTACAGGTATGCACCACCATGCCTGGCAAAAGGGAAATTCTTAAATAACAAGTATGTGAAAAACAACCCCACAAGAACTTCAGCCCTTCAAATTTTGTTAGAAATCATACATTAAAAAAATTTCTATACCTTTCTTGATGCCAGTCTTGTACTCCTCCCATTCAGCATCTGGGGTGGAGCCAAAGAAATTTCCTACACACAACAGCAGCTAAAATGAGTTTTTTAAACAGACATATGAGATTGAAAAATATTAAACATTACATTATTGATAGTAACATGCAGTTAATAATCCTATTTCATAGTTTCAAACCAGGTTTTTTTCCTTCCTTCATTTACAGAATTTCAATGCACAACTCTTTAGGAACAATGTAATAGCTAACTCATTCTATGAATTACTAAATTTTGGCTCACTAGTTGTCAAATTCAAGTTGGGGAAGGGAAAGAGGAAGTCAGAGAAATGAGCTTTAATTTTTTTTTTTTTTTTTTTTTTTTTTGCTGTCCTGGGGTTTGAATTCAGGGCTTTGTGCTTGCTAGGTAAGTGCTCTACCACTTGAGCCACTCCTCCAGCAACAGGAAATGAACTTTAAAAAGAAGTCATAATCCTAGTGCTCCTCAAATATTCCCAGTCCCACTGTGCCACTCCATGGCTCTCTTTAACATCCTTGTCTTTCCTGATGAAAAACTTTTAAAGATCCCTCTGTGAAATATGAAATTTAAAATATTAGATACCCTCAGAAACACAGGGCATAAAACCCATATTTCCTGCCTGTTGTTTTTACTCATTAAAAAGGTTTCCTTCCCCCTATCACTCCATAGCTACTAAGTTCTCATGTTCACAAAAGAACTCAATCTAACAAAAATGGAAAGTCTGTGTTCAATCAAGAAATCAACAAGGGAGCCCAAAGTTTAATATGTTTGACTACAATAGTAAAATTAAATTTAGTAAAAAGGAACATCTTACATCAAAATTTCCACTTTTCTTCTGAATTGCTCGAACTCTACTGAATAAAACATCGAACTTTCCTTCAACATCTCCACAAGCCAAGCTGCAAACAAGAGATAAAAATGATAATACAGGAACCACAAATGGGTTTTCCAGGTTTGGCATATGTGCTAGTCTTCTGAATTGGATAGGTATGTAATCCAGACTCTTTGCAGTTACCTGTGACGTTCAGAGCACGTAAACTCTTGCTGACCACCAGGCAGCCCCACCTAATGATCTGGCCAACAGCCTCCAGCTCACCATACTTAAAATTTAGCTTTTCATTCTCTCCAAAGCTGAGTCAGCTTCCTCTCATAAGTTTTGTAAATGAGTTTATCACCAACTTGATCACAAGAGTAAAAAAATCCTCCATCTAGTCACTAAGATCCATCAAGCCCTTCTTTCAAACTTTCTGTCCTTTTTATTTCTACTGCCTTTAACCGCCTTTAACATATAGGGCTTTAGTCATTCATTCAATAAATATATATTGAACACCTACACTATACAAAGTGTAATATGCTAAAAACATGCTGGAAGTTTAACGGGAAGAAAACTGAGTTAAAGCCTCAAACACTTTATAAAGAGGGAAGACATTCTAATGGCTATAAATTCATACTGTCAGGGCTATTAAAGGAGGTTAAGAGTGTTATGGGGGAGGAGGTAGGAAATGCCAAGAGCTTAGGTTGGTAAGATAGAATAGCCCCAAGTTGTGAAATGCCTTGTATCATTTCTGAGTTTCTAAATTCTAATTTATATAGTTTTTCCACTTCTTATATAATTTTTAATATCTTTTGACTCAAAATATTATAGTTCCTATTGTTCTGTCAGTATGTCTTTCTAATGCTTTTCTACTGTCCATATCACTGAACATTTTCAACTAGGGCAGTGATATGATCTTATTTGCTTTACAGTGATTCTTTTACTAACAATGCAAGATGGTCTGGAGAACAAATGACTATAAGCAAAAATATAAACAAGAAGGGCAATGACTAATGGAGATGGGGAAGTGAAAAAACAGATTTAAATACAAATTGGAGTGGGGAAGTAAGATGGGAAATGAGGGAGAAGTGGGAATGGAGGATACCTGCAAGGCTGAGTAACAGAGTTCTATGATTCCACAGAGGCAGAATCAGAGAGTAGTATAATTTACCTGGTATTGGACACAAAGTGGACAATATGCTTATTATTTCCTCTAATGCCTCCTTCCTATTCATCCAGCATAAAGCCATCATTTTAATGTTCCTTCCTCAAAAAACATTTTCTTCACTACTTATAGAAACAGATTTCCAGAGGCCCTAAGCTGTCAATCCAGTGCTTTCTCTAAGTTTTCCTACCTAAAATCTCCCAAAACTCTGCATTCGATCACTCTGCCATTCTCTAGGATAGTTCTCTCTCATAATAGTCCCACTCTACACATCCTGTGTGTAACTTTTCCCGTCCATCAAGGCCAAGCACATCTTTGAAGCTTTGTCGATGAACTCAGAAAGTCATTCCCTTCTTAAAAATCTCAGAAAAGCATATAACTTAGAACACGCTTCATGATTACTATTAAGTATTTTCTTAATTTTATCATCTAGGAAGCTTTCTGGTTGCTGTTAGTTACCAATTTCTGATGCTCCCACAGGCTTCTGACATCACTCTTCCTAATCCTAGATGTCCTCAACTTTGGCCCTGATTTGTTCCCCACACAGCAGCCAGAATCATTCCCCAAAACGTAAATTTGATCACGTCAAGTCGTTCTTAAACGTTTCAATGACTTCTCAAGATTAAAGACAAAAATATTTACCAGGGCTGAATCCTCACTTCCTCCATGAAGTGTTCCCTGATTCCTTCCATTAAAGTATCACTTTATACAACCTCCTGAACTGAGAACCTTTTCCTCCTGACATTGACCAGTTTGTAATTTTGCATTTATCTGTATTCTTTGGTAAGTGCTTCTTCTTCAAGACTATAGGCTCCATTAGGCAACCACTCCGTCTATGTCATGCCTAGTACCCTGCGTGGCACACGGCACACTTTTCTAATGAATGAATGAATGCAGTCCTTTCTTTACCATCGCAAGGCCCCTCCTCTGCTCCACAAAAGTGGGCGGGCATCTATCTACCTGTCCATCTAATCTGGACTGCCATGCTAATCAGTGCGCCGAAGGTCTAGAAGTACTTGGTTAATAAATAAGTGGGGTGAAGGGAGAGACCAGGGTGAGATGGTGTGTCATAGGCCAGGACCGCCTAAAATGGAGAGGCCTGACTCCGGGGTTTCCGCTTCTCCCCGACCGTGTCACCCCGAGAGACCCCTCTCCCAGGCCGACCCGGGTCAGGCCAGAGCTCCCCAGCAGCCCCGCGACCCTCCGCCTAGTCCTTCTCTGTGCGGGTCAGGACAAAGACCCCTGCGCGTCCCGACACCTGCACACGCGCGCGCACCCGCACGCGCTCGGTACTCGGGGTCACTCACAGGCGCAGCGGTTTCTGAGCCATTCCTCCCGGCAAACCTAGGCTGGGCGACCACCTGAAATTGGAACTACGAACGCGCGCTCCAGGGGGACAAAAACGCCACTACACTACGGTGAGACGTCAGCAGACCGCAGCCAACCAAAGCTCAGCTACCTACGGCGAGCGCGGAGGGACATAAGCCTTTCGCTACTGGGTTCCCTTCAATTTGGAGAGAGGTGGAGGGAGGAAGCGGATAAAAGAAACAATTAGCTACTAGCAGGTTCCCCGCACGATGTGGGGCCCTTACCTAACCTAGCCTAATCTATTCATATCGACCCGGTGGCCAAGGCAGACCCTGCCCAGTCACGCTTTAAATTTTTTTTCCTTTTACCCAAAATTCAAAAGAATAATGGCCATCACCTCGATGCAGAGTCAGTATAGTTGCTCGCGCGCGCTCTCTCTCTCTCTCTCTCTCTCTCTCTCTCTCTCTCTGTGCTTAAGCACTTTTACTCTCACCGAATCTTTTGAATGTGAAGTGCAGACAGCATGCATATCCTAAGATTAAGGACATTGTCCTACATGACCACCTAATACATATCCATATTTAAAGGTCTGCATTTGTTCCCGCCTCCTCCTTCCAATGATTTTTATACCTGGAATCGGTTTTCATTCAGTAACCAAACTTCACACTTCAATTTGGCTCTAGCTCTAGTCTGTCTGTCTCTCTAGTCTCTCTCTCCCCCCTCCTTTCCCTCTCTTCTTCCCTCCCTCTCTCTCTCTCTCCACCTACCTTTTTGTTTTTCTTTTTCAGGACATTGAATTTACTGGAGTTCAATTTGCAGAAGGCAACAGTGTATACATGGAAACAAGAGAAGTCTTGACAACTAAGGGACACCCAAGTAATTCCAATTCGATAAAACGTAAGTTTAAGAGTGAGCTACAAAGCTCTGGCTTTCCACACAATTTCTACAATGCTTTTTTGGGAAATACCAAAGTCCTTCCCTCATATATATTGATGCCCCCACTTCGCCAGCAACCTAAGTATACATTTTTCCCGACTTTTTGAATAATACAACACTTTCCAGGAGTGGCAAGACTGAATCTTGAAGAAAAAAAAAATACAAATTTCCCAGCATGGACAGGTAATAATTCCAAGATGAGGAAATAAGATATGAAAACTCACTCATGGAATTCTGTTATGTTTCCCATACATCCAAATCTATTCTAAAATAAAAAGTTCACGAAAAATAAAAAAGTCCATGGTAGTTTAAGGCAGCTGAAGATAGCTAAGTGTAGGAGTAACAGGAAATGGACTTTTCTTTTTAGTAAGAGTCTTACATGGTAAGAATTCCAGCTTTTTCAAAGAGGCCACAAGAAGTCACTTAGTATTCTAAGCAGGAGTAATGCAGCTACTTCACATTTTAGAAAGACTGCAGTGGCAGCAGCACAGAGGTGGGTTAGACAGTTAAGATGAGAAGGGACCACAGTAGTCCAGAGGAGTAGAGATAAATGATGGGGTCTGGAACAGATGAAGTGAGGAAGATAGAAACAAACTCTTTTGGAACTGGAATTGGGTACGTCAGGCACCTTGGTAGATGCTAACACCCTACTCTGGATAAGGAAGGTTGCCTTTCTTCCATATTGGACAGTTGTTTAACAATCCCTAGCCTCTGTTGTCTTTAATGTAAAAGGGTTCCCAGAAACCCCAACTCTTAGCCGATAGGCACAAATAGGAAATATGTTACAAAATACTTTTATTAGGAATGTCAGCCTCTACGTCCCCATCCAAGACGTGCACGAATGCACATCTTGTCTTTATCACATTTCCAAAAGGGAACACATGTCAAGATGTCGTCCCACCCCAGACATCTGATTCACATAAAAAAAGAGACAAAGAGGGGCCTATCCTATATGCCAAGCTATCAAAACACTCCTTTCACTACTTGTGCTCAGTCTTTAAGACTTGGCCTGGAATTGTTTTAAGAGTTCCTGTGATTTGTAATGCTAGGGAAAAGTAACATTACTGACACTCAGAAGGTAATAAGTTGCAAAGAACACATTTGTTTTTGTTTTCCTTTTTTAATCTAGAATCTTAACAGTACATTAGCATCATTAATAAAAAAAAATTTACACAGTAATGTAACTCAAAAACCAGACCATTTGAGAAACAAATGAAGTAATCAACCAGTACCAGAAAAAACAGATCTTCTCATTTGATTCTACTGGCAAGCCCAGGCTTATCCTGAACTCTGAGAGTCTCTGTTTTGAATGAGTGATGAAGCCTTCAAGTAAAAGGTAAGGAGTTGTAAGTGTGAGTTTCTGAGGGATACTGCCTCAAAGTAAGTTCAAGGGCAGCCAAAGTCCTCCAGTTTTTCCAACACTGGGATGTTCCTGGGATGACCAGTATAGATTCCTTTTGAGGCGCTTTGACAATTCATCAGCCTTAGAATTCAGGTGTTATAAAACATTCTTCCACATTAAAAAAGACTTTATCCCATAGAAATAAGGTTTTCATCGCTTCTCCAGCTTCTTGTACTTGGCTTCTGCATCAGAGAGAAGGAAGCATTACATCTTTTAAAACTGGTTCTCATAAAGACAAGTGCAGATATGTCTATCATATTTAAAAATCTGTTAGCTTCAATGTCATCATCCGCCTGACTATACAGATCATTGAAATAAGGAGTCAAATATACACACTCAGAATTGAGAGCCCAAAACAAGTTCAGAGTTCTAATCTTGTCAATAGCACATGCCTAAACAGCTCCACCAGAACAAGGCAGATCTACTGGCACTGACCCATCAGGAAGTCTTACTATGCCAGAAACAGCCTCTCAAGACACTATCCCAGCTACCCTCTAGGATAGAATGGCGCCCTCAGGAAGCATAAATATTACATTTCACCTTTCATGTTCTTATCTTGACACCTCACTCCCAGAAAGCAATTTGGAAGGATATATAGATTTAAAAGGCTATCAAATCAGCCTCTTGCTGTGACAGATTCTCTTTTTTAAAAAAACCATCAAGAGCGCCTGGTACAATCCCTTCTACATGGTAAGATACTATAAACATTTACTAAATATAGTAAACATTGACTATATGTAATTATAGTGAAACTGATTGTTGACCACTACCCATGTCAAATAGTGCTCTCTCTTAAAAGAAGTCAACAACTGTCAATGATGAAAATAAAACAATCTATAACCATTACCTAGGATTTAAAAATTATTTTCTACCAGGGATATAATAGCCAGAGCCAGTGAGCAACACTCTCCTTAAAGGCAAAGTAATTCTTTAAGAAAACATTTGATTGACTATTCCATTTTTGAAGACTATGTGACTACACATTGTTAAGGATGGTTCAGCATGATGCTGAACCACAATTAATAGTTTGGGCATTGTAATCAAACAGACCTGATTTGGAATGTGGCTTTCCCATGTGCTTCACTAGCTTTGTATCCTTAAGAAGTTATTTAACCTCTTAAACTACATTTCCCTCCCCTATAGAATGGGAGTAAAAAATATATATATAATATATTTATCTCACAAATTATTGAGAGAATAAAAAAATAATAAAGCATTAAGAACAGTGCATGACAAATCATTAAGTACAGGAAATGTTACTGTTTTGAGACAGGGTCTCTCTAGGTAGCCCCATCTGGCCTCAAACTCAAAATCCTCCTGCCTCTGCCTCCCAAGTGCCAGGATTACAGGTATGTACTACTATGCCCAGCTAAGATGTACTCTAGTAAATCAAGACAAATAAAAATGGTTACCCAGTTTTTTTGAATAAGCATCCAACTTGTAGGCTGCCTGCTCAAGAGCTGCTACCTGCTCCTCGATTACATTGATCTGATCCAGATAAGGCTGTAATCCAGCATCTTTAAAAACAAACCACATGTTTACATATTTTCAGTAAGAGGTGTAGTAACAGAGTGGAAAATAAGAATGCTACTGTTGTTCCAGCTGTGCCTAAGACAAACTAGGTGGGGTGACACGGCTCTCATCATTACAGCAGCTAACTAATCAGGCACACAATTGTGACCTACTCAAAGGAAGTCTACTAATTTTCTTTTCTTTTTAATGTATTATTTCTTCAGCAATCTTTCTGTTACTGATTCAGTTTCTTGGGTACTCCCATATCAAGAAAGGATGCCCCAAGGGACAAGGAACACAAATATAAGCCAATGGAAAAATAAATTCAGCCACTCTAAACTAGCCTTTTCCATTTATAGATTTTTCTGTTTATAGAGCAGTCCCTTATGGATTTTGTTGTTAAATCAATTCACTAGAATCTCCTCTGTCCTCTCCCCTTCTAGGAATAAGCTGATAAAATCAAGATTTGGAAGCAGAAATAACTATACCACTAAAGCATGCTAATCTTCAAAATGGAAGAAATTCACCTTGACTTTGTAATTCGCTTTTAGAAATGAGCTCCCAAAAGACAGGGATTCCATGTTCCATCCCCTTCTCCTTGGCCCCAAACACGAAAGAACATGTTTTATATCCTCAGTACAACAATAATATATAAAAATAAATAAATAAATAAAAGAAACTGCTTTAAATATAAACACGTTTACTGATACAAAGTATTACTCACACTTCTGGTTTAAGTCCTTTAAGTTTCTACTAATGTTTATAGCAATATCTTTCATTTCAAGATACTTCAAGCTGGTTAGTTTATTCATATTTTCCAGGAGTTTATAGTCTTCACTTGTGGCTTTAAAATAAACAGAAGATGTGATACCATTAGGATTTGTTTGAGGATCACTGGAATGTGGAAGTTTAAGACAAGTGGTAGTTCCAGGGAGGACCCAGGGAATATTAAAGGAGGAGGCCACTTTTGATTTATGGTATTTATACTCAGCCTGTATACTTTGGATGACTGAGTAGAAACTCAGGCAACAATCAATAAACTATCTAAACTAAACACGATCCAGAAGGTTCTGGGTCATGGTTAGAAAGGGAAATGATAAACTCGTATCTTAAGATACAGCATGAAAAAATGTAATTAAGATTTCATCATAATATATATGCTATCAACTATAGCCTCACCTGTTCTTAGTAACTAACTTATTACTGTGTATGATTCTATATTCTAATTTATGCAGTGATTTTTTTCCAAAGCATTTATCTGTATCTCATATCCTCAATTCTTTCCCTGTCCCCACTCAAATAAAGTGGCCTCTGCTTCAATTTTCCCAAAAGCCAAACCCACTACTATAAACTGCTTCAACCTCTTTGCCTTATTCTAAACTTCTCTGTACCTTCCCAAGTGTCAGAAGTGGTTCTGTTCTTGCCAAGACAATGCCTTTCTTGATCCCAAAGCCTTCTATCTCTTCAGGCCTCTCTTCAATCATCTACTTTCATTTGTATTTTCCCCTCTGTGGTACCTTCCTCTCCATCTAGAAATACATTCAAGTTTCCTCCAGCACAAAAGCACAACCTCTGTTCTGCTAAATGTTATTTTCTCAGTAAGTCAAGGAACTTCACTGCTAAACAATTTTAAATAGTAGCTAACATTCACTACTTCCTCTTCCTTACCATCCACTCATGTAAACCTTTGCAGTTTGGTTTCTCTTGTAATCCAGAGAAATTGCCAGCTCTAAAGTCATCAGTGCCTCCCTTACAACCAAACCCAAGGCGTTTTCTTAGTTCTCATCACCCTAAATCTCTCCATTGTCTCTGATACTGATTTCCCTCTCTTTGGGAAATCTTTATTTCTTGGTGCTATGGTACCATACTATACTGATTTTCTATTTTTTTCCTTTTTTTTTTCCCCCCAAACTCAGGGCCTTGCACTTGCCAGGCAAGCGCTCTTCCACTGAGCTAAATCCCCAACCCCTATACTGATTTTCTAATCTTTCTCACTGCTCTTCTTGGGTTTCTATGCCAGATCCTTTCTCATCAAACTCCTTTAACTATCAGCTCTCAATTTTTTCTCAGCTGTCACACATAACTGATGTGTACATAATTAGCATATTCCCATGGGAATTCCCAGAGTTATGCTAGCTTCTCCCAAACTCAGAAAAGCATTTGTGCAAATAAGCATGACAATAATGGAGAATGATAATCTGCTTAAAATCAATTTTATAATAAATCATTTGGAAGCTTTGGCTACTGTTATTAAAAACAAATTAATCAGGGCTGAAGATGTAGCTCAATTATAAAAGTACTTGCCTAGAATGTACAAGATCCTGGGTTTCATCCCTGGGACTACAAAAAATTCATTGCCCCATACAGGCATTCCCTGAGATTTTAATGTAGGCCCCTAAGAAGCAATCTCATCCTGCACAGCTTCTACTCATACCACCACACAAGTGCCTCCAAAATTTGCTTATCCTGCTCTGATCAGTCTTTAAGTTCTAGACTCACATGTGAAAGTTACCTGTGTGTCCTAGTAATATCTACAAGCCACAAAGCCAAAACTGAAAACACTATTTTTATACTGGTTCCTCCTTCCAGCTTCCCTATTTTGGTTGATGCTGCTACCCAGGTTTAAAACCTCAGAAACAAGTCCTATAAAGTCTAACTCTGTAATGTTCTTGTACCCACACTCTCCATTCCTTTTACCATCCTCACTTGGCTTCAGACTATCATTACTTTTTCATCTGAATGATTGCTCATCTGTCTCTGGTCTCTCTTCTCCATATCTGCATTCTCACTGCAGTCAAATTACAGTCTCTCTAAAACAAAGGTCATTCAAATGCATTCAGATAACCGAAAGGCAATAAAATAATGTAAATGGGTGAAGCAAGTCAGGTGTTTGCATATTAAACACATCAGAAAATCATTCACGTCCTCAAAGAAATATGCTCCCTCACACTTCTTGAAGCACATGAGCCTTATTCTGGCATTAACTTTACCAGTTTTTAAAGAGGTATTGGTACAGAAAACCATATCTGCACCACATCTAATAAGAACAACAGTAAGAGGACAGTGCTAAATGGCAACAGACACTAGGTCTTAGTAAAGTTGAAAAAACAGAATAGTGGGGGAGAACTGAATCATACCAGTTCTTTTAAAGGAGGCAGCTGCTCAACTCTAGTCAATTACAGCCCATGGAAGATGGGACATTAGGTCTAGGGACATGGCTCAAGTCATAGGGTGCTTTTGCCTAGCAATCACAAAGCCCTGAGTTCAATCCCCAGTACTGCCCCTAAAAAGAATGGAGCATTAGTATACCAGGCCTGTTAACACTTGAGAGTTCAAGGCCAGCCTGCTATATAGGGGAGACTCTGTCAAAAAATAAAATAAAATAAAATAAAAGAATGGTGCACTAGTGGGCATTAGTATTGCCAAATCTTTGGAATTCCCAGAATTCCCAGAATTTCAAAGAGACAAGCCAAAAATTTAGATATTGTTAGTTGGTTTCTCTTGCTCAAAGCAAGCAAATGAACAAACAAATAATCAGGCTGATAAGTTAGTGACTTACAACCCCTTATCTTCTGCATCAAGCCTTTTCTCACAGATTCTGATTCAGAAACTTAGCTCACAGCAATTTCCTGGGGAAATGAATATAAGTGTTTATGAGACGTCATACTGAACCAGAGCTCACTTTCCAACTCTCCTCATGCAGGGCATGTGTCCACTTTGGAACACCCACCGAACCAAAAATTAACCATGTAGTTTTTTAGTGATTTATCAAATCCTCAGAGCAACCTATTAGGTCCCAAATCGGCAGGTCACTCCCATTCCTCAATTTCATTTCTCTTTGCCCCAGTAAACGCATCTTCTGCTGTAGTCAAACAAATGGCTTGCTTGTTCCATCCCATTCACTGATTGTAGCAGTCCTGTCTTTTCCACCATTCATTCCCTTCACAATCCTGCTCACAATACACTTCTCCCAGGGAAGCACTTCTTGCTTAATATTGCCAGATATTAATTTTTTCACCTCTCATCGCTACACTACAGAGGCCTGCAGAGTTGTACTAAGTATGTATTCTTACGTGTTTCTGAAAGCGGTTCGTTAGTTCCTCCAGGGAAGGAATTGGGCTCTTTCCCTCCCATTCATGACCTCCCCAGACTTCCAGTAGGCCTGTCTCAGGGCATGGTGACGCGGATGCTGCTTAAGCACTTCCCAAGTCCCAGCAGAGCCACACCCAGCTCCAATGAGCGGTGCACAGCACTACCTGCGTTAACCCTATCAGCCCCTCACCTGTCAGTTCCCCAGTCAAGTATGTGGCCATTTTGGAGAACATGTCCCGGCAGAGCTCGCTGATGTCAGCCTCGGCGGGCTCCTTCGCTTCCTCAGCTGTCTCCACGGCGGCATCGTCTGAGCCAAGGGAGAATGAGTGAGTGTCCTGCCCTGCACCCGGTCCTAATCCAGTCAAAGCAGCCCTTTCCTACATCCCTCCCCACTTGTCCTCATTCGAGCAAGCCTATTCCATTCTCCATTGGCCATGACTCCAAGTCTCTCACTTCGTCCTTGTGCCGCTGACACGCCAGGTCTGCTCTCCCGCACCGGCCCCTCGCTCCAGCCCCAACTCCCGGCCAAATCATCTCAGTGGCCCGCCTGACAGCACAGACAGGTGCACTCCCCCGACCTGCCGACTCCCGCCAACCACACACTCGGCCCTGCCATTCCGGGATCCTTCCCGGAGGCCCGAGCCCGCGCCGGCCACTTCTTCTCCATCTATCCACGCCCGGTACCTCGAGCCGGCTCCTCGCGACGCGTCACCGGGACACCCTCCGCGGCCGCCGCCATGCCCAGCCCTGCGCAGCTTCCGGGGCTGGATGTCTGCGCATGCGCACCAGGAGTGCCCCGCCCCCGCTCCCGCCCCGCGTTCTCATCTCGTCCATCCTGCTTGTCTCTTCTGATTCACGCCTCAGATGACGATTTTTAACAATCTCAGCTCGTCCATCCTGCTTGTCTCTCTGATTCACGCCTCAGATGACGATGTTTAACAAAGTGCAAGCACAAAGCCGAAACTGGAGCTAAGATAGGCTATCGTGAATGAGTCCGCTGCGGGGAGTCACGATGTCTGACACTGAGGCGGCACCCATTCCCGCAGTCATACCCCACAGCTGTCATTTTGGCTTGAATCCGACACAGCCTGTCTGGGGTTAGTGGAACCCAGAGTGGCCTGTTGACTGAAGTCACTGAAGACAGTTGTCTCCGCCCCAGAAACGCTGCATCCTGGTAGGGGTTAGTCACCAAAAGATACTCAGGATATCCATGCTTTTGCAGGTACTCTTGTTCTGGCTTTAGGGAACCTCCAGGTCTTGGTTCTGTATCCTAAACACTCTCCCTCCCCATGTCATAGATTAATACCAACTCGTTGGCCCCTGCCTCTTAAACTGCAGGCTGTTACCTACTTCTCTTCAGTGGATACTGCCTTTTTCCAAAGGAAGTTTACCTGGTAACATCTTTAGGACTGAGGATACGCTCTGGTTATCTTCATTGTGTTTGGCTGTTTCACAAGTGTCCTGAGTGTATAGAATACTTAATGGGATGGAAGAACAGGAGTGACGGGATTGGATGAGACAAAGTGACTGGTGAGTAATGGAAGGTGCAAAATGAGGGAGGATAAAAGTCACTTGACAGGGAAGAGGAAATATATAGCAGGTCTCGGAATGGCTCTTGGACACCCAAAATCTTGGTATAGGAGTGGTTTGGTTTTGATGGTACTGGGAGTTGAACTCAGGCTCTACCACTTGCTGGGCAGGCACTCTGCCATTTGAGCTATGCCCCCAACCCAGTGTAGGACACACACACACACACACACACACACATACACACACAGATACTGCTACCCCCAAGGCCTCTTAAATTGACTCTCTCCACCCTAAGGACTGAGTCTCCCTAGCTCACCTGTCTCTGCTCTTCCTTATGGAGTAATCATAGTGTCCACCATTTCAAAACATTCCTATGAACCAGATGGTCTTATTTCAGGATTTCCGAGCCAGCTTAGTTCCTTCAGTTTCACTTCTCATATTCTGTATCTCCAAGACAGTATACATTCACCCCAACCCAAGCATATGAATGACTCACAGTTCTAACCTCATTTTTCCCTCTATAATCCAGAAGCAAAACACAAAGACCTGATTTTCTGAAGGAGTTTTATTAATAGTCACTTGGGAAACCTGCATTATCCTATGGAAGAATAGAGTCAGAGCCCACCACATATTAGTCCAAAGACTGAGGTCGTTTTCTTGCCTTTAAGGCTCCATATTTGTTTCCTGGTTTACAGCCCCCTCAGTTCTCATCGTTCAGTGGAATATCAGGAGGTCAGGTCCTCAAGTGGAACCTATGTTGACTTTGCTCTGAGAAGATGTCACTCTAACTCCTCTGCAATGCTGGAATCTCATCCCATGAGAATATACTCTCCTCTAAGGCTTCCCCTGCTATTTTGCATGAAACTCTGTGGAGGAGGAGAAGAAATGGATGCTAGGAGCATATTTCTAGATGTACAAAAGATAAGAGTAAGATTTACTGGCAAGTAGGAAGACATCTAGACACTGCCTACTCTCTTGGCTTCTACTTTTTTCAGAAATCATGGCTGTCCAGGTGCTTAGAGAGAATCATGACCCTTTCTTCTTTTATCCTATTTGTGCTTGACATTTTTTTATTACCACAGCAGAACTAAGTGCACAGGGAGTTAGAAGCTCAGTGAGAAATGTTATTTCACAGAGCTATGTGGCTACATACAGAAACATCAAGTCACAAGGCTAAGCATGATGTCCAACTACACACAGAAACATTGGCTCAAAGACCATATGTGGGTTGGAACACTGCAAAAGCCATAATGGGACCTGCTGGGGAGGCAGAAAGAAAGCAGCCTGCTGTCTGCTTTAGGACCCCTTCTCCACCACTCTCCTGCCCACTTTGAACTCCTTAGTGGGTGGAGTTACAGCTGGGGCTGGCCACAGCTGTTCCCAAACAGCTTGTTCCTCCTGTTGGAAGAAAAAAGAATAGGTTATTGGAAGGAGGACTTTGGGTCCTGCTCTGTTTTTCTCTAGATCTGATTCTAGAGATCCTAGATTGCTATAGGCTGAATTGTGTTGAAATGTAACACACAATGTGGTGATATTAGGAGGTAAGGCACTTAGTAAGGGATTAGGTCAGAAGTCAGGGAGCCCTCATGAAAGGGATCAGGCTCTTATAAAAAGAGTTCCCTTGTTCTTCTTAAAATTAGCCTATAATAGTTATACAGGAGGGATACATTGTGACATTTACATATGTACTTATAATATATCTTAATTAGACTCACCTTCTCCTTTATCTTCCCTACTCCCTTACAACAATTTCAGCAGGTTTCATTATTCTATTTTCATACATGAATACAAAATATATCATATATATTTTATCAAATATATATGTATATATATATATAAATACATCATATTTGCCCCTTCACCTGTTCCTTATGTTCCCCCTCTCCCACTGATAGCCACTTCTAGAAAAGACCTGTTTTACCTTCCTGTTCTTCACTTTTTAAAGTGTATTTTGATAGTTCAAGGGAGGGGGAGGTTGTCTTGGTATTTCAGACATGTATGTATCTATATCGTGCATTAATCAGACCAACCCCCATTACTTACCCTTCCTCAATCGCCCTGCTCCCCTATTATTCTTCACCTTACAGTTCATTGTGATATATTCTCTTCTTACACAGATGCAATGTTCCAATATTTTTTACTCTCTAACATTCTCTTTCCTTTTTACTTCTCCTGACGGTCCCTCAGACAGACCCGCTAATACAATCATGTTCTCTCTCTCCCTCTCTCTCTCTCTCTCTCTCTCTCTCTCTATATATATATATATATATATATATACACATATATATATATGTGTGTATGAGATCATATATGTATTTATGTGTACATTTATTTTATAGGTGTAGTTTCCACATAAGAGGGAAACTTGTAACAAAGAAGTCAGCTGTCTGTAAACCAACAAACAGGCTTTCACCAGTTACTAAGTCTGATAGCACCTTGATCTTAGATTTCCCAGCCTTCCAAACTGTGAGAAAGAATGTTCTGTTGTTTATAAGCCTCCTTGTCTATGATAGTTTGTTATAACAAGTCAAACAGACTAAGACACAGATCTCTCCTAGAGGCTAAGGCAGCCTTTAGGCCAGGGCAATTACCTTCCAGACCTTCCCTCCATCCCTACCTCCACTGATACACTGACCAATGTAAATATATCTCCCCAGGATCCTGAAAACATAGATCTTTAAAAAATGTTCTCTCCCCCTCACCCTTACTAAGTAGAAAACGTGGTAGAGTTCAGCTGTGGGGGACTAAGAAGATCCAGATGATGTAGCACTCACCACTCCTGGGGAGGAACCGGCTGTCCCTCTCCAGCATTCTTAGCTTTGAGCCCACAGCATCAATCTGGGATAATACTCCTTCTAGAACAGTCTCCAGCTGCAGAACTCTCTTTGTGAGCCTGTGCAGGATTTGAGAGATACCAAAGGAGCAGAAATATGTGTGTAGGGGACTGGATGTCTACAGGGCAGGGATAACAGAATAGTGTGTGGATGGGAAGAACAAAGTTGAAGTCCAACCTTGTAAGGAGAATCACAGAGGAGCAAAAGTTCTCTCTGGTCTAGGACAGGGAATTGGAAAGTTGTGGAAAGAAGCTCAAGAAAGAATATTACAAATAGCCAGTCCTTGGGCCCTGGCTGCACATACGTGTAGAATTCTTCTCCTGAAACCCAGCCTCCTGCTTTGGTAGCCTCTGTGCCCAGTTCTCCTGGTGGGCTATGTGCAATGGACTGGCCCATGTTCTCAATCTCAGCACTGAGGACCACCTGATCAGGAAGTCAGAAGTTGGATAGGAGAAGATGACTCTGAGAAGTCAACAGCACCTATTTCATCACCTGCTCTAAATTGTCTCTCAAGCCTTGGGTTCCAGTTCTTGCTATTCTTATTCCCTCCCAGATTCTGGAAACAATAGGGTCAGAGTGGTGGTGCTGGACCAACCTCTGGAAAGGGAATTACTTCCCAAAGAAACAAAACACATGCTCCTTGAAGCCTTGATTAATGAAATGTTCACTAGAATCCAATTCATTTTGAAGAGGAGGGACAAAACCAGAATTCTTGGCACTTTCTCTCTGGGATGCTGTCACCCTGCCCTTGAATTTTTTGGTCTACACTGGATTAGGGATGGAGCAAGCATAGTAGGAGCAGCAGAGGAACAGAAGACAAATCCTCAGAGGGAACTGTCAGGGATTCTTGAGCAACTAGCCTCCTTTGCCTAAGATCATGTTTTAGAGCAATGGTTCTCAACCTTGGCTATACACTGGAATCACCTAGGAAATTTTAGAAAGTACTGATGTGTGGGCCCCACTCCCAGAATTTCGGGTCTAATTGGTCTAGGATGTGTGGCCTGAGAATGAGGACTTTAAAGGGCCCCCAGGGTATTCAATGTGCAGCAGTTTGGAGAGTGCTTTCCTGCCCAACTATGAGAGGGTGTCCTGTTGTGTTTGGATATGTTGGGGATGAAGGCAGAGGAACAGTGTCCTTACTGCCTTCCCATCGACCATTCCTGCTCACCTTTTCCTCCTCCAGATCTTGTCGCATTTGTTCCTGTTCCTTCTCATCCAGAATGCGATTCCCATCCTGATCAAACTTGGTGAAGGCAGCCGTTAGCTCGGTGTTCTCATGCTCGGCATGGCCCAGTCTGAGGAGAACGTGCTAAAATGACTTCTGCCCTGTTGCGACCATGACTGCTCAACTGTGAACTCTTCACCCTTTTACTAGACTCTGGTAAGAGTCTTGATCTCTGGGTATTGCTTTCTGGGAAAGAAGAGATCACATGGCAAAGCCAAGATCTTCAAAGTCTAGCAATTCTACCCCCCAGAAATTGCTTGAATCTATTTCTTTCTCCTGTCCCAACTTTTTGCTAACTTGATTCATGACCTCCTGATTTCTTGCTGGGATTATTGCAATATCTTTTTGCCTATAAATAACCTACCTCCCCCTCACTCTCTAGCTTCCCCTTCACTCCCTGCTCCTGATGTCCATCCTCCATTATACAACTAGAGTAATTAGCATTCTAAATGGAAGTCTAATGGTAGTAGGCCAGGCATGGTGGTGGATGCCTGTATTTCCAGCTACTTGGGAGACTGAGGCAAGAGGATCATTTGAGTCCACAAATCAAAGGTGACCTGGACAAATAATCAAAGCAAAATAAAACAGAAGGCAAGTCTAAATATACCCCTTTCTTGTTTAAAAATCCCTTCTGGACACTCTATTCCTTGGACAGAGTGGTGATAGTCAAGGCCTTTCCCAATGCGGTCCTTGGCCATTTCTCTGTCCTCATCTCCTGCAATGACTCACTTTTTATTTGATGCCTTAGCAATGCTCAGCTACCTACTTTTGTTATATATGTTGCTTGGTTTCAGAGTTCTATGCCTCTGTACATGCTTTCATCTCTTCTTACAATAGTCGTCTTCTGCTTGCCCACTTGGAAGCTATTCATCCTCTAAAACTCTATTCAGACATCATCCCCTCCAGCTCAAAAAGAATTGGTAACTCTCTTTACCCCTCTCTTCACAGTAAGTTCAACAGTTGTTGAACTTATTCTGTGATTTTGTCTCTCATGTCTATGAGCTCCTACAGGACAAAGACTTTGTCTCATTTAATTATGTTGTTCCCTACTCTGTATAATAATGGGGTAATTATATTTTTACATGAGTTCTAACCATTGTTTGACAAGGTCCAGAATATTGTAGACTATGGTAAGATATTGTTAAAGAAGGGGCACAATCTTGGAGGTCAGGATCAGAGACCTATGGGCCAAGGTCTGTAGCCTACAAGTCAAGGTTACAGGCTCACAGACCAAGGCCAAAGGCTTATAGACAAAGGGTATATAGTTGAGTCAAGAACTTATAGACCATATCAAAGAAGGTTGTATCTCTGGTTGCTCACCCTCTCAAGGTATTGGTGAGATCCTCAAACTGGATCTCCTGTTCTCCACTCTGCAGGACCTTCTGCACATCTGAAACCTGCTCCTTCCTCAGACGCAGCATTAGTAGGGTCTTGTTGTAACCCTGAAAGGGAAAGGAAACAAGCAGCAGTCCCCACAGGCTCCTCATCATGCCTGGACCCTACCTCCACCCAAAGGATGCTGGGCTCCAAGGAATGCCAGGCTCTTATACTAGTCTAGAACTGAACATGACACAGAGCCTTGGAAGCAGGCCTGATGCAGATATGCCACTAAAGGAGACTTAGTAATCACCTGTTTCAGGAGGTCAGAAAGTTGCAGCTCATCCTTCTGTCCAGCCAACTCCTCCTTGACCTCTGAGTATGTGTCATTGATGATGGCCAAGAACATGTTCTAGAGGACATAATGAGAACATGGGTTCTCACCCTCAGACCCACTAAGAGCGCTGACCCCATTGATCCTCATGTCCAAGTCATAAATGCTGCTCTCAACCTCAGCTCTGCAACCTACCCATGTCTACCTCTCAAAGACCTCAGAGCACAGTTGTTAGACAATTCTGTTAGGGATGGATCATGCTCCGTGGTATCCCTAATTCTTAGTTGCTACAATAACCTTTCTGACCACCATGATACCCCAACATATGACACAGACCTCCACACAAAGGCCTGCCAATCACTGAAGCCAGGAACTATTCAAGGTAAAAGTACAATTGTGCTTTCTTTACCATCTACCCCAAATTTATGCCAGCATTCCCATCAATTGATAAAATTAAATAAACATCTGGCCATGTTAATAAAAATAAAACCCAAGTGTTTCCCGGTTGGGAGAGAGAGAAAGAGAACTACCAAGTGGTAATAGTAGAAATCAGCAAGAGATCCTAGAGAAAGAGGTATCTTGGAGAATAGGCATTGAAGCTTCTAGAGGCAGCTATTTCTCAAGCAGTACTTTTCCCTCTGTTTCTATCATTGGAGGATGGGCATCTGATTTTCTTACAAGAGTCTGCAGTTTCCCTTATACTCTGCGAACCACCTGACCACACTTGCCACTCTGACCACATCAGCCATCTCTCAGAAGACTCAGAACAGCAATCCCCCCGCCCCCATGTACTGCCCATCCTTCAGTTGAGAAATCCATCATAATCCTGAGTGGGAGATTCAAGGGGTCAAAACTATACTTGGTGACCCTCCATGTTGCCAACCCTCAGAAGGATTCTCACCAGGAGCACAAAGAAGACGAAGAAGATGTAGGTGACAAAGTAGACAGGGCCTAGGATGCGGTTAGCATTGTCGATAGCATTGTAGTCAAAGTCCCCAAGGATTATCCGGAACTGAGTGAAACTGAGAGAACAGATACAGGCTTTACTCTAAGCCTAGGCAAACCCTGGCCCCAATCCATACCACCTATCCCACTTTCCTAATTACAGACAGATCCCTCACTGCACCTGTGACCCAATCTGATGGAGAGAGCAGGTATGTGAATTATTTGAACACACACTTGGGTTTCTGCAGACTCTCACCCAGTTACTTCAAGCACAGACACACCCACACACCTCCTGCTATCTTCCCCAGGGAAGATAGCACCCAGGAAGCTGGAGGGTGAGGGGCCAAGGGTGGAAACAGGACACACACATGCACTTGATGAAAGTGCTAAAGTTTTCCACTTGGGTCCCGAAAAGCAGGTAGCCAAGCTGGGCATAAGCGAAGAAGACAATGAAGAACATGACGGCAAACCCCAGGATGTCCTTGGCACATCGGGCTAGCGTGGAGGAGAGCTGGGTCATGGTTTTGTTGAAGCTGATGTACTTGAATATCTGTAGGGGTCATGATGAACCAAGTTGCAAAAGAGAAAAAGTGAAAACATTGAAAAGTCCACTCCAGGGACCTATATTTTCCAGACAATGAAAATGCAACACATATTGAGGAGGGGAAAGTAAGTGCCCTGAGGCAGAGCTGGCAGTGGGGGGAGTCTCAGATACCTTGATCCAGGCAAAGAATAGGTTGACGGCACTCATGTTGTTGTACTGTGTCTGCCAGAAGGCCAGGAACTCGAAATCAGCATATGTGTTTGGCTGCTGCAACAGCTTCCCCAACAGCTGATTCACCTCCAGGGTTCGGAATATGTGGAAGCCCATGGCCACAATGGAAAGCTGTCACACAGGGATCATAGGACTATCAGACAATTCAAGGGGAATTCAAGGGAGGTTCAAGGATAAGATCCTAGGGGAGAGCAGAGGTAGGTAAGACCATTGGGCAAGAAACAGCCTACCTAGCTGAGGTTCAAATGGGACTGGAAAGGATGTCTGAGAGCAGCTTAAGTGTTCTAAAGGTCAAGAGAAGGCTTTGGGACAAGTAGCAAATATATAGGTTGTAAAGGGCCATAGGGAACTGGAGCCAAGAAACAAGATTTCCCTCTACCCCACCACTTCCAAGCCTTGCTCAGGAAAGGAATGCATCCTGTTAATAGGAAGGAGAGGAAGATGAAGGGGCAGAATATTTGAATAGAAGAGAAGAGAAAATGCAGGGCTTCCAAGGATACAGGTCATAAAGGAAAAAGCCAAAAAAGAAGCAGAATATCAAGTGCATAAAGAAGAGAGTGGAGCCAGGATCACAGGGAAAAAGATGTGGAGGCAGGGTTTCCCAAGGGTTGAGCCAGAGGGAAAGGGGGGGGCGGTGGGTGTCAGACTCTTAGATAGCAAAGGAGAGGAGGGCTTGAGGTTCCAAAGGGCAGAACTCAGAGCCCCTACCAAGGTGGAGGCCCTTCCACCCTCGAGTATGTCCCAAGTCCAAATATCTTCCCTTACCAAGATGACCACCAGGTCCAGTATGTTCCAGATGTTATTGAGGTAGCGAAGCCGATGCTTGTGGAGCTCCAGTATCTCCTCCACCACGTAGTAGAAGATGAACACACAGAAGATGACTTCACAGCCAACAACGAAGAAGTCCCAGTTGCTGACATAGCGGATCAGCTTCACCGTGCGGATTTGCCAGGATGGGATGGCACCTCCTGTAGCAGGGAACTCCACCACCAGTCTGTGGGGGAGGGGAGAGGGCTAGTGGGGTCTGAACCGGGGCATTTCCTCCCACCACCCCTCATCCCCATGCCCTCCATGGGGTACAAGTTTAGAGAAAGATAAGCATAGCAGACAGGAACCAGGAACCACGGATGGAAGGATGCAGTGAGGAAAGAGGACCCACCTCAGAACACAGAAAAGATTGATGTTGGCGTTGTAGACAGAAAAGTCGATGAAGACCACCCGAGTGCCCCTGTCCAGCCACAGCCCTTCCTGAAGGTCCCGGAGTGCCTCTGCGCTGGCCTGTCGGGATTCTGGAAGGTCCAGGTAGTAGCCACCTCCGCTGTAGCTTGTGAGCCTGCCCCAGTGGGAGGAGCCTCCTAGCTCGTCCTGTGAGTGGTATGTCCATCTGCAGCAGAAAAAGCCCTCTGAGCAAAGAGAGGTCTGAGCCAGTGCAGCGCTCATCTCCTAAGGCAATGACAACACATTATGATTCATCCTGAATATATATACACACACTTCATGTATATTTATGTAAATGTATGCATATGTTATGATACATACACATATAGTATATTGTGAAATATATCATATGTACTATATGTGAAATATATAATATCACATATATTGTTTGATACTAACAATCATTTGAGAAGGGAGGGAAAATAGCCACATTTTGCAGAAGAAGAAATCAAAACCCAGAGATTTCCAAGATAATCAACTATATAGTAATGGTACTGAAACTCAAATGTAAATCTCATTTTTCACTATGTCCCTCAAGACATGGATGTCAAAGCCAAGCCCCGTGCCATAAGTCCAGAAAGAATCCTTTCACATCTTGTCGCAGTTCAACTGGCTGCTCGACCTCATGATTCTCTATTCTACCCCCCTAAATTTCTACCTTGGGACCCTATTTCCTCTCCCTCAATTGATTGTCCTTCAATTTCCTGTCCTATCTACTCTATTACTTTTCTTTCTTTCTTCTTTGTTTTTTGTGATATTGGGGTTTGAACTCAGGGCCTTGTGCTTACTAGGCAGACATGCTACCACTTGAACCATGCCCCCAGTCTGTCTTTTTTTTTTTTTTGCTTTAGTTAGTTATTTTTTGGATAAGGTTTCATGCTCTTTGCCCAGGGGACCTTGAACTGTGATCCTTCCTTTCACCTATAGCCTCCCACAGAGCTGGGATTACAGCCCCTCTTCCCTTTCTTAAACCCTCAGTTCTCATTCATCCTTGACCGTTGCTGTTCCTGCCATCAATCCCAATGGTCAGACTCTACAACCGTGAATTTTTTTGTGTGTGTGTGGTACTGGGGATTGAACTCAGGGTTTACACTTGAGCCACTCCGCCAGCCCTTTCTTGTGAAGGGTTTTTTCCAGATAGGGTCTCACAAACTATTTGCCCAGGCTGGCTTCGAACCCTGATCCTCCTGATCTCTGCCTCCTGAGTAGCTAGGATTACAAGCGTGAGCCACCGGGGCCCGGCTCATTATTTTTGTGGCAGCGTCAACTTCATCCATTCTCCACACCCTCAAGAGATTTCTGGGCAGAAATGCCTTCTCTGGGGGGACTTTCTGCAGGTGGGGATAAGTGAGACTGTTACCTGTGTGTGTTCAGAGGTTCAGAGGCTATGGCTCTGTTTGCAAGTTGTCTCCTCCATTTCTGAATGACACACATCAAGGTCCCAAAAAAATCACAGATGGGACTCAGGGAGATGCCCACCAAATGCCCTGAAGTGTTCACTCAAAGGCTTTTAAGATTGTGGTCCCCACACTTGGGATGGTGTCACACTTAGAGGGACAGTCCTGCATCCTTGGTGGAGGTTCACTCACGCTGTGCCATTGAGACGCCCAAAAGGAAGTTGCTCCTCTTTGTCTGGAGAGTAGACATCATAGCAGCTCAAAATGTCCTCACGGAAGTCCTCATGCACCACACAGGAGTCATTGCGCACCCGCAGCTGCCGCAGCCTTGGAAGCCCCAACAGCAGGTTCTCGTAGTAGATGAAGGAGTGGGAGCCATGGCCCAGGCTCTGGTTGTTGTACCACTTGGTCCAGTACAAATTGTCCAGGAGTGGACCCTGGGCAAACTGGACCACCAGCTGGGTTTTGCCTGGCCCAGCCTCCTCCTGACCCTATCCTAAAAACGACCTTCACCCTCATTCCCTGGCCCCCAGCTTCAAGGACTTTGCCTAGATCCTGACCTAACTCTATTTAAAATATATTTTGATATTTAGCCTTCCTTCTGACTCCCAGTTCTAGTCTAGCTCCTGATTTGATTTGAACCCCAACCCCCACATCCACCTCCACTTGAACTCTAGCCTGATCCATTAATTCAACTTGATCTTTGACTCAGCCTTTTTCCAGACTGATCTAATCTCTGGGCATTTGACCTGATCTACTGTCTGACCTTCCTGACCTTTGACGTTTGGTCTCAGGCCATTGAGAGGGAAAGGGGTAGAGGAGCTCTCATACTCACATCCCAGAAATCTGTCATGCTGCTGATGGCCTGGAAGGAGACTCCTGTATCAGACGGGGTATGCAAGAAGAGCTCAGACATCACTTTGGTGTAGTAATAGGCACTGGAGCTTGTCATTCCATAGGTCACTATAAAACAACCCAAGACACTGTGTCCTTACCACAGTTCCCATCTTCATTCCTCAGAGGAGACAAGAAAGCCCACTGCCCTGTGGTAAGAAATGCACCTAGATGGGACCCATCAGAACTACCTGGTACAGTTGGCTGGAGAGGGTCATGGTGACACTGGGAAATCAAAAAAAATACATTGGGGAAGGTGAGGCTACAAAGTCACCTAGAAAGACTGCACTCCTCTCGGTAATTGTATCTTGACATTGTCATTCTGAAATCTCACTTTTTTCTTCTAATTCAGCTTAACTTCATAGTTCTTACTCTCTAGAGTCAAGAGACTTTTTTGTGTGTGCTTTGAATTTGTATGTGCAAATTCTAGTGTACTCTGAGGCTCTGGCCAAACACCTTACCATGGAGGTGTGGCTTCCTTTCTAGCATCAGTGACTCTGTAGCCATGGGAGTAGCAATAGGTATGGCATGTGGGCATGGCTAGGGCATCCTGGTGGGCACAGGTGTCTCTTGAGAAAGGAGCTCATTACATTCCAGATAAAAAAGACATGGCCTTAGCCCTAAGTAACAGGATCTTCCTAACTCCCCTAACACACACACAATCCCATGTGCCTAATGTAGAACTGTCAAGGGAACCTCTAGCTTCCTGGTTTAAGAGAGGATTTCATGAGTAAACACTACTTATTTCATAGATTGTCCCTCAATTTAGGTTTTTCTGATGTTTCTTCATGATTAAATTCAGGTTATGCATTTTGAGGAGGAGTACCATATAAGTGATATTGTGTCCTTCCCAGTGCATCATGTCAGGAGGTACAGATTTTCTCCTTGTGGCCAAAGTTAACTTTGATCCCTTGTTAAGATGGTGTCCACCAGGTTTCTTTCTTCAAGGTAAATACATAATTATTATGTATTTTGGAGGGAGACATTTTGACACTATGTAAATAAACTGTTACTCATCAATCTTTCACCATCAATGACTTTTGTCTGATTGTTACTAATTTGATTATCAAATGCTGATTTTTTTCAGCTCATTATTCCTTCTGCATGTACTAGTTTGCATTCTTTTCAGAAGAGCTCTGTCTTCTTCCCCATTCACTTATGTATGTTAGTTTGAACTCATGGATTCTTGGCTCCCCCTCCGTGGGTTATAATTTATTATTTATTTTATTACTCAAAATTTTTTGACTATGTGAAAGATAGAAAGGGTAAGGAATTTTTCCAGATTAAAAGAAACTGAAGAAAAATAAAATTAAAGGCAATACGAAATCCTGTAATGGATCCTGGATCATAATTTTTTTCTTTTGTTATAACAGCTATTAGTGAAATAACTGATAGGATTGTAAAGAGGCCTATTGATAGATAATAATACTGGATTGTTGATGATAATTTCATGACTCTGGTAAAATAATATTTTTGGTTTTAGAAACTACATATTAAGGTGTTTAGAAATAATGGAGCATTATCTTCAATTTACTCTCAAACTGCTGGTGGTGGTCTCTCTGCGTGTATATAGAAAGGGGTTGAAGCAAACAGGATAGAATGTTCATTTTTAGGAAATCTAGGCGAAATTTATGAAGGCACATAGGAATGTATAGAATATATGACTAGAGATAATTTATATTAGTCTTGTTATTTTCTATAAGCCCCTAATTATGTTTTAAAATTTTAAAGTAGAGTTTCCCAGCCTCTTATATTTATGCAATTCCCTTTAAGAATTTTCTTTTTCAGATCCTGGACCTTGTTTTCTTTCATGATCATGTTTGGAAAGGAAGTGACTTTGGGTGAGTTGGAGCTTGTCTATGGACCTGAAGGAAAGGGGGACCAATGAGTGATCCCTGATTATGAAACCCATACTTCTCTAGAGTAGAAATAGCAAAGATGGAAGCATTATGGCTTCACCTTTCCCCATCCCACCCTATGAATAAAGTTCAACACAGGAATTTACTTTTCTCTAACTCATATCTGCAATTACCTGTCCTAAGTTCCTGGAGAAACACGGGCAATTTTCTGGATCAGGAAAATGAACTTTTGTCTGTTGGGAGCCCATCTCTCCTAATGACATAATGACATGGGACCAAATTGTTATGCTCTGTGAATGGCCACTAGGTGGTATATCACTATAGCTTTTCTCTTCTTCACTTGTAAGTCACTGTCCAGAATAACACTGCTCTGAACTGCTTGTCAACCATCTTTGTAGGCATATTATCTCTGTTTTGTCTTTCTTCCAGTGCTGGGGATTGAACCCAGGGCCTTCACACATGCTAGGCAAGCACTGATCTAACTAACCTCCCTAGGCCCAGTATGTCTGATTGTTATTTAAGTCAGTAAGATAATATCTTCTAAGAAAAATGGCTTTACCTGGCCAAGAGTCTGTGAATACACAGGAATTCAGTATTCATTCTTCTTTGTTAACTGCTTAATTGAAGTACATATGGGCATAAAAGACCAAAAAGGAACTTAAAAACCCTTCTAAATTACTCTAAACTGGTTTAGTACCTATTCAATCCCTTCACCATATCCAAACTCTCTCTATTCTTTGTTAATTCTTACTTCTACAAATGTTCTTTGCACAAAAGTATACCTTTAAGTATTTAGGAATAATTAGGCATTATGCCTACAATTTACTCTCAAAAAGTCATGTGTGAAGGAGAAAGAGAAGGAGAGAGAGAGAGAGGAAAGAGAGAGAGAGAGAGAGAGAGAGAGAGAAATGATAGCGTGCTTTCCCTCACCACTTCATGAAACCCAAAGTACTTCTTGATATATAATAGACCATATTATCACCTATCTACCTGAATCATTATAAAAGACACATTTTATATTCATAAAACAAACATTGTTCAAATTCTACCATGTGCAGAATACCTTGCTAGTTGTCATGATTTCTATCCTGGAGAAATATGTCCCAGAATGAACCTAGCATGAACTTTGGAGCCAGGTATACCTGGGTTCAAATCCCAGCTCTGTCACTTAGACATAGATTTGGGCTCTGAGTACCACCTTTCTCAGCTGTAAAATGGGGAACATAATATCTTTCTCATACTGCTTTGAAGATTAAAGATGATGTGTTTGTGCATTGACCAGAGTAGGTGCTCAGCAAATAGATCTAGTCATCCTGCTGTATGCTGCTCAGGAACAAAGACTATGTTTATTCATTTTGCATAGAGCCTGCTATTTAATAGGTTCTCAATTTCTATTTGTTAGACTGAACCAATGGTGGAAAAATATAAATATAGCTACAGTACAGGGTAGAATAAAGTATGTGAATCATTTTCAAGCTGAGTAAAGTTATTTCTCCATATTTGACCTATAATAGCAATGTCGTCAAAATAGTCAAACGCAACTTCTATTTAGTAGATGTTGTAAAGAGGCTGAAACATTCCTTTGTCCAAAGGGAAGAACAATAAGTTCATACAAGTCTTGGGTAAAAGAAATGAAGCCAGACTGGACTAACAAGCAAAAGCAGTGGGCCAGTAACCTTACACAGGATGAGGTAGAAAAGGTGCTGGCAGAACTCAATCTCTATAATAAGTTATCCAGCCAGAACATCAGATGGGCATCCGGTCTGGAGGCTGCTGAACTATGAACTTAAAAACAGGGCAGGGGAGGTCAGATTTTCTACATGTAGTGATTATTCTAACCTCTATCACTTTCTCCCCTTCCTTACCTCACTGATAAGCAAACTTTAGCATGCTACAGAATTACCTGGAAGGCTAGGCAAGAGCTTTATCATTGAGCTACACCCCTGCCCAACATTTGCATTTCTAACAAGATCCCCCAGTAACACTGGTGCTATGGGTCCACACTTTGAGAACCACTACCTTGATTTGTTGCAATCAGACCATCAATTTCACATGTCTTCTACAGAGATGTCAAGAAGCAGTGGGTTTCCAATGTCTCTCTCAGTGATTCTTAAGATTGGGAGCGGGAAAAGGAAATGCCTCTTCTGGGGCACTCAGAACCTCCCTGGGATTGAGAAAGGTTCTACAAAGTACAAAAACCACTTAGAACACCCCTCCCTAACCCAGGGGAAAAATCATTAAACCCATTGCCCCAGGAACCACTGGTAGTCCTGTGAGGGATCACATCCCTAAGGTGCATTGTGGTAGAAGATGAAAACGACATATTGCTCTTTTTTGGTGTCTCCCTCCCTCAAACTCCCCCATTAGTTTCTATTCAGGCAATAAGGATCCCAGTTTAACTTTACTCTGAAGAACCAGATCAGAGATTTCTGAAACTGACAAGGACTCAACATGTCCATCTCACCATCATCCTCCAAATTAGGGAAAGAAATGACCAGGGTAGCCACTTGTTGCTTCTGAACGCCTGCTTCATGTTATGTGCTGTGCACTTGACATGTTTTTCATTTAATCACTCACTCTGTCTGGCAAGTGATATCATTATCCCCATTTTCCAGTCTGTGAATTTAAGTCACTTGCCCAAGGTAAGCAACTAATGGAGCCAGGATTCAAATGTAGATCTGCCTGCCTCCCAAGTAGACTGATTCTGTCTAGGAATCAGTCCTAGGAGTGGGAAGTCACCAGGAGAAAACTTAGGTTTCATAACCTAAGTTTCCTGGCCACTAGTGCTTTCCTGTATGAAATGGGCCATTTCACAACAGCCCTTTCACCTTGGAAATGTCAGCAAAAGACAGTCTGCTGAGGGTCACACAGATGAGGTGTGGGCACTGGGTAGGGCTGGCCTTCTTAGTTCTTTCTTTAAGATCCAGTGAAGAAGTAGAGTTGTTCTATGTGTTTCAAAAGGTGACTCTAGACCAGGGAATGGAAGGAGTCAGAATATGACTCAGAGAGTCAAATGCCAGTATGTCAGTATGTCACTGTCTGTTAGGGCCTTATCCAGCAATTTTCAGACTGGACAAGGACTACATGAGAGTGCTCTGAATGTGATTCAGAGTGATTGTTTCACTGTACAATTCAGAGATTTCTCATTTATTGTCCTGGATAGAAACTGAATTCCGCTATACATGCTATATCTTGCCTCTTAGTCATGGC